TGATTTGGCGAACCCGGTGACGCCAACAATTCTAAGCGTTATAGGTGCTTCACCATTTTTTCCATGCTTACATGGTTATTTTTGCGCAGTTGTCCAATCTCGCCTGGGAGATGTTGGTCGGCCAGGAAATCTTTCGTGGGACCTTGGATTCTATGCTCAATGTGGTTCTGAATGAAGCATTTGGTACTTTTGGGATCCCTGAATGAGCTGGAAGGGTTGGAGGGGGAGGTTTTGAGGTGGGAATCCAATGGCCCCTGAGACAATGCTGCTGTTCATTGATGACATCAACATGCCGATGCTGCCTGTCCGGATGGGTTGGAGTCATGAAATCCCGAAGTGTCAGACCCTTCATGTGTGGTTAGTCGCGTCGCTTGGTATTGTTGTGTATGGGAGGGCGTTGCAAGGCATGGCAAGGAACAATGTTTGCTGATATGTGCCATGAGATACCTGGAAATCCGTAGTTGCCACAAAAAACTTGCAACTGTGGCAAGCGCCCTGTTTTGTGCGTAAGTTGCAACAGAAAGCGCAACTTTGAAAATACCTGCAACAGTGGCAGCAAAAGCTGCAACTTTAGCTTTTTGAACGGTTCCCGCAGGTACGCCTTGCTTGGCTACAGTTGGAGTCATGCTGGCGCTCTGTTTCAAGCTAGATCGCGCAACCCAAACTGTCCATAAATAGTATTTTTCCGCCTGTGTTGCGCGTGCTCAGCCTCCATGTGAATGCCTTTTGCGCACGTGTGTTTCAGCATGCGCGCATGTGTAGGTTTGTGGCCGGACCTATATGGCCTGAAGCCATCTGCCTCTGCAGCTGGATTTTCCCCAAACATGACGCCCTCTGGATTCTTCGACATGTCTTTACTCGACAAAACGCCAGTTGACGCACATCTCCTTCACCTCAAGCGTGTCATGGGGGACGACCGCCCTCAGCTGCAATTCAACAAATTGCCTCGACACCGGGTTGCTTTTGCTACAAGCACTTCTGTTGGAGGCGCGCCCAACTCAGTTCCGTGTTTGCAATGGCCTGCTCTCCAGCTGGGTTCTGAGACATCTACCTCCATACATGCCTACAGTACGATCTCAGCGGGAGCGGGGCCCATTTCAGTCTTTATGACACGGCCAGCTGCACGAGCATCCAGCTAAGTGCGCGAATTGTCGCAGAGAGAGCGCATTCTGCGTGCCCGACACCGGCACTGGGACGCGTACGGAAACTGTACAAGTTGCGTGTTTTGAGCGTAAAGTGGCGTAAAAGGCGTACGTTCCAAGCTTGACGCATATCCTGCGCGCTTTGGGCACTATTGTTCGCACGAATGATTTTATTGTACATTTGCTTTGCGTTGTTTCCATATTTGCTCTTTGTTCTTCAGTTTATACAGATTTAAGGGCCGAACCTGCAAGGGACACTTGCTCCTACGCAAAGCCAATCGCTGCAAGAGGTCGGGCGCTGCTGGCCCAACACTGAGTTGCTATAGCAATTCAAACATTAGCATGACACACTGTCTCGCGCCAGGTTGGAAAGTGACAATTCGCAAAATAGCATTTATACGCGCCACGCGGTTGAAGGTTCACGGCAATGGCCGCATAGCAGGCCAGTTCAAGGCTATTGAGGTGCTTCGAGGTGCTATACAAAAGAAAATTCATTTAGTTGCAGGTCCAATATGCATCCCTCACACAATGCAAGTAAGTGCCCATGGGCGATGCACCCTTCCCAAGCCCACTTTTTTGTTGGCGCGCTGCTATGAGGAACGACCACAAGCAAAAGCTGCAACTTTTCGAAAGTTGCCGGGTTTTTTGAATGAAGAGCTGCCACAGTTTCAAGTTGCAGTTTTTTGTAGCAACTATGGTTTCCAGGTATATTATATATATATATATATATGCCATGATGGAAAGCCATTCGTTCGCAGCTTATCTAGGAGTGAAACGAGCTCATCCAGGAACCTTGTTAGCACTCTTAAACGGGGCATCCACACAGCGGGTATTCGAGACGATACCAAGGTGAAAGACCATTCAAAGGGAAGAGGAGCCAATTCTAGGAAGTACCAGATAGCCATTCGGGTTCCAGGATTTCGTCATCAAGCCCGATACGATTCTTAGGAGCGCCGCTCTAGTGGCCAACCAGGGGAAATCGTCAAACAAACCTAGATGCCGATTAAGCTGGCTAGCTACCAGCAGGGTTGCTCGGAGCCTTAGATAAAAAGACGACCAAACTGAAAGTAATAGAGACTGGGTTAGGTTTCCCTTTGGCTTCTCGAAGCAACCATTTGTCTACCGTGCCGGGGATCCGGAGCAACATTGACCATAGTGGTTTCCTTATGTCGAATGGAGGCTGCGGTTGAAAACTGTCGAAACCGCAGGGTTGTTCTTCTGTGATATTTGTATATATATATATATATGATACTCGTACTTCTATTCTTCGTCCTGAGAGTGTCCAAAATAGGTGCCGTCCATTTGTAGATCGGATCAGCATCAGCTCTGGGCAAATGAAACCCCAACCTCTCCAGGTCCAGGGCAATCGCTTTGCGACCGGCATTCTCAAAGTTCACTTCATAGGCATTTGGCTGTGGCTCAAAAAACCGGTACCAAAATGGAACCTTGGTAAGTGGAAACATGGACCAAAACCCGCGGTTTGCCCCTCCGGTTTAATTTTGAGCCACACCCATTTCTTATCAGGATTTACAGAACGTCTATATCAAATTTGTGTGGGAAGCCTCTAGACATTTATGTATATGTATATCTATATATATGGTAGAGGTCTGGCACCCCCCCCACCCCCCCCCCCCCCGCCATGGTCATGGTGGCCTTGAACCACCCCCCCCCCCCCAAGTGGGGGGAGATACCATTGGGGGGGGGGCCGCTCGCCGACCGGAACCATATATATATATACATATGCAGTGACATGCAAGTGTGGAGCCGCAGGAAAACTGCTTGCTTTGGCAATACATGTGATTGCTTTCATGCAAAGTGACGTGAAACTTCAGAGAGGGGTCGCCCAAAGTGAGATTCATTTGAGAAACACGGTTGTTTGGATTCTACGTGTGTCTCTGCCTATGTATGGACGCTCACAGGCTTACATTCAAGTAAATCACTCCTCCAAACGCGGGCCTGTGCACTTCCACGTTTGGTGGCGGGCGGGTGTTTGGTGCCCCTTGTTGCCTTGCTTCCATTCCCGCTTGACTTGGGGGTGCCCGTTTTCCTTTAGTTTGAGACAGTCGCTGATATACGTGCCCGCAAAGAGAGCCGGACCTCGGTTAGAGGTGTACTTTGGGGGCAACCACCCCCCCTCCCCACTCCCCACTCCCCACTGCTTTGACATTCCAATGAGTTGTGGGTATCAATTTCAAAGAGTCCCGGACCTAGGTGGGGATTTAGGTAACCAACCACGACGCTCCAACTCTTGGAATCCATCGCCATTTTGTATGACAGGTCAGTCTTTCGGTCCATGACGGGTCCCTTAGGCTGCCCAGACCTCCTGTAGTGCCACCCCGCGCTTTGGTTTCCATGGCGACTGGGGTCTGACGGTCTGGGGGCCTCATTGAGGTCTTATTTGGGTGCAGGGAGTTTTGGGGGTGGGCATTCGGATCCTTCGACTCCCGACGCGTCCGTGGTTTCCCTCGGCTCAAATCCAAGGCTCGAGAAGTACGGCGCACAGCCACCCATTGAGCTCTTGAGACAGGCCGGTCCTTGCGCAGGTTTTGAGTTTTGGGGGCAAAGGGACTCCGTCCAAGTCGTGTTGACTCCGAAAGTCAAAAGTCCTCGTCCAAGTCGTGTTGACAAAGTCATTCATCCGCGGGTTTCCTTGGAAAGACACCTGGCCGTGCCTTATGGGCTTGGTGCCACGACGCTCAGCAAAACGCTCAGTGTGTAAGCTCTTTGCTCCGCAGGTGGTGGACTACAAGGGCTTCTACGACCGCAAGAAGCTCTTTTGGAAGGCGCCTCCGCCTCATAAAAAAAAAAAAAAAAAAAAAAAAAAAAAAAAAAAAAAAAAAAAAAAAAAAAACACGCTCCGATTGGATGATTTTTGAGCGGGTGTTGGTTTGATGGTTGGAGAGCGAGCCGGAAAAAGAAGGTGTTTTTTGGCGGTCCCCCTATTTTGACACATACCCATGCATAGTCGTGTTAAGCGGCGGGGAATACCAGTCGCCAGAATCAGACGATTCGAAGGTTTAGGGCGCAGCAGGGGTTTGGGCTTCCGATCAGAACCTCTTCTAGGGCAGGAACCTGTCCTGGGGGTTTGGGGGTTGGGGGGCTCACGTTTGGAGCAAAATGCACCGGTGATGGTCGCAAACCCAGGGAAAAAGCAAGCTTGGTCTATACAGGTCTTTGCCCTTTGCTAAAATGCGAATATCTCACAATTTGGACGCACGCACAGCCTTTGGATGGCTCTAAACCGCTGGGCATGGTGTTTGAGCCATGGCGGCCCTGATTTTGTTTACGTGCACCCCCGAGACCAGTACCTCCAACAAAAGCGTTTTGTAGGCTGTAAGTCAGGAGCATTGAGAGTTCAGGAGTAGGCCTTTTCGATGTACGCAGTATCTGAATCTCTCTTGGGAGAACCAGCCCCTTGTTTTAGTCTGCCATAGTCTGCAGGTTGATCAATTCGGGGCATAGGTGTCCTTTTTGGGTTAGTTTTGTTAGAAATATAGATGGCCCCAATTGCCCTGCTTGTTTCATAGTGTGCCAGGGCCATGTATTTTCCCAAAAGGACACCTATGATGAGATCCAGGGTCAACAGTACCCAGTACTGTCTGGGCCGAATCTCCCGACTTTGCACCTGCACCGCCACCTAAAGATGTCCACCAGCAGGTCCCCCCAACTGTTCGGAACATCATACGTTGCTTCGCCAAAAAACACACACAGCAAAAACAAGAAGAACCTTTTCGTGGAGAGTTCAGACCACTTTGGGCGAGCCCCGAGCGCGTTTCAATGGGATCAACAGCTCCGCTTTCGCAGGGCGTCCAGGAGACCCAGTTCATCGCCGCCTGCGGGCCCCCGGGGGGCGGACGCATGGAGGCACGGCGCGACGGCGCGTGCCGATTCCGAGCGTTGCTGTCTTGGAGACGGGGCTGGGCGGGCCCTGTCTTGGGGAAGCGACTGTGCTCTTGTCGCTTTTCGGGGGAAAAAACACCGCTGGCAACATGGCAACAGTTTCCTTTTGTTTCCCTTTGAATACCAACAAACAGGGGGTGCACGTGCGTGCAGCACGCGCCATTTTGAGAAACTCCCTTTCAGGTATGAGCGGTTCGCTCCTTCTGTGATACCATGAGACCTGACCCAGCCGTTGGCATCCAGTTTTAGTTTTGGGCTATAGATTTATAGTACAGTAGTTTGCCCAGATGGCTAGACCCCTTACCCTTTGAGTCCCTAACAGTAGGTTCTAAGGTTCATTCCTTCCTGCGTTCACCCATCTTTCTTTGCAGACACCACCAATTCCCCGGATTTTAGCAGCAGTTTTCTGTTGAGAAGGATGCCTGGAGAAAATGGAAACGGGAGGTACTGCAGGGTTAGCAAGGATCGGAAGGACCATGCTCCCGGAACCCAAGCCCTTCCTCTTGTGGGTTAGACGTGAAGCCCCTGAAAATATGCTGTTCAAACCTCAAAGCCTGCTGGCCTTTGGACTTTTCCTGGGGTTTGTGAGAGGGACTTGGCGCCAGGTGACTCCACGTCTGCTGAGGCACTTCAACATGAGCCCTGGCTGAAATGGGCGCCGCAGGAAACCCGACATTGCCAGACCCCTTACTCCAAATACCAACTTTTTTCAGGGTATTTTTTTGGAAAACCTGGGTTTCTATGGGAAATACCTCCTTTTTTAGCAGAGGGTCGACGGTCGACATCATACCCTGAAGTATTGGAGTGGGGGGTACCTTTCACTTTTGGCCTTGGGTTTCCTTAATGTTTCCGTTACCAGGAAGTTTTTACTTCCAGGGATTCTGATGGGGTTCTCAAACTGGTGCACCTTTTCTGGGTCGGTGTTTGCCGGGTCAACGTTTGGGACAGCTTTACATCTTTGGCTTTGGCTCAAATCGTTCAACGTTGACCAATGTTAGCTAAGTCAGCTTTCACCAAAAGTTAGACTTTAGCAACCTGTTCTTGCAATTGGAGGTTTGAGCTGATTTGCGGGCATTATAGTTTTGCAATACATCAACCACAATACATCAACCACTAAGCTTCGAACTGTTCTGGAGTGTGTCCTTGACAAGCGTACCATATTGATGTGTGTGTGTGTGTGTGCTTTGAGGGATGGTTTCTCGCAGGGAAACCAATGCAAAACCCACAGTTTGCGGGGTCCCTATTGTGGCAAATACCCATTTTCCCCCCGACGGCCTTTGACCGCAAGGGTTCCCATATTCCAGAGTTTGTCATGGCAAATATTGCTGTTGCTCCACTTGGAAAAGTAACTTGCTGGTTGACAACCCTGTTTGAGCCATTTATGCAGATCTTTTTCAAACCCCTGACATGTGCGTCTTGAGAGTACCTTTTTGTTGTATGTCTCAAAAGGGAGGTTGCAACCCAAGTGCTGCAACTCATGTTTTGTACTGGGTCATTATTTTGGGTGTTGCTGGGGGGTTGCAAAGTCAGAAGCTGACGTCGAATTCCGCGAATTCGATCTGAGGATTTGGATGACAGCTTTGCCACAGGACTGGTCTGTTGGTCTCTTCGCAAGCAGTGACTGGACAACTTGTTTTCCTGCTCGTTTTATGGAGGGGGCCCGAAACCAAAGCATCAAGCAGCCATACAAACTCTCCAGCCAAAGGCCTTGGTTCCACTCGACACCCAGAGGTCTGGGATCATGATGTGCCAAACGGGCATCGCTCGTTAGACCCAGATGAATCAGGTTTGTGAGATGGATCCAAGGTTCCGCGGAATGGTGTGCTTGGTGTCCCCAACTCAGAAATTGAAGTCACAGCCCCTTCTCACATATGGGTGTGGCTCAAAAAACCGGTACCAAAATGGAACCCTGGCAAGTGGAAACATGGACCAAAACCTGCGTAACCCCCCCTGTTTAATTTTGAGCCACCGCCATATGTCCTCCGTAAAATGGCTGGATGGTACTGCTATTTTCGCGCCTTTGGTTGTTGGATTCCCCTCTCAACACGATCAACCACGAAAGAGGTTCCTTTTTACTAGGTAACTGGCGACTGTGCTATTCTTGGTACTTCGACTTAGTATCGTGCCACCTCCCATCATATGTAGCTATCTCGCTTGTTAATTTTAATCCAGGTCTCTCCATATTGGACACCCTTCTGGGGATGTGGGGATCCCATATGCTTGTGTTTTTTTTTGAGGGCTCTAGATTACTCTGGAGCCTGTGTGACGTGGCTTTTTTTTTGACCAGGGAACCACCTCAAAAGTTGTTGGTGGACTTTTCGGAGGACACCATGCGCCGAGGCCTCAGGAAGTGGATGGGTTCATGGAGCTGATCTTCCATTGGCAGAGGTACTTTGGTTATGTCCCCCCGGTTGGTCTTCAAGGACATCACTACTCAACATATGGTTTGCTCCAGAGGACTTGGAGCAAATAGAAGTCTTTACAGTTCGTGGCATGTCGCGTGCTTGCTTGGCTTGCTGTTTTTTTTTTTTGTATGTTTGCTTGCTTGATTGTTTGCTTTGTTTGCTTGCTTCCACGGGCACATGGGTCTCCTCTGCCGATCCGAGATCGCATCCTCAGCTCCATCCTGGGCGGCTGGCTGGGAGTGCCGGCCCTACCGGACCAGTGGGCCGCCAGCCCGTTAAACGACCCGTTTCGATCGAGTCGTACGGCGGGTGGACGAAATTCTGCACCACCTAAGAAACCATGGTGGAAACCAGTGTTTGTCGGTATTTCCAGGGGAATCATCAGTCCAGGTTTCGTAAGTGGTGCAGGAATTCGTCCAACCACAGTAGCAAACCGGCTTTGGCTGGGGGTCCAAACTCCAACAATCGAACGGTCATCTATGGTCCATTTCGGGCAGGACATGGGGCTGCTCACTAGATTTCCACAACAAAAAACAAAACAGTCTCTTATTGTGCCATGCCCATTGCGGGGACTGCATATTTTGAAAGTGGCTCGGCTCACATGAAATTGTGAGCTTTCAAACAAGCGGTTCCACCTTGATCAAGGGCCTTCGGAAGGAATTCCATATTTGGATGTTTCCTTAAACAGGCATTGTTTTTCCGCGGTGGGATTGCCATTGTGTTTCTTGACAACTTTCTCTGGCTTTCAGGAAAGGTTTTTTTGTGGGCTTTGGAACCATCCAATACGAAGTCTAAACAAGTCAAACCCAGCCGCCCGTTTTCCAGCACAACCACTCCAGTCTGTTTCAACTTCGCAGATGTGGTGTGCAGAAATGGGTGATCCGCCTTCCTCGATGTGATGGCGCAAAAGGAAGCCAACCTTAGGATTTCTTGGCCCATGAAAAGACACGAACAGCAAACAGTGACCAAGAAAAGAAGAGGACAACAAAAAACAGCCAAGCACAGATTGGGAAGCCAACCCTGTCAGGATTTGTTCTTTGCCCAGGAAAACAAACAACAACTCCGCCGGGCTTTTCTAGGTCAAGAAGCCTGCTCTACAGGCGGGTCGACGGAGTGAGTTTTTCGGGACAGTCATTTAATTATAGAGCAGCGGAAGGGAAAGCGAGAAGGGATTGGATGGGCGCACAAAGAAACGTCAAGGTTCATGTGAGGCTCAGTCGGTACTCCAATTGTCGATGGTCCTGCTTTGTGATTGACGTGGATCACCAGGGTTCCATTTGGCGGATTTCGCCTGGGTCCGTTCAACATGCTAGTTTGCCGACGTATTTTGGTTGGGGTGAGTTTGATGTCACCATTGGACGGGTAGATTTGAGAGTCCTTCTTCAATGGCCCAGTTCAGTCAATTCCGCAGAGCCCAGCATCATACGATAATTGAGCCGCTGCTTGCTTTGACAGTTTTTTTTGTTTTTACATGTTGGAAGCTGCATGTGTTCCTGTTGGTCAGCAACAAGGGGAGAAATGGTGCGTGCTTGATTGCTTACTTGTGCGCTCTCTTGTTTGTCGGTGGGTGCGGTTCGTCCTTGTCTTTGTTTGGTTTCTCAGTACTTGTTGTGTTGGTGGGCATAGTGTACTGGGCGATTTTGGCATGTTTCCTCGATAGCAGCCTAGTCCTTGGCGCCGTGGGATTCTGGTGGCAACGGTGATCACCATGTATGTCCTTGGGGCTTGCGAGGACGCTGTTGCATTCCAAGGATGCAGGAGAAGATATACTATTGCAGATGCCTGACTGTTTGGCCATGAGGCATGCATCCCGAAAGGTTGTTGACGTTGGCTACACTTTAAGCATGCTGTGGACACAGTTTGGTAGCAGGCGCGCACTACTAAACAACATAGCAGCCATTGAATCAAACGTTGTCCCCAAGCCCTCAAGGTCCTACAATTTCTGGCCCTGGTGTGAGTTGATTGATGATAGAAACCAGGGGAGTGACAAGTTACAAATCAGGCACAACAGTCTTTCTCCCGAGGAGACAGGCAAATTGCCTGTGGTTTCACAGAAATGTACCACTCGGCAAAGAAAACATGGGATTGGGTTCCGTTTCCTTTTGGCTTCCCTTTTGTAACAGCCTACAATCAGCCCAGGCGGTAGCCCCAGTAGCAAGCCCTGGAACCCTTCTTGGAACCCGAGCCCGGGCTCGCCGCTCAAACCCACTCCGCCTATTTGGGAGACACCATGTCCAGCAACACCAAGACAAGGATTTTTTTGTTTTGGCTGGCTGGGATAGAAGTGGGGGTCAGGATATGGCCGGCAGCATCGTGTCAGCTTCGGCCGGGGGCCGAAACTCGGAGGTCTTCTCCACGTGTTTTCCATTTTTGCGGTACTAGATATGGAACAGACTCAGAACATGTGGCTTGAAATAGGGGACCCCCGAGTTTGATGTCGTGTTGCTTTCCTTTTAGATCCACTCCAAAGGAGCTCTCAAAAAGATGACGCCCCGATATTTTTGTGTACTTCAGAGTTGGGCGAATTGCCGGGAGCGGCAAGTAGGAGTTTTCCATCGAAGGTTCTGTATGCCTTTTCATGATTTTTGATGGCTCTCACGAGTCACGGCCTCTGGGCTGCAATGGCTCCCCTGTGGCGTATCAGCATGTGGTTCAAAGCCTTCCTTCTCACTGGATCCAATCGGCAAGCTTCTATGGCCACCATGCAAAACCTCGATAGAGCTTCCCACCGAGCTTGCGCGGCCTTGAAGCCAGCTTGCCTTCGTCAGTAGTGATGTCAACGTGTAACAAGGTGTCATCCCCGACACGGACCAAGGTGTGATGCCATCGTGTCATCATGTCCTTCATTTGGCGAGTTTGGGAAAAATGGTCGAATCGTCGTGTTTGAAAGGTCTACTTGGGCCACCCATTCTTAGTGAGAACATGAGCCCTGCTCTGATGTCGCGCTCTTTCACGTGAAATAGCCCCGGAGAGACCTTTTAGAAATAAATGGCATTCCACAAAAGGTCTAAAGACCTTTTGCTCAGGAGAACAGAGCAACCCAGAAAGGCAAAAATGCAGTTGGGTGATCGTTGCCGGAGCGATTCCCCCATTTCGGCGTCATCCCCTTTACTTACCCAATCTAGCAACCCAGCAACTTCCATTTGCTGAATTCGCTATTTGCTTATCTTCCGTGTTGGTTTTAATAGCGGAATCTATCACAACTGGACCTATTTTCTGAAATTTGCTCCAGGCGACGCAACAAAAACAACGAAGCGACTGGAGTTGGGCAAGCAGTCACACTTTCATCGTCGAGCCGGCTGAGGTGGAGATGTTCTTCCGCACCATTGCGGATCTGCTGCCTACCCCTGTGAAGTGCCCAAGCCCCAGAGACCTGGCCTGGCCCGAACCTCTGCCCAGCAAAAAGGGGAGGGGGGGTGCCATCATGATCCAGAGGTGGTCGCTAGGTTCCCCGTATTAGGATTGGGGAGATGGGGCGTGAGAGTCAGGCCACTACACCTTCAACTTGCGCCTTGGCAGCAGTTGCGCTGGATCGGAGTTCACCTGGTGCTCCACTTTGCGGAATCCAGCTGTGGGCTTAAAGTAGGAATCCGCCCCTATAATGGTTGGTTTTCTTCCGACTTCCCTTCAAGGTTCAACCAAAACGGGGGCGCAGCCTTTCTGAGAAACTGCCGTGTTTCACGACTCCCTCCCCACAACCTTCAGTACTCAAAGGGTACGAGTAAGAGTTGGAACAAGAGGCGGGTGAGATTCCAACTGCCCGGCTGATTGCGAGCTTACGTGGGATTGAACAGACTCACCCGCGATTAGAACATCTTGCTTGGGGACCCGTTCTTTCGGTTCGGGAATTGATTTGCAGAATTGCCCCCCCTTGTCCCTGCACCAATGCTCACGAGCCCGCGGAGGTCGGTTTTAAAGCTGCCCCTGGTAAAACAAGGGGAAGGTTGATTTCCAACGTAGCCCAGGGCTGAGCTGTTTAATGGTCCTTCTCAATCAATCCAAGGACCTCCTCGTTTTAGTGGTTGCAACCAAAAAGGAGTATGTGCAATCAGATTGGCCAACCCAAACCATTCTAGCGCTGGTTTTTTGTGCGATTTTCCCTGAGTTGTTTTCGCTCATTTCTGCTGGCCGCCCAAAACCATACCTAAGTCACATAAGTTTGGATGCTTAGTTGCTCAAGACCCCGCAAATCCAGAAAACGCTTTGGACCCGCTTTTTCCGAATTTCACCAAGCCCCCGAATCCCTGAGACCTCCTATATATATATATAGGCTTTTCTGTTCGAGACCTGGGCTGGGAGGCACCTCTAGACCTGAAAAATACGGTCTCGGAACTAGATATCTCAGAGGGGCCCAAGGCCTGAATATAAAGGCCTTAGGTTGATGTATCCAATGATGGGTCAGGTGCTCTTTCCCGGTTTGTGTGTTCAGGTGAGTAGTGCGCTACATTGGCAACAAATAGAGATATAAGTTGGCACGACTATTTGTTAATTAAGAAACCGCACGATTGGCAAACCAGACTTTGTTATTTTTCCCGAAGACAGACATGCCTGACGTTGAACCACTTTTCATACAAGTTTCACCCTGCAACACTGATTAATGCCAGCCACGACCAAAAACAAAACATGACGAAATTCCCGCGGCAAAGCACCGCCTTGGACAAATGCGAAGGCCAAATTGCCGATTCAAAGCGCGGGATGCGTGAACATGACCCCTCCCGCCCCCCGAGGCCTGTAGGCCTCGAGTTAAGCCACATATCGTTGCAATACGATGCCTGAAAAGGTACATGAACAGATGCATAGAGCTGAGTTTGAAATAACTCTATAGCTTCATTGTTTGCAATTCAAGGTGTCAGTGGTCCCTAGGACTAACTTCCATGTCCAGTTTTCCATGTTGGGGCTGCCCCATCACAGATGTTGCAAAATTTGTGCCTGAAAAAACAACTGGATCGCTAAGAGAAACACGTCCTGGATAAACGTGCCGCTGCCAACTCTGTCGAGTTTTCTGAGACCCTTTTTAAGATCCCGGCCCTGAGACCCTGAAATTAGAGGCTTTAGCTGAGACCTTCATACATGAGGTCCCGGGCTAGGAAAGTCTTCCTCCTGTTGGTTCTTTCTTTGTAATATTGTCCTCTTTCAGTATCCAGGAGTGGATCCACAACCGCATCCAAGCCGTTTCCTAGCGAAATGGGGTCTCCTCAGCTGTTTTGTAAAGGGGTGGATCCACAGACTCGCCACCGCCAAAGCCGTTTTCTATGACAAGAAATCGCCCAGTGCCCTTCTTGGGAGTCCCAGGCGCGATCCCGCCAAGATGCTCCAGGTGGGGCCTTCCTTCCCTCAAACCCCAAAGCGGGGGCTGCTTTGGCGAAGGAGCAAAGCCACCAGCGATAAAACTTGCGATCGGTGCGAGCGATACAGGGAATGCGAAATGGAGTGAACCGTTTGGGGATTCCCGAATAAAAGAAACCACCAGTTAAATGGTTTCTAGGGGTCATTCTATTTCTCATTCCCTGTCTATCGCACCGATCGCCAGAAATTCGGATGTTGAGCGTCCTTTGGTTTTCCACAAAAATCGGGGGACGTGTTTGTCGCAACTCGGGTCTTCGGAGCTACTCGCAGGGTCCAAATACGACCCTTATCTTCCAGTTTGCTTGAACACATGGCTCTTCCCGTGTTGGTTTTCAAGGGCCTCTATCACGTCTGGACATATTGTCACGTTTCTCACGGGACTTAAGTAGATGAAAGTTATTGAAACCCTTGTGTGTTTGGCACAAAACCCGGAGGGGGGGCTCGCGGTAAGTGTGCAAGTGCACCCTCGAAGATTGCTTCGTTTTGGCCGCGGTTCCGCGTATTCCGAAGGCTCTGATCTTTTCTGGAACTCCAAGGTCACTTCCCAACTGGGGATTGGGGGTGAAGCGACTGCTTGGACTTCCGAGTTGAGAAGTGGGTAAGCGAACATGAAGCCCAAAAACGAGGGGGTTCCCAAACCAAGATGCCGCCAATGTGGATGAGTTGCTTGGGGGGTCCACTTTGACTTTGCTGATTTTCGTGCTTGTTTTGATCAGTTCTGCGCTGCTTGTTGCCCTTGGAAGTTTGCGAACTGGTCCCAAATCGGGTGCAAAAGGACTATCAACTGCATCACCAATTGACAGGACTTGGCATACCCCACAGAAAGGCCAGGATGAGGGCGATCACACGGTAAAGCTTGACTGCTATTGGTTGGATCTTTAGACTTGAACTTTTTGGTTGAAATCAAGGGGTTTTCTACTAACCCCCGAAAAGCTAAACTTTTGCAGGGGGGTCAACAGCAACCAAAAAACTATTCCCAAGAAACTTTTTCTGCGAGTTTGAAAAAGGTGACGCCTTGCAGGGCATGCTGATGGTGCATGTGAAGACTGAGCTCACCGATGAGGACAGCCTGGTCAGGCAGGACTCAACCGTGCCGAAGATTTCCTTGAAAGAAGCCTAGGTGTGTGGGTAGACCTAGCGCGTTGTTTGTTGTTTGTTGTTTGCGTTGTGTTTGTGTTTGTTTCTGTCGTGTTTGCGGTGTGCTTCAAACACCAAATAAAGCAGGCTGACCAGTTCCTCATGTTCAGAGGGCATGAATTTTGTTTTGCGGGCTATCCGATATGTTGTGCTCGGCAATCACGGGTTGCTGAGGTTGCATTCTGCCGTCCCAAATTTCGATCGGATTTATCTAGAGGCACAACACAAATGATCCATGAGGATGCCTTGCTGCCTGGAGTCTCCATGACCCCTAGAGAAAGGGGTCATGACCCCCTAATTTTGGGTAATGACCCCGTTTTTAAAGGGTCATGGAAACTCTAGACGGTTTTCTGATTTCCAGTTTGGGAGTAGCATGCCAGGCCCTTTGCCTTTGGATTCCTCTGAAGATCCAAAAAGGATTCAGCTGTGCGCACGGCTTGCGAGGCTTTGGGTGCATGAGACCTGTCGGCAGTTCCGCGACCGCCTGGTGAACCAAGAGGAGAAAGTGAAATCGGCTTCAGCGATGAGGGGACCAACGTCGGACTACACCTCCCCCAAGAAAAAAAGGGTCAAACAGATTAAACGGGTTCCGGGGGATAAGTTATTATTTTGTTGTTGCTTAAAATCCAACCGTTCATATTTGTCCTGTGCTAAATCGCCCATTTTTCTAATTTTCCCCAAGAGGAAAGGGATCATTTCCATTGTTCCAGACGGATTTAGCATCCATCACATGGCTGCTCTTTTTTTCTGGGCGGTTGGTTTCCAGCTGGCTTCCGTCTGTCCGAGAAGCTGGTTTCCTTCTGGCTTCCTCTTGTGAACAAGATTGGTTTCCTTTGGCGTGTGGGTTTCGTTTGGGGTTTCCTGGCAAGTTTGCCATGAACTTCCAGCTCCTTTAGCCAAATGCGGCCTTGGCACAGACTCAGAAGGCAGCTGGAAGTTTGTATCATTCATGGGGCACCGGACATCCGTTCGTTAAACAGCACCGTGTCACATTGCCAGACTGAGCTGACATTGTGCTGGTTTTGCCTTTCTGGATTTCCTTGGTTCTCGAGCAGCAAACTTGTTTCAGGGGGGCGGATCCGTTTGGCCGGATGAAGATAAGATGATTCTGTATCCTGCAAAGCCAAAGGCGGATTAAGTGACTCGAACACAAATGCACCTTGTAAAGGTGGATTACGCATCGCTTTTTGTTACCAGTATGTTAGATAAGCAGAGTTTGTTGCTGATGGTTTTTGATAGTTTTACGGTTTGCCCTAGTTACCTACTGTAATGTTAGCTTCGGATTGGTCGGGAGGATGCTACTAAGCACGAGTGGTTCTCGTTTTAGTAATCTGCATTAATCCGAAGTCAACATTAGTGGTATATGAAAGCATTGGGTCATATCAGTGACTCAAACAGCCAAAAAGTCCTCCTCGCTTCCCTCAGTTTCCGCTTCCGTAGGACCGCAAGTGGTTCAACGACTGCTTGTCCGTGTCGTGGCTGCAAGAAGGCAGGAGTGTGAGACAACTTATTTATGTGTATGTGCGTGTATTTGTGAGGGTACCCTATTTCCGGTGGGGTTATGTGGAAAGTTGCCCTTTTGGTGGGTTTAAAGAGGTTGATTTCAAGGGAAGCCAAAAGGATATCCACTGGGAATGGGTATGTGGCAAAATGCCCGCAACTGGTGGTTTTCCTTTGGTCCTTGAAACCAACCCGAAAGGACAGCGAACCTCAAACAAGCACTCCGACCCTTTGGGGGCTTCTCCGAAATTAGTACATGCTTTAGGGTTGACGGAAATGTCGGTCTGTCTTTTTGAGTGGGGTTGTTCTTAAGGCGAAAGCGCGGTCAAGACACATATTTTGGGGTACCCTCAGTTAGAGACAATCTCACACGGAGGAGAATCTGAGCACGTTTTCTTGGACCCTGATGTTGGCGAGAGAGACATGATAGCAACATGGGCGTGTGTTTGGGTTGAGGCTTACCCTGAAAAGACCTTAGCTTAAAGGGAAACCCAGGAGGGAACCACCATTTGCAGAGTTGCCCTTTTTTAGAAGGTGGTTCTACTGTCTGACTTATAGTGGGTATAGCAAGGGCTGTATAAAGCTTTTTCACTATCTTGGTATAACTACAAGTCAATTGGTTTAGGGCGCTGCTCATACGTATTGTCCCGGGAAACCAAAACGGGAGGGACGCTGTTTCTTTCCAGACACCTATTTGACACCCGGTCAACTGAGCTGATGAGACAAGTTGAGTGATGCCACATTTACATACGATGTACAGAAGGCGTGAAGTCTACAAGAATACACCACTCTATTCGGGGGACGTAGGAGACCCCGAAAGATAGATTCCGTTTGGTGCTTTTGCATGACGTTTGTCAGTTTGAGTCTCCAAACGAGATGTTGAAGCCCACATCATCTATATTACGGTAGCCTTTTTTGGTCGCCAAGCAACAAACAAACATTTGACCGATTTGGAGGGTAAATGTGTTTGAGGATGTCCGAAGGTTTCGGGTTGAACTCAATATCATTCTATGTGTCCCTGGTTTGAAAAGGATTGTATCACTGGAATTACATTTTTCCAGAGACGAGAAAGCAGATGGATATGTGGGTGCGAAATAGCCTGTGGTTGGTTAAATTTAAAGGAAACAAGGGGATGGATAGATTCTTTTGTCCAGACCCTATTTAGCACCCAGTTCTTTTCCGTTTGCCCTTGCTTGTGTCGTTTGTTTGTTGCTTTGCTTGCTTTGCTGGCTGGCTGGCTGGCTGGCTGGCTGGCTGGCTGGCTGGCTGGCTGGCTGGCTGGCTGGCTGGCTGGCTGGTTTGTTTGTTTGTTTGTTTGTTTGTTTGTTTGTTTGTTTGTTTGTTTGTTTGTTTGTTTTTGTCTTATTCATTTGTTTGCCTGATTGTTTGTTTGTCAGTTTGTCTGCTTGCCTCTTTGTCTGTTTCTTTCTTTATTTCTTTCTTTCTTTCTTTATTTCTTTCTTTCTTTCTTTCTTTCTTTCTTTCTTTCTTTCTTTCTTTCTTTCTTTTTGTTATTTCTTTCTTTGTTGTTTGTTTGTTTGTTTGCGTGTGTGTTTGTTTGTTTGTTTGTTTCTTTGTTTGTTTGTTTGTTTTTTGTTTGTGTGTTTGTGTGTTTGTTTTGTTTGCTTGTTTGCTTGTTTGTTTGTTTGTTTGCTTGCTTGCTTGTTTGTTTTACCTAATCGATCGACTTAATATAACATGTATATATATATATATGTATGTATTTGTTTAGTCATTTGGTTTACGGACAACAATTGTTTGTCTCTTGTTTTCTCTAGTCAATCAACTCGCAGGCCTGAACAAGTGCAACTGGAATTCCTGCTCACTTTCCGGCTCAGATCTCCACGATTTGGACCGAGGGTGGCTTGTGTTTTGGTTTCAACCAAAGTGAGGCTGGGTCTCGGGTCTCAAACTCACTCAGGAGAACCTGGAGAAGCACTTGCAGACTTCCTGGCCTCAAGAACAGTCCGTCCCGACCATGTCGCTGGGGTGGATTTGTTGTTCTTTTTGCGGGAGGCCCTTGACCAAAATGTTCCGCCGGCGGGGCGGGGAGGGGGGGGGGGAATATCAAGGGTCAACATTATGTGATTGGTTGTTTTTACCCCCGAACAATATCCACAGAGAACGGTGTTTGCTTGCAATCCTTTGATTGAAAATAAAAACACAAAAATACAAATAAAAGTCAAGAGAGCATGGGATGGGTATCCCCAGAATTGCAGGACCCTCATGTTGGTGTGTCAAGACAAACACAACAGGAAGCTACCACTCACGAAGCCATGTGGGACCTTGGGCCATTGGGATCTCGGTTTTCTGGATTTCTGTGTGCCTTCAGGCTTGGTTTCTGGTGTTTCTGTTGGTCTCCTGGGCCACAAATCCAGGGTCCATGCGTTTTTTTGCCGACACATGCGAAGCCCAGTTCATCTTTACGGTGCCATGGTTCGTCAGTATGGCACGGGAATTGAACGTGAGAATTCTTGCCAGAGCACGAGAATTGGATGGGACCAATCTTCAGTTGAAGGCTCATTACTTGGGGATCACGTTCGGGGTTTGGAATCAAGATGGGTCTGCGGTAGACAGAACCCTTTTTGTGTGGTGCAGGGAAACCCAAAAGAACCCGCACGTTGCTTGGGGTATCCTATTCTTGGCGGTTCCCAGCCATCCCCTTAGGTGTTTAGCGGGGGATCTGAGAAAAACCCAGTATTTTGACACATTCCCCGTTGCATTTTCAGATCCTTTGGAGGGCTCTCACTTGGCCTTCAGCCTGAAAAGCCAGGGTTCCCTAGCTTCCGATGTATATTTGGCCTAGCAGGTCTTGCAAGCATAGGGGTCTCCAGTTGGTTGGTATGTTGAAGGGAAGCCAAAAGGAAGCCAGCCATTTTCTAGGGTCCCCCATTTTGAGAGACACCCATATGTGGATAGTGGGGTGTTCCTCATGAACAAGTAATCCGGATCTCCTCTAAAATTGGACATCCCCCTATGAAACAACCAGGGGTCAACATTAGCAATGGTGGGGGCGATATAATAACAATGCTGGTTGCATTACCCCCACCATTGTTTTCATGGTAGCTGACTCCCAGAATAAAGCTTCTGCTCTGAAGGGAAGAGCAGGGTTCGCTGGATTCCCCTTCCAAAATGTGCAATTGACTGCTGGATACGAGCACTTTTGGAGGTAAACCCCAGAACGGGCAATGGCTCGTGTTTCTCGGTGCGGGCGTTGTTTCAACGGAAATCCGTATGGAGCCATGGCCCGCCGAGCTCTTCCCTGCCCGCTCTCCACAGGCGAGTCGATTCGGTTTCGCGTTTCGATTTCCGAGACGTCGACGCAAACGAAGGGACGGAGCAGGCGACTGTGCTCCTTTGGTTTGGGGGGTCGCTTCAAAGTATTTGGTGCTTTTGTCTTTGTTGCTCTTGTTGCTTTTCCTGTGTTCAACGGATTGTTTTTGGTTGGGTCCCATCGTTGGTGCCTTTGTTGATGCCTCACTTGTTTGAGGTGGGGTCGCTTTACATTCTATCAGTTCAAGAGGTCCTTTTGTTGCAAGGGGTTTGTTGACAAAACACACAGAAAGAGTGTGGCTGAACGAGAAGCTTTCTTTTTGCCATAGAACCATCGGTACGATTTACGGCAGACTCACTGAAGGCTTATGTATGAACCTGTATACATATATATAGACATATACAAACCCCTGGCACGAACCCCTAGTCAATGAACCACCGATTGTAGCTTCGTGGGGAGCCAGTTGCCAAAGGTGCCAAATGGCCTTAGGTTGATATATGGTTCATGCAGTAGGCAGGGCTGCTTTGGTGCGGAAGGCCACTGGATTTCCTTTGGCTTCCGTCAGGGTTGCCGCTGGAAATTGGACCCTCCAGGCGGGTTTTGAGAAGCCTTTGGGTTTAAGGAATGCCCTGGGTCCATAGATCTCCCATCCTGAGAGGTGCGAAGTACTGGGACGATGTGGGAGGAGTCACCAGGGTTTAGCGTGGCAATACGCACAAGAGCTTGGGGCTGACGATTTGGGGTCACCTGACATCTACTCACCACCCACTAAGCTAGCTCCGACATCCAAGTGGCCCAAACATCACCTCTTCGGACCACGGTCAGAGGTTTTTGCGCTCCAACGGACCTTAAACTTCCTGAGATTCCAATCGCCAGCAGAAGTTCGCTTACTCGTTCTGCCCGATTTACTATCTGTTCTTTTAATTTAAAGCGAACTTGGGGTTTCCCAGTTCGTTTCAAAGTTTTTTTGCAAAAAAAACCCAAGGTGGTCCACTCCTGCGCGGACTTCCTGCGCGCGGTCTCGGTGGAAAGTCACCTGGAGCGGGCGGTCCATTTCCCGCAGGGCCTCCGGAAGACGCTAGGGCCGGAAGAGCGAGCGGTCGCGAAGGGTTGGTCACAGGAGGGGACCCTGCAAATGGGTTGTTTTGCTTTGGTGTCCCTGAACTCGGGGTTCGGAATTGAGATGGGTCTGCGTCCTTTGTTTGTAGGCACCCATGTCTGACGTGTGTGTGTAAAGGGATGCCGAAAGGAAATCGTACCCATTTAGGGAGTCCTATTTGGAGACACGGCTTGTTGCAAAATGAGGCAACACTCAAAGCTTCCCCTTCAGCCAACCAAATGGTGCCCTCAAAGAGAGACACTCTGCTCCTTCGGCATCCAACGCAACCCAGCAACCCCTCCAGGCAAGGGGCGCTATCAGGGGCTTTAAAATAATCAAAACATCAAAAAACACACACCAACAAAATTACAAGCACCTGGGGCTGCAAAATACATCAAAGCCACAGTTGGTCAAATACCGCTGGTTTTCTGACCGAGGTTTGCGCTTGAGCCCTGCTGGCCGAGCGAGTGCCCCGGATCGAAGGGCCGAAGGTTGGGGAGAAACCGAGGCCTCCACCCAAGAGGGCTGTTTAAGGGTTCGTGGCGGGGAAGGAGCAACCAAGTCAGGACGTTGTCTCTGACTTTCTACAAATCCCCTTGAAGCGACATCCAGATCGAATCTTACTTCTTGTCTCCGCAACTGGCAATCAATCAGAAAACGGTTTTCACAGGGGCTCCGTTTAAGCAATAAACTATTGAATTTACCAGAACTGGGGTGGTGCCCTGTTTTCCTTTGTTTTAACGGGGGTCCCCTGAAGCTTTAAAATCAAATACTAATAAAATAGTCCCTCTTCGTTTCATGTTTCACGACCACGCGCAGAACAACCTTCACAGATGTTATTTTCAGACTAATTACATTGTTTTAGAGCACCTTTTCAGAAGCTACTGTTGTTTTCTCAACCATTCTCTAAATGGTTTAAGTGGGGGGACAAAAACGCGCCCCCAACAAACAAAAGAAACATGCAATCTCATGCAATGTTGAGAAGCCCTTAAAAGTGTAAGCGTTCTAAGGGACCCTTCATTCGAGTTTTCCACCAGTGGGTGCAGCTGATCCAAGGCGATCGTCTGGGCTTCCAGGCGCCCGGTATTGGATACATCCAAAACCGCCTTTACAACAAATACCCGTTCCTCAATCAGCTTGCCATGGTGTTTTTAGCTTGGACGCTGGTATCCCAGGCATTCTGCTTGCCATCCAGTGGGTGTTGCATTCGCTCCCGGCTGAGACCCCCTCCCATGCCGGAGGCCAGAGCAATGCGCGCGGCTTTTCAGCGGCGGCTCGGTGATGGAGATCTTGGACGCTCTCGACCCGGAGAAGGTCCAGGGCAACCTGGAAGGCGCGGTTCCAACATATTCCCCCTGGTCACCTAACCGGACTGGGCTGCTGAATGGCAATCTTACTCCTTCCTCGGGTTACCCCAACAGATTGGTCCCCCTTGGAGTGGGAAAGGATTTGGTCCCTTGGTCGTTGGTCACTCTGGATTGGACCCTCCATTTTGAACAGCCTGATGTTGGCCTGAGAGTCCGAGCAGTTCCGGAAACACATCCTCCCTCCTGCAACACTGGTCTCCGCCATGTGAAAGACCAACCAGCCCTTTGTTCCCCAAGCGAAGCCAAGAGGCGTAGTGCTTCACACATCTCGAAACAGTTGGCTGGCCTCACAAAGGCCACACCCCCTTGTTCTTGGGAGGTTCCTTCACCCCCAGAAACGCAGCCAGACGAGGCGCTAAGTGGTTGGTAGCCATGGACGTACAACCCACAATTCTATGTAAGTCCACGTTCAGGTTATTTGGGTTTTGTTTTCGCATACCCGAAGGTTCCTTTTTTGGGGTCCGGAACGAATCCCGTGGACTCAATGAATTTGTACACCTCGGCCTCTGACCTTTCTACTTCTTTCTCTTCAGCTTTCATTCCATTCTCCCCCTCCAACCAGCACTTAGTCCACTTTGCAGGGAGTCCGGCCAGGTGTTCTTCCTTGGTTCCCTTGGTCAGTGCCGCCTTTGCTTGCTTCCCCCATGTGGGCGGATCACCTCACCCACCCCAAGGCCCAAGGCCCACTCCGCGCAAGCCAGGCATCGACCCCGAGTCCCGGGTGCAGCAAGACGTCTTGGAGCTCGCCGAGCGGCGAGGGCTGCTGCCCTGTGGTGAGGCTTCCGCTGAAATCTCAGCGATTCGCCCTTGGTGTCACGTGGCTGTGGTGGTCAAAGCCAATGGGATCCCACTTTGGTTGGTAGGTGAATTCACCACCCATTCTAGAGCCTATTTTAGTGGTCAAATTGGGATGTTCCCTGGGGGGTAGCCGGGATTTTGACCGATGGCCACATGGCCAGAGCGAATCGACCTGAACTCTGACCTTCTGCTCTTCCCATTTGGTTTTTCGTCCCACCAGGTGATCGCGTTTGATTTGCCCATGTCTTAAACCGTCACGGTTTTGATCACCCCTTGATTTGCAGGCCCCGAAAGGTCCAGGTGGATTTCAAGGGGCTCAAACCAAAACGTGGTTCTCCAACTAGGAACCGTTGTTCCTCAAGATGGCTGGTTTGCTGTTTAGATACCAAAACGGGGTCCACCATGTTTGAGCCACCTTCAAAACCGGAATGTTCAGGAAAAAGGGCAAAAGGTGCAGCCATTTTGGGCTCGGTCCATGTTCTTCAGTTCGGTCGAACATAGACCGCACTGGTTTCACTTTGGACCTAACCAACCGCAGTCCATTGGATGCAGGGTTCCGTTCTGTTTGGAGAATTCCTGAGGTAAGACCTGAACTCAGGGCTGGTTGATTTCCCACCAGTTCGCCGAAAGTGGCCCGCCCTTCCCCCCAGATATGAAAAAGAGGAAGGGTTCCCAACTTGTCCCCGGGCTCCAATGTTTCTGTTACAACCTAACTGGGGTAAGCCAACCGGTCTCAACTCTCAAACGGTTTCCAGTGGAAGCTGTCTTGATCGGGATCAAGTTGGAGCGATCCTCCGAGATGTTGGTTTCAAAAATCTCTCGGGGTCGAAAGTGGTGGGGGATCTTTTTGGGGCATCCTCTGGCCACGGGAAAGTTTTCCAGTGGAGCCACTGGAGTCCTTCTAGGGCAGCAACAGTCTATCAGGCGCAGGTCCATAGCACACACCTTCGGGTCGCATCAACCAGCCCTGGGTAAACGGACAAATTTCCGAAGTCTCAATGCCCCACTGGTTGTCATCGGTCGGCTTGGCATGCCCTTAGGTCGGAATCCCTGCGTGCTCTTAGGTCGGATTCCCTAAATGGTTCACTGACCCCAGATATAGGGTTTTACCCCGCTTACACGGGGCCTACAACCCTAGCTTTGGGTTATGACCATGGCAAAGCAACATACCACGGGATTCGATCTGGAAGCAGGCCGATGCGGCCGCCAAGCGCTGGTTTCAAGACCCGGAGGTGGTCCGTGAATCTTTCGGTTTCGGCCGCCGAAACCGACTTTCCGATGCTTCACTCTGTGTGTGTGTGTCTTTTCCTTCAGCTGACACCAGAAAAACCAGGCGGTGGTTGCTAGCTTCCTGTGGAGATTCCTGAAGCTGTTCTTGGCACGTCTTTAGTTGGTTTTTTGGCTCTGTTCATGTAGTGGTGGGCTGCCAACAAAAAGCAAGACAAGGCTGCTGGTTGCTACCATGTTCCAGGCTTGGGAAGTATGGCTCTTCCCGGTTTCCCCCAAGCTCCTTTCCTAGGCGGGAAGCCTCAACAGACAGCGCCGGGAAATTGCAACTTTCGAAGGGGAAATCCGGTGCGAAGCCAACCACTCGGTTTCCCCAACTTTGAGAAACACCCATTGGGCATTTTAGTAGCTGGTTGTAGCTGGTAAAAGGATGATAGTAGATGGTGGACTATAGAAAACTACGCAACACTTGGTGCCACCTTTGTTCTACCTTGGGTGAAGCCTATGGAATACTTCATAAACACCGATAGAACCAACAGTCAGTGGTTTTTGGTGCTGCTTGACCCAGACTCGACATCCGGGTAGATGAAGTGTAGGGACAGCCCTCTTGCCAGAAACAGCTGAGGAAATTCGCCCTTTGAATTGTTTTCGTGGTGTTGCCAGCGTTTTTTTGTGACTCACTTGAGGAAGCATGCCTAGGAGAGACGCGGCTTTGTTTTCAACACCCCATTTTCAGCTTCCCGTTGATCGGTTGTTTAGATTGGTGGGTTTGGTTGTTGACGGGTTAGTTTCCCATAGCCAGGGCTTCAAATCCAAATCCAAACCACTAAGCCAGACCACCAACTGAGGGTTCCTGATGGTGAAACCCTTTAGCGCATGGGTGTCTTTTTTTTGGTTGGTTGGCATCAAACAAATATAGAGGGCCCTGGTTTAGATGGTTGATTCCATTTACCAGGGCCATCTATGTTCCAAAAGGCTACCTATGCTTTAGCGGGTTTACTCGTGGCTTGCTTTTGGTCTGGGCCCAGTTTCCCGCCAGGTGGGTGCGGAGTCTTCGGAGCTGCAGCGCCTGCGGTGGCAATGGTAGGGGTGGGTAGGGTGGGGGGGGGGTCGATGGGTTGGTCGGTTTAGGGAAGCCAAGTTGAAAGCAATAGGGAACCCCCCCCTTTGGAGACAAAGCCAGTGGATTGACATCTTGGATGGACATACTGGGCATCCTGTGTGGGCATATCACTCTTGTTTCTGACAAGATGGCACCCTTAGCTGGGTTCCTTCTGATCTTTTGCTCCATGATTCAAACGGGGGTTCCATCCGGGACCTCATTGTTTGCTGCTGGGGTTGGACAGAAGATGTCAGCTCCGATTTAGCAATGCCAATAGTTTACACAAATTGATCGTGGCGCACCAGATGAGTACACGCTCTTGTTGGCCAGTTTAGAAGAGTGTTCTGGTTCCTGGCTTATTGGGAATCCATGCGAGAGTTTTCCACGGAAATCATGCTCAATTTAAGGCAAACCGAAAGAGATCAAACCCCTTTCCGCAGTCCCAGGTGCGCAGTTTCTGCCCGCGCGCGTCTGGCCCGCAAGGCGGCGGCGGCGAAAGCGCTGGGATCCACGGCGCAGGCGCTGTGGCTGCGGCAAAATTGGACGCAGAAACTAAACCGCTTAGGGTTTTTATAAGAAACCAGTGCAATGACCCAATGCATATATATATATATACATAACAATGGTAGTTGTAAGACCAAAAATTTCTCTTGGACCAACCTAGGAATTGCTCACTTGCAAAGGACCTAGAAGTCAATCCTGGTGGGTCTAGTTCCGCCGTTAGTTTCAGTAGGTCACCCGTGGTTGCTTGCTAATTATAGCGTTAAGTGGACTTCTGGGAAGAGAAGTGAAGCAGGCTGAGGGTGAAATTCCAAAGGGAGGCGGAAGCCTTGGGGTGGGGGGGGGGGGCGGGGGATCGAAGGGGGATGGATGTTTTGACAGAGCCAGGTCATGGCTAGGGTCAATGTTCGAAAAGGAATCGTCGGGGCAAATTGACGTCTTGAGGCGGTGACGGGTACCCTTCCACCAATTGACATGAATCCTAACGAGGAGGTCCTGGAAGACCATTTTCCATTTACAGGGACCCCCTGTCAGGTTCCATGTTAATTGGTGGGAGGGTATTTATCTTCCGTGGCGACTTTTTCTTAACAGACTCTCTTGCTACCCTGTGGTGGGTCCTGGTCAGCCAGGCTTTGTTTCCGAAGTTCCACATTGAGAGCTGCCGAAAACTCGTGTGTGGAAAGCGGTGCCATGAGCTTGCTTTCGAAGCAGCCAAACAGATCCACAGGTACAAACTCTGCACGCTAGGGACGGTCATGGACCCGGTTATGGGAATTTATCTAATAGTATAGGGCAGCCATGACTCAATGATCAGCATTCCTATTAAGGGCATCACGATCACGGGCGACGAAAGAAGTTCTGACCATAGCGTGTATGAAGCGCATGAAGGATCCAATCAAGGTCGCCTCTTGGTTTAACTTCTTGCCAACTCATGGGTTTTGCATTACACCACTAAAAGTTTAACTTTTAGCAGGGGAGCAGAAAGCAACCGAGGCAACACAGACCCAAATTTCCTGCGCCTCAGCTTCCATCCGCCAAGGTATTTGTGTGAGCTTCGCCCCATCCAGGCCCCGAAAAGAGCGTCGGGCACTTAGCGCGCGCGGATGCGATGCCAGCGTCTGCTTCAGGCGGTTTTTTGCAAACCGCTGAAATCCACTTGGGGGGCTTAAAACAGGCCTCCAGTGCTTTGTTCCAGAATTTCGGAAGGGGTTTGCCTCATGCAACTTCAATTTGCTTAGGACTTGTTTCCCTTGTTTCGAAACAGAACCTATCTCTACTGTACATATTTGCTCATTTTTTCCAGGGAACGAAACAGCAAATCAGGCGAACATGTGTGGCCCCTTTGACAAAACTCATGGCCGTCGCAGGCAAGTGACTTGAATTGGAGCGCCAAACACCAGCCCGGGTTGCCAAAAGTGCCGACGTCCAACATTTCTCGCTGCGCAAGCAGGGTTTTGGGACTTTGCGATACCACGGGGATCCCGCTTTGCATACAGTAAGGTAACATCCTGCTTTAGTCAAAGGTAGCTTAGAAGAAGTTGCCGTGGTACTGGAACTCAATAGAGGCTAGCTTCGTCTCGCTATATATAATATAGGAAACTTGCGCATGATATGCAGAGAGAACAGAAGAGAAGAGAAGAGAAGAGGAGACAAGAAAGAAGAAAAGGATGAAGAAAAGAAGGGAGACAAAAGGAGAGTCATCTACAATCATATATATATATATGTATACATAATATATGCACATATATATATATATATATGCTATCCTAATTCGAAACTTGCGTCGACTGGCTCCGCCGGCTTTGGTGGTACTGCAAGGTTGCCACTTTCGAGCGATTCGCGTGCATTGGCAGTGACAAGTTGCCATTCCTCTTCAGGAGCGAAAGGGTGCGCTGCGCAATTTGAACCGATACCCCCAATATACTTCCTCAAGAAATGCAACATGCTTCGACAGTTGCTCATATATGTAGATATTCTTTCAACCCGGGGCTGTGAAGGCAAACGTGTAGGATTTTTATTCAAGTCCCGATTGTCATTTGCACTTGGAGGAACGAACTCGATGTTGGGGCAGGGCGGGAGGGTGGGGAAAGCTCGAGGCAAAACTGTCACATTATCCCACATGTTGGTGGTGTTTGGCGTTGAAACAATTTTTCCCGGAGAGCAAAACTTGCATGTCGTCGGCGGATGTGGTGGAAGGGATGTGCCAAACCGTTTTTGGCAGCAATGACGACTTCTTGTGCTAGCAGGTTGACATGCTTCCGTAGCATGGACTTGCAACGTCAGCGAAATCCACAAGGTTGCCACAACATTTGACACTATGCATTCCGTTGCAGGTTTTCAAGTTGCGTGCCTGCTGCAGTGGACGCTAACTGGATGCGGTTTCACAAGCTGTTGTTGCTAGTGACTGGGGCGGTCTGGCCTGTAGTGGCAGCTGGCGCAGCGACGGTGAGCGCTTCAGGCACTTGCACGATCTCGTCGGGGTCTTCAGCTTCAGTTTGTTGAGCTCGTTGCAATGTTGCAACAGAGTTGTGCGATAGCGGGGCATAGGGATCCTTGCCGCCGACTAAGAGGGATATGTGCAAAGCCGGCATTCTTTGTGGACCCATTGCCCAACCCCAAAAGATCCTTCGCGCTTCGTACGGGCAGCCTTTGGCTCCTCAAAAGCTGTTGCGAGGGTCCAACATTTGCATCGTGATGTTTTTTTTTGGGGGGGGCATCGCGGAAACTCTGCCGGACGCTTGGTGGGTGGGGGGTCAAACTCCTCCAAAGGACCAAAGGACCCATTCCCCCGCTCCAAGGACTTGGTTTGCGTTTTGGTTCCGAGGCCTTTTTCGGCCCTGAGGGAGCTCGACGTGCTTTGGGCGCACGAGGAGGGCTTCTTTGTGGGTGGCCCGGGCACTGGCAAAGGCCGCCTTTTGGGCGCGGCCGATGTGGGGATCAGAGGTCAGCCATGAAGGTTCCTGGTTTGGAATCGGTACGTTTTTGAATTAGAAAGAAGGACAACGTCCCCTGAACCTAATGGAAATGCCTTTGTAAGATGGGCTTTCTAATGGGACATACCAGGCACCAACGAGTTTTCATTGCTTCCCTTTTGTCCCTTCGTAAGCCTGGTTCACACTAAGACCAAAGGCTACTACCAGGATCTGATCGGCAGTCCTTTTTGTCGTCAATCAAAAGCCACCATGCAAAATCCAAGAGATAAAGATAGTGGCTACCTATTGGCTGAACGAGCTCTTTCGGAAAGATAGCTTTCATTGCTCCATGCAGAATAATTTGTTTGCTTTCCCTGTTGGTTTTAAAGGGAATCTGTCACCGGACATATTTGTTCATGTGTGGGGGACCAAGCACGTGGAGGTCCTCAGGTGTCCCATCTCACTCTCTGAGTTTCATTGCACCCAGTTTGGGGAGTTTCGCCATAGGGTTTGCTTCCAGGTCTTGACATAGCGGCGAAATTCCTGGAGGCCTTGTGGCAAACCAAAAGTCTGGCTGTTTGTGACCAAGTGCGAGTGTGGCTTTGGCCCCGAATCTGGTGGGTTCCTTGTTCATCCCAGATGCCGGGTAACCATAGCATGTACTCCTTCACCATGTTTCTTTTGATTTTACAGGCTCGACCTGCTAGACCGGGAAGTGGATTCACTGGGGATAGGGCACGTGTAGGCCTGCATGTCGACCAGCGTCCCGAGAGCAACATCGGCAAGCAGTGGCGCGGCAGGAGCAGTTGGGACTGGAACGGTTTTTGACGTCTTTTAATCGTACCTCCAGAGCTCACCCTGAGTTCGGGCGTTAAGCTGTTTTAGAGACCTTTTGTAGTGGCAAACAAAAACACACACTTGTGTGGTTTTTCACGGCGCCCCGGACGCAGATTGGTGTCCTTACATCCAAGACGTCCACACCCAAAAGACCATTGAACATCGGTTTCAGTCAGACCTCCCCTATGTTCCAACCTCGTGACCAATGGCATTCAGCGCGAGTATTGCGGTTTGCATCCACAACTACGGCGTTTGTGCGTGTGTGTGTGTGTGTGTGCAGCGGCTGATTGTGTTTGTGGTTGTGTCCGAGCTTGCGTGGTTGTGTCTCTGTTTGTTTTGTTGTGCGTGTTGTGCGTTTGTGCATTCATGGACGGTATTGGTGCTGGTGTTCGTCTTCGTTTTTCTTGCTTCTTTGGCTGTTTAAGTGTTCCCACACTTCGTTGGCTGACGACACGTTCTTGCTATCCTTGATCTGTGCTGGTATACCCCCCCACTGACAGGGGCCCGGTCCCTTTGAGCATGCCATGTTCCCTGGCTTGGAATTCCATTTTTGGGAATTCCATCTTGATTCATGGCGTTTTCGCAGAGCTTGAATTCTGGGTTTGATTGTGACGTTTATGTTTTTTTTTTTGGGGGTTGTTTGTTTATGGAATTCCCAGGCTGCCCAGGTGAGCATTGAGCATCGCCATTTTGAGTTCGCCAGGAAGCTGTTCGCTGCCTGGCCCACCACCGGCCTTGATGTCTTGGAGTCCTGCTATGGTGCCTCATCAACAATTGCCACCTCTTTTGAGGTGGCTCCTTCTTAACATCCCATCGCCAACTAAATACTCAATCCTTCCTTTTGCTCCAGACTATGCTACTGATCATTGTATTTGAAAAAGGAAATAGTTGTTTTAAAGATCGTAATTCATCACCAATGGACATCATAATTCATCACTGCTGGGCAAATTCTTATTTTTGTCAGGGGACCTGAACATGAATCCCCACCTGAACCATAGTGGCAAACCAAGCACGTGTCTTTTTTTCACAAAAAGGTTTCGTGCCACTCCCTCAGGAAATAATTCATGGGATTCAACACCTCCCCCCCCCCTCGAATAAGGGCTTAATACAGCCTTACTGGGGCTTTATGTTGGGCAACAAGGGGAAGAATGGTAAACTTGTTTTATAGTTTTTTCATCAAACTTGAGTATGTGTCAATTAGAGATTTGGACCCCCCACGAAGGGAGGCAAAACTGGAACCCGGCGGTTTACCTTTGATTTCCCACTAACAAGGGTACCGGGCCTCAAAGAGTCACACCAGCTTGTCTGACCAGACTCAAAGGTCAGAGAGACACCTGCCCGGCACAGCTTAGACATGTCAGAATGGGTGATTCGGCATTGTTTGTGATGGTTTGGAGGCGGATCTTTTGCGAAGCCATTTTTGTTGGTTCATCTTTATGTTAGTTTGGGAGGGACATGTTCTACAAAAAATTGGATCCACCCGCTCATGCCCCTGGAGCAAAACCAAGTTGTCCTATTGTTTCCCATTCAATAGCTGTCAAACTATGCCCATGGAGTCATTCGAAACATTACGCTTCGGCCCCGTCCCTTCACCTTTTGGGAAAATGGTTTTGAGGGGGTCACTTACTGCTAGGCATTTCTCCCCTACAGGTTGACTTGGAACCCAAAAATCCATCGGAAATTTATTTCGGGGGACCAGTTAGTTTGTTGGGGAGAAGCCAAGGTTCTGCACCACCAACTTGACCGTCACCGCGAAAAGAAAGGGACATGGCGATGCCTCTTGAAAGACAAACTGCGGGGAAAACCGCTTGCTTTTCCGGGACTTGTTTTTTGTTTTTCTTTTTTCGATTTATCATTTTCAAGGTTCACCTTGGACTACAATCTCAATGTCTCACTGGGCAAATGAGCTAGTCTCGGGGGGTCCATTTCCAAGAATGGGACAAGGGACTCCTTTGTGAAGCCCCCCCCCAAAAAAAACACATGAGATGTGGTTCCTCTATTTTGCCCGAGTCCCCATTCGCTAAGATGATTTGGGAGTTAGCTGATTGTTAAGAACACGCCAGTACGCCAGTTCTTCCCCAATCCTAAGCTCTTGTAGACTCTTGGCATGGCCGAGCTAATCGCAGAGATACATTCTTGCCGGGGTGAAGACCACGGCAAGTGGTCACCAGATCGTCAACCACCTTGCAGATCCTCATGCAACTCAAAGGGTAACCCTTCTTCGGACGGCGACGCATGTCATAGAAACCGGCAACAAGCATAGGTGTCCTTTTTGGTGGTTTTGGTCGAAAGGTAGATGGCCTTGGTTTACCTGGTGGCTTAATCATCTACCAGGGCCATCTATCCAAAAGGACGCCTATGGCAACAAGCGTTTTTTTTACCAGACATTGGCGAAGCAGCCACCGAGGGGAGGTGTTCTGCGGGCCTTTGCTGGCAAAACACCGGGCAGCCCTGGAGCGAGCCTCGTAGCCCGGACGCAGCGATGGCTCGGGCGATTTGCATCGGTTGATCTGCAACACCATGGTAGCTGTTAAGCCAGATTTTCTTTTTGGATGTCAACGGAATGCAAACAAATATTGACCTGGATGGTTCCTCACTGTTTGGGTTGGTTCTCCTTGGCGCTTGTTGTTTGTTGGTTTGCTTGCTTGTTTGTTTGCTTGCTTGTTTGTTTGTGTGTGTGTGTGTGTTTGTTTGTTGGTTTGTTTGTTTGTTGGTTTGCTTGTTTGTGTGTGTGTGTGTGGGTGCGTGCGTGCGTGCGTGCGTGCGTGGGTGTGTGTGTGTGTGGGTGCGTGCGTGCGTGCGTGCGTGCGTGCGTGCGTGCGTGCGTGCGTGCGTGCGTGCGTGCGTGCGTGCGTGCGTGCGTGCGTGCGTGCGTGTGCGTGGGTGCGTGGGTGCGTGGGTGCGTGGGTGCGTGGGTGGTGGGTGCGTGGGTGTGGGTGCGTGGGTGCGTGTGTGTGTGTGTGTGTGTGTGTGTGTGTGTGTGTGTGTGTGTGTGTGTGTGTGTGTGTGTGTGTGTGTGTGTGTGTGTGTGTGTGTGTGTGTGTGTGTGTGTGTGTGTGTGTGTGTGTGTGTGTGTGTGTGTGTGTGTGTGTGTGTGTGTGTGTGTGTGTGTGTGTGTGTGTGTGTTTGTGTGTGTGTTTGTTGGTTGTTGGTTGGTTGGTTGGTTGGTTGGTTGTTCTTTGTTGGCCTGCGAATTGCTTGTATGCATGTGTTGTGGCTTTGTTTGTTTGGTTGTTTCATGTTGGTCTTAAAGGAAAGGCGTGCTCGCTGGACCAAGCCCATCCATCGCTTGCACAGCCTCCTCGCATCCTTTTGCATCTCGCAATGTCAAGCCAGGGGTCGCTCCAGGAAAGCGTGAGCCAGAGCCTCACAGCAGTGCAGCAGACAGCTGCAGAAGGCTACAAGGCCACGAAGGAGCTAGTGGTTGGCAAGGACCCCAAGGATGACAATGCCAAGGATGCGGGCCTGCAGGAAAAGATCGAGCAAGGCCTTGCGACCGCGCAAGAGAAGGCGGCTGAGGGCTACGCCGCTGCCAAGGAGAAGGTGCAGCAAGTGGCTGAGAAGCCTTCAGACGAGACACAGAAACATGACCCAACTTTCATGGACAAGGTGCAAGGCGGTCTATCCGCTGTGCAGGAGAAAATGGCTCACGGCTATGAGGCTGTCAAGCACCAGCTGGTCGGTGGGCAAGCTGAGAAGCCCAATGTGCCTGACGCCAAAGAGAAGGTGAAGGAAGGCATTGAAGCCGCGAAGCAGACGGGGCCCGTTGAGGCTCTCACTGGCGAGAAGGAGGAGGGCAAGAGTGGCAAGGTTGGTGGTTCGTGAAGGGCGCGACAACACCCAAGGTGAGTTTTGAGTGGTTGCCAGTCACTCCGTACAGCTTAAATTTAACTGCTTCCCTGTACTTACTCAGTCCATCACTTTGTCTGTTGATGATGCTGCATGCACATGCCATATTTTGAGATCCAAACATTGCATTCGACATGGTTGGTGTTTCTTGACGGGACACGTCAGGGAATCAGAACTGGCAGAGGAACAGGAACAGTTTTGGCCGAATGCCTTTACAGCATGGCTGTTTAGAGGAGAGTTTTCTCACTCGTCAGTACCCCTTTGTCGCTTTCAGCTTGAATAGCCCGCACATGGCAAAGAGGATGCAAGAAGCCGAGATTGCAGCGTGGCTTGCTCTGTTGCTGAAGTCAGGGAACCAGCGTTGGAATAATTGTCAACCACCTGTGTGTACTCTGCTGTGTAGGTCCGGCTTGCAATGGAGATCATTTTGTGGATTGAAAGCGAAAGGACATCAACCAAAACACTAGCTGAAGAGATGCCGCTTTGCAAGAGAACCCCCCCATACCCCTCAGACAGGTTCGATTCGAACCCTTCAGCAGCCTTTCAGAAGGTTCTAGGAAGTGTTCAACAAGTGAAGAATAAGAACTATTTCCTAAAGTTGCTAAGACCAACTAAGAATAGGATATACCTGCCAGGCGAATCATTATACTCTCAGTTGACAGACCCATGACCACTCGAACACCCCAAAGGTTTGAGTCAGAAAGCTTCTTACGGGTTCTGATCGACATGGGATCGAGTTTTGCGGGCGACTTGGTCGGCACAAGTTGCTTGGGAACATTGCGCCGAAGCAAGAAGTTGAATTGGCAACAAAGGAGGGCACTTGAACAATATGGGTGTTGTTTTTCAGGAGGACTCCCCCCAAAGTTGTGTGCGTGTGTGTGTGTGTGTGTGTGTGTGTGTGTGTGTGTGTGTGTGTGTGTGTGTGTGTGTGTGTGTGTGTGTGTGTGTGTGTGTGTGTGTGTGTGTGTGTGTGTGTCTGTGTCTGTGTGTCTGTGTGTCTGTGTGTTTTGTTGGTATCTCTTGAAACCAGCCCAAAAAGGGTACCCAAAAAAACACAGACCCCTATGTCAAATCATGAAGATCAGTCTCTGGCTCGCCATTGTTCAGAGGTCCCTTGTGTAGGAAACACCCAATTCGGTGTTTCATGGTTGCCTCACTTGTTAAGGGTATTAATCCAAGGGTTTTCCCAACAAGAGGCAACCTTGCCAAACTTCGGCCCCAGGAAAAGTTCCGAAGGAACGTTCGTGAATAGATTGCCCAATCCAAGCAGGGGTCCCAAAAACGACAAAGTAAAGCCCTCCCACCAATTAGCATAGAACCCGACAGGGGGTCTGTTTAGATTGAAAATTGTCTTCCAGGACCCCCCTGGCAGGTTTCATTTGTTTTTTGGCGGGAGGGTGAATATTGCGAAGGGGTTTAGTTCCCACCTCTCGATTTGATGTTGACACCGGATGAATTCACCTGTCCTGCAGCTGTTAATAGGAGGGTCTCCAAAAGTGGCATGAGTCACCACTAAAAGGGTCCCCCTATAATTACTAGCTCACTTGACCAAAGCCGACCTTTTACTCTTTTTGGTTTGGTTCATACTTAGACATATTTAGACAAAGTTCTAAAAGGAGAACCTTTTACTTCCAGGTCCTTTTGGGCAACTGAGATAAGCCAGGTCCCATTGCCCCTTTTTTTTTGGGTGGTTTTCCCTTTCAACCTGAAAAGGGTACGCAAACAAAGCACACAAACAGCGCGAGCTTCAGGCAGCTTCTGGTGTTGGAGCCCGGCGACCTCTTCCTCTTTAACGGCCAGATGCCACATGCGGCGCTTTGCGTGGAGGGTGAACTGAACGTCACCAGCTACGCACCTCGGAATTCTAGTTGTCCTAGATACTAGTTGGCCGCCTGTGTTTGGAGATGAGCAGAGTAGAACCCTGCAACCGGGTCCCGTGGTAGCTTACGAGGATGTACTTGAGCCAAACATGGGTCAAAACCTTAGGGGGGGAGCTCTAAACAAGGCGAGCTCACCGGTTGAAGCTGACAGGGGACGTGCGGACGGTATGATTCTCTTTACTTGAATCCGAATCGTGCTTTCGGGTTTGGAATAATTACAAAGAAACATAAATCCTGGGGGGTGATTCCTTCTCTATGTTTTTTGACCTTTCTCTTTTTTTTTGAAAACCTGGCGTTTCCCCAAGGTTTTTTGGTGGTTTGTTGGTGAGCAACTTAATGCTAGTCAACTGTTGGTTTGGGGGACCACCCTCCAGAAGAAGCTTTACACCCAAAAAATCAGGTAACCCCTAATTGGTGATTTGGATTGGTGGTTTGGGAGTGTCTTGCAGACGGTAAATGGGAAACCCCTCCTTAACAACCAAACCACCAATTAGAGGGATGCTGAGGAAGTGTTGGTTTCTTAAAACAGGCGCCTCCTAGCATGTTGGACCACTAGTTTTATGAGGAAATCCAGTGCTTTCTGGGACAAGCCTTGTTTTTTGTTCTTTGCTGCTGCTCCGAGTGACACTTGGGTATCCTCCAAAACTATGTTATATTTGAGGGTAGGCTAAATATGTAGCAGATTCTGAAATGATGTTTCGGTGTACCCAGATTTGGGAAGTTAAGGGGGACTCAACAAAGCTCTCTCCAAGGCTTTTGACGAGGATTCTTCAGACCATGGATTCTTCAGACCATGTTGTCAATTTCTGACTGAAAAGATCGTCGGCACCAGTTCCCCTTTTCGGGTCGCTGGTTGCAACCAGATATTGCCCCGAACCATCACATTGGTAGCTTGTGCAAGCTGGAAGCCCAGGTTGTGTCCGGAGAACCCAAACGGAATGTAGCCATAACGATTTGCCTCAGCGAGCCTTTGCTTCTCACGTCGCTCAGGAAGGGATTCTCACGCTTCATCCGGACCACCTTCGGCAATTTCTGCGGCTCGCATGCGTTTTGTTCGAACCTTCATTGCAATTATTTATTTCTCCTTGTTCACCTGTTGCCTTTGTGGTTTTCACAGAGGGTTAAGTCCTACAAGAAGTTTGGTCACAAACTCCCCGTAAACAGGTAATCCGGATCATTTTTGGAGGAGTGGTAGCCCCCTATCAATTCACATGTATGAACACGGGGTGTGGTCGAAAAACATGAGTTACCCATGGACCATTTGGGAAGGACGAGAAGGGAAGTCTCAACATGTCAAGCACAAAAGCCGGGGGACCCACTAATAGTCCCACGTCACCTGGGTCCAAGTAGCTTTCGGACCTCAAAGCATGTTACATTGTTTCAGGTTGACAATGGACAAGAACCGAACACAAGATGTTTGGTGTACCCTTGAGTTGAGCTTCAAGTTGTGAGGATGAGGGCCTGATCAGGGACCAAGGGACCCTTCGGGATGATACCACAGGGTAGCTCACTTGCAAGCGAAGCGACCTGAACTCACCTTTCAGCTTTCCCATGTTGGTCCGTTTTTGGTCAAGGTCCCAAAAGGTAAGCTTTGTTCCCTGGGTCCTTTGGGCAACTGAGACAAGGTTAGGGATTCATTCCTGTCATTTCCCCTCAGAACTTATGGCGGTGTCGAATGGGATCAGCCTCAACGGTGGATTCTTGTTGAAGACTCCGACAGAAACGCGCGCGTATGTTTGTTTCTTTCGTTTTTGCTTCCCGGAAGATCAGAACCGTTTACCAGGGCTCCGCTACCTATTTGAAGGCTCCGGTACCAAACCGTTAAGGGGACCCCCTCCAACATCAAATGTCACACATCTTCTTTGGGCTTTGGTCCAATGTCGACCCCGAGTTAGCTAGACCAACCTGGTCCTGGTGCATGTTGTCGGGGGTGTCCTCTCCCAGGAAGGGAAGCTGTTCTTCCAAAATGGGGCATGCTCCTGGTAGTGCAGGGGGGAAGTTGGGTGAAGCTAGACGGCACAACCCTTCCATTTAGGTTTAGTCATCCCCTTCACCTACCATGTGCTTTCACCCTGGTTTACATGGAAACCGGGGGATCGCGGACCTGGTGACATATCCTGTAAATGATGGGAGTAAAACTGTAGGGCTATGTCATGAATGTGTGTCTCCTTGTCCGCCCAGGTTTCTGTTTCCCCTCTTGAGTTGGCAAGCTGTTTGTTTTGTTGTTCATGTGTTTCCTACGCCCAAGTTTGAGCTTTCTTCCAATTCCGCTGGCCGATTTTGCGCTTAACATGGTGGTTGTTGGGACACATTTTACACGTTTGCTTCTTGTGGTTTAATGAGAAATCCCCACTCAACTGCCAAAAACACATTTTTTTGTTGCTCCCCTTCCAACAACCAAGTTCAAGCCGAGCTCGGCCCCTTGCGCGAGGAGCGTCACGGGGAGCTTTCAGGGCCCCTGGCGGCAGCTCGCGGAGGCGGGGAGCGCGAGGGCTCAGAAGCTTCCAGAAGAAGAAAGGGGAGCTTTTTTATGGGGCCCCCAGCAAAGAATGGTTTTCATTGGCTTCCATTTCAGTTTCACCTGTTGGCTTTTAAAAGGAATCTATCACTGGAAAGATCTTTATTTTTTCTGGGGGTCTTAAGCAAATGGAAGGAAGGGGGGGAAGGAAACCCAACTCATTAATAAGGGATGCAAGTAAACTGGGGGGGTAACCCAACGAATCAAATCATATCAGTGCCAGGGGATCTACATGAGTTGGATTGCCTGAAGGCTGCAAGGCTGCCTTCGAAAGACGCACTCAAATTAGTATTGGAGTTGGAGTTGGAGTGATGCATGGTTCCATTTAGGTGACCAAGATGAAAGCGAACCATGGGAAAGGCATAGGATACGAATATTCTCACCAGTGTCCAACTGAAAATCCGGCTGCTTCGAAAAAAACGTGGCCCGCTGGGGCTGGCCTCCAGGCAATCAAGGCCTCCGGGCCGCACATGGACCCAGGTCCTCGCGGAGAAAACAACTCGACTTGCGGAGTCTCTTAGGGTAGGTAAGTCCTAGGATTGGTGTGGTTTTTCCGGGGCTGCAGCCTCGGTGCCTTGGGGTAGATAGTAGATGCCTGTGTTCTGCGCAGATCCCAGCGAGAGAGGCTCCATTTTTTGTACCTGGGGTACATAGATCTGCCCTGCCACCCCAATGCAACGCTCTCGGGACCCAAACTCTTTGGGCGATTGCTTTAGGGGGGCAATTGCCTTGGGCGGGGGGGGAGAAATTTCGTCAGAATGCTGAATAGTCAATTGGATTGAATTGATGTTTCAATACCATCAGATTACACATGCTCAAACAGGCGGCTGGAACGGATCATTTTTTTCCTGAACGGCTGTCAGAACGGCACGTGAGCAAACAGCCAACATCTGCTTCTACCAAGATCGAGGATGTGTTTGTTTGCGAATGCCCCCTTTCAGCTGGTTTTCAAAGGAACCCGACCAATTTCGGGTGTCGCCCGATGTTTTGATATTTTGACACATACGGGTATGTGCTAAAATAAAGTCACCCCCCCCCCCACACACACAAATGTTTATGGTTTCCCCATAAACCAAGCTGAAACATGGCACCCTCGAAACACAGACCTGGGGTTTGATAAACAGGTTCTTTTCCTGGGATGGCCATTGATTGGAACACCACGGAAACAAAAGTGTGATTTTTCAACCACTAAAGGGAAAAGTTACCCATGGTGAAAACTGGGGGCCGCAAATGGAATATTGATCAACCCCCAGATACCCAGATGGTGACGAGGCTCTTTTCACCTCTGAAGGAATGGGAGCAAGAGCTGCTACAGCGACTCCTCGAGCTGCGGGAGGCCGGCAGCTTTCGAGGGTCGGGGTAGCGCCCAAAACCGGCCTTGGACGTTTTTAGTAGATTGCTCTACCCTGGTATCATAGGCATCACAGTTCTACATATAATATCTATGACAGATATCTACATATATATATATATATACATATAGATATATACACGTTTTGTCAACCAGGTTGGTAGAAGCAAGAGTCAACGGATGTCGGGCTCTGCTTTTTTGCCATGCTCACAACACCTGTTGGTGGGCCCCCTTCTTGGTTTGCATTTAAAGGGAAACCAACAGGAACCACGGTGTTTCTAGAAAGTTACTGTGCCGCAGTCATTTGACATGCTGTTGGCTTGGGTCTGTAAGGATGGTCATGGACAACTGGATTGGGATTTCAGAAAACGACTAGAAGGGTTAAAGAATGCCCATGACCCACCTGAGTTTTGGCCGGATGCATTTGGGAAAGACACGGGACACGGAGGACTGGCTGTATCACCAGACCCGAGCCTATTTTTACATCCCATTCCCGCAGAGATTTGTCACGTCCCCTTTGAAACCACCACGCTTTTCTTTTTCCCCACCCGACAGGAAGGGGTTGTTAGATTTGAAGTAGAATCCACGCTTGCGATGCTGCTACACCACACCCTCCTGCCAGAGAGGATCCCGCCAGAGAGGATCCCGCCAGAGAGGATGCCAGTGCATCCCGCCCAGTATCCCGCCAGAGAGGATGCCAGTGGATCCCGCCCAGTATCCCGCCAGAGATCCCGCCCAGTATCCCGCCAGTGCCAGTGGATCCCGCCCAGTATCCCGCCAGAGAGGATGCCAGTGGATCCCGCCCAGTATCCCGCCAGAGAGGATGCCAGTGGATCCCGCCCAGTATCCCGCCAGAGAGGATGCCAGTGGATCCCGCCCAGTATCCCGCCAGAGAGGATGCCAGTGGATCCCGCCCAGTATCCCGCCAGAGAGGATGCCAGTGGATCCCGCCCAGTATCCCGCCAGAGAGGATGCCAGTGGATCCCGCCCAGTATCCCGCCAGAGAGGATGCCAGTGGATCCCGCCCAGTATCCCGCCAGAGAGGATGCCAGTGGATCCCGCCCAGTATCCCGCCAGAGAGGATGCCAGTGGATCCCGCCCAGTATCCCGCCAGAGAGGATGCCAGTGGATCCCGCCCAGTATCCCGCCGGAGAGGATGCCAGTGGATCCCGCCCAGTATCCCGCCAGAGAGGATGCCAGTGGATCCCGCCCAGTATCCCGCCAGAGAGGATGCCAGTGGATCCCGCCCAGTATCCCGCCAGAAAGGATGCCAGTGGATCCCGCCCAGTATCCCGCCAGAGAGGATGCTAGTGGATCCCGCCCAGTATCCCGCCAGAGTGGTCCGCCAGTGCATCCCGCCCAGTATCCCGCCAGAGTGGTCCGCCAGTGGATCCCGCCCAGTATCCCACCAGAGTGGTCCGCCAGTGGATCCCGCCCAGTATCCCGCCAGAGGAGTCCGCCAGTGGATCCCGCCCAGCATCCCGCCAAACAATTCTGCCAGTGGATCCCGTCCAGTATCCCGCCAGAGGAGTCCGGCAGTGGACCCGTATCCCGCCAGAGTGGTCCGCCAGTGCATCCCGCCCAGTATCCCGCCAGAGGAGTCCGCCAGTGGATCCCGCCCAGTATCCCGCCAAACAATTCTGCCAGTGGATCCCGTCCAGTATCCCGCCAGAGGAGTCCGGCAGTGGACCCGTATCCCGCCAAACAATTCCGCCAGTGGATCCCGTCCAGTATCCCGCCAGAGGAGTCCGGCAGTGGACCAGCATCCCGCCAAACAATTCCGCCAGTGGATCCCGCCGAGTATCCCGCCAGAGCTGCTGGCAAGTGGATCCGCTCGCCAGTGGATCCCGCCGAGTATCCCGCCAGAGCGGCTCGCCAGTGGATCCCGCCGAGTATCCCGCCAGCCAGTGGATCCCGCCGAGTATCCCGCTGAGTATCCCAGCGTAGCTCACCAGTGGATCCCACCCTTGCCGGTGGATCCTGCCAAGCGGCTCGCCAGTATTCGCCAGTGGATCCCGCCAGTATCCCGCTAGAGCAGCTCGCCAGTCTGGTTTTGCTTAATGTCCCGCCCGACGCACAGTTGGGTTTACATTTCATGTTGGTGCCTTCGTGTTTTGAGTGCACCCTGAGGCTCGGAAAGGGTGATGCTGTTGTGTTGCTTTGGGTTGTGAATAAGCAACTTCGTTTAATCCGCCGTCGGGTTTCTTTTTGGAAGGGGCTTGGCTTTTGTTAACGGAACCGATGTTTGAGTTCTTGAGATCGGCTCGCAGACAAGTGGAAGTGGCCGATGGGAAGGGAAGGGGACGATGGGAATTTGGAGTCGAAGTCTCTAGGATGCAGAGGAATTTGTTGTAACGGTCGTAAGCTCGTGAGTGTGGAGGGTGGGGATTGCTCGAAGCGAAGTAATTTTTTGGCGACCTTCTTGGGTTCCATGTGAATCTGTGGGAGTAGCCCTGGCTTCTGTTGACGACCGTGTTTTGACGGGCAGCCCGCAGGCCCGGAGGCAGCTTGACGACATGGCTTGCTTCATGTCTGATTCGTGTTCCGAGCTGTTGGGGATGGGTTTCACTGGACGCATGTTCTGAGTGTCTTGTGTCCAGGGCACGTAGTGGCAAATGGAGTTGAATACCCCCGGGCCAGGCAAGTTTGGCGATCGGCGGTGATTCTGGCAGCGGAAGAACCACTTTCGGTTCATTGCGCTCTCGGGAATAAGGATGTGCTCTTTTTTTAATGGTTCTCTCTTGGTGTTGGGTTAAGTGAAAGCGGGAAGCACAACAATAATTTTACCGGGCAGCCAGTGAAGCCAGAGGTTTGGTTTGACGTCGGGAGTTCTAACAGACCTCACTGTCGGACTCATTTTCAGGTCTGGTCTTTTGGGCCAAATTGCCTCGCTTTGCACCCTTTAGAAGCAAATAGCATGGTCCAAGTACTTCATGAGGATGGCTTTTCGGGGGTAAAAGGGGGTCTAAGTACCGCCTTAGAAGGTACTTGGACCCTTTGGGTTACAGAAGGTCCAGTTGAACCTGTTGCTCAGGTTGAAGCCATCCAGATTGACGTGAACGAAGCGTTGGTCGCCCCCCCGTCCAAATAACTTACTTTCTTTGGGGGGTTCCTCAGAAAAGCGAAGCAAATGAAAAGATCTTGGGGTTGGGCCATACTCTCCGGATGTGAGAAAATCCACCGGTAACCGCGTGTGATCCAGGCCCGGAAGAGCACGGAGGAGCCTGCGCGGAGTCGTCCGAGAACCCGAAATGCCCCGGTGTGCCGTTTGGCTCCCTGTTGAAACGAGCTCAAAGAAGGGGGTGGCGCTCCCAAAAAGGACCGGCTCCGAAGAGAAGACTCAAAATGCCCGGTTTGACTTGTGGGCTCCCTTGAGACCGCCTCAAAGAAGGGGGTGGAACTCCAACAAAACGGCCAAAGCGATCGAAGATGTGTTTCTTGTGTGGCGAAGCAGCAACCCCTCGCGGGGTTTCGCAACATAAGACCGTTGTGTCGGCCTATTTGAGGCTGTGTTTGAAGGAAGGTTTCTGGGGCCGGAGGTAAGAACAGGGGTCAACAAATGCCACAAATTGGGGTTTCTACAAATAGTGGTCCCCTAAAGTGCCTTGAAATAACAACCAAAAAGGGGTTTCACCATTTTGAGAAACTCCCATATCAAGGTCTGACAACAAGCTCATACAGCCCCCCCTGTAAGCCAATCCCCCCCAAACAATCAAACCCTGATGAATCATGACCCTCTCCAGCACTGGAATACTTACCCCTTGGTTGGACTTTATACTTTGTGGTAAAGATGATTTTACTGGTACACAAGCAATTTGGGCTCTTTGTGCCAATCCACTCATGAGAGTTCTTATTGGCAGAGGGAGAGCGCGGGAAAGGACAGGAGAGGGCAGCGCAAAAAGATAGACGTTTCTTCCGAAATTGTCGACCTTGACACGGCGGGGGGGGGGGGGAAGGGGGGGCAGGTGTTTTATTATTTTGTCAGGGAGTGGAAATCCTCCTAAGTACTCCAGGTTAGATATCCCACTTTTCCCTGGGAAATGGTTTGTGGCTAGTGAAACCCCTGCCCCCCTTCACCTCAAGCTGTTGCTTTTCGCTCCCTGGCAGCCTCCAGCCCAAGCTCACCCTAAGACTACCTTCATAACTCGCCCATCAATTGGCGAGGTTGCCTACCCAAGCTCCCAATGGCCAAGCCATACGGCGCAAAGGACAGGTGCCACCCGGGAACTCAAACCGTGGCACCTCCGCGCCTCCGCGCCTTCGCTTGCGGCTCGAATCGCAGGAGCCAGTGCTGAAGGCTATCTCCCTGGTGCAGCACCGGCTAGGAGCCATCGGCAAGCCGCGCCCTGTGGACTTGCGAGATGTTGAGAGTTGGGAATGTGACAGAAAACGGGGGGGGGGGGTGTTGAACAACTGTTAGGCATCTCCACAAAAAAATGGCGATTCGGCTTCGATTTTCCTGAATAGAAGATAAAATGATATCGGTACCCTCACAAAAGGAGCACCACTATCCATCCGATATCCCACTGAAAGCACTTTAGGTTCTCTTGAAACTCAACCAATGACACACCAAGCCAACGCTTTGTCTCTAGTGCCGCTTGGTTCAAGGCTCATGTGTTCATCTTCAGTTTTTGTGTGGCGGCTGGGCTAAGAATAACAAACGGGTGTGTCCCAATATTGGGCCGGAGGGGGGTTCCCCTCTCCAGCAAAACGAACACCAACGGGAGGTTCCCCTTTAGTTCTCTTCAATCCACCGAAAGGGATACTGTGGATGGACAAAGTCCTGCACCACTTAATAAACTTTGAAATAATGATTCGCCTGTAAATACCAGGAAACGATGGTTCCCATGGCTTCTTAGGTGGTGCGAAATGGATTTCGTCCATCCACAGCAGGAAACCAACGTACGTTGATTTCCGCCTTCGATCGATGGCGGATGAAGTCATCGGTTTTCAGCCGCTTGGCGCCAGGACTGAACATCCCAGCCAAGCGACCGAGGAGTGAGCTCAGCACGAAATTCGGATCGCCGCAAGTGGAAAAGAGCAAGGCGGCTTTTGGGTTTCATGACAATCCACCCATGACTCACAGCAAAATGTTGGAAGATTGGTATGACTCAATATTGGTACGACTTCCGGTGCCCGCCGTATGGCCAAACAGTTGGCAGAGTCACCCCGCTGGAGAACGCAGCCTTTGATCCCCCCCAACTAAAATGGAACCCAGAGGTTTCCTTTGAGCGGAATGTGGTCCTCCAATGAGGCTCCATGGCAATGAGGGGAGGGCCACTGTTTCGACGGTGCATTGTTGTTGGTGTCTGGTTGCCTGTTTCTTTCTTTTTTTTATAATAATAATAATATTAATAATAATAACAATAATAATTAATAATCATAATAATAATACTAATAATAATAAAACTAATAATAATAATAATAATAATAATAATAATAATAATAATAATAATCATAATAATAATAATAATAATTATAATAACTAATAATCATAATAATAATAAGTATTCGAGTGTTTGCAGCTGTGCAAATCCAATCAAGCTTTGGTTAAGACGAGTTCACCTCAACGCATAGTCAAGGCCCCTCCCTTCGGGATTCCGTAAGGTTTGCTGGTAGAACGTGCCCACGTGCCAATGTTTGTTTCTACTGTACTAGCATGTGGTTGTTTCTACCGTAGTCAGGTAGCCCTTCATTGGTTGGTGGTTTGGATTGGTGACTTCGGGATTTCAACCCATGGTTGTCGTAGAAGACACCGCAAACCAATCCAAACCACCAGTGACCTTCAGGAAGCTGAAATATCTAAAAAGCACGGTTTGAACCAGTCATTGGGGGTTCAGCCCAACATTTGTGCCACCAGCCACAAACCCTCCACGCAGGTTTGTGGACCTCATGTACGGGGACTTCTTCGACCGCAATGAGAAGCCGTGCCCTTCGATCTCGATCGAGCAATCAACACTCGGCTTGCAGCCACGACAAGCTTTCCTCACTTGCCCAAAGCGAATCGACCGGATCTGGCCTTTTGTCCTGGCCCCAAAAGGTTCACCTATTATTGTAAACGCTTCTCGTTGCCCGCCTCGGCCAGTATCAGCTGGATTCTTTTGGTTGGCTTTGAAGTGTGAGTTGACCAGAGGTTTCAAAGTGGGCGATGTCAACCGGGGCTAGCTGAAGGTCAAGGAACTGGGGTGGGAGGGGCAGGGCTGGCGCTGCCTGCGGGTTACAACCCTACCTTGAAGCGCCCTACTCGTTATGGAGGCTGCAAAATCCCAGGTTCTTGCGTTTGGCCGTATTTGCCCATGCGCTCATGGAGGGCTCCCCTACGTTGGGCCAAGACTTTTTTAGAGACGGGCTGCTGGTCTGGGCTCGGATTGTCGGTATGGAGGTACGTCCAGGCGACGGACCCGCAGAAGACGCAGGTCACATTTGAGGAGGTGCTGGAGGACACGAGCGTTTTTCCCCCGGATTTGATGATGACGTCTAGGGCAGGGCTTGCGCATGTTGAGGCCAAGCCCTGTGCTCTGAATCAGTTTCCCTCGAGAATGGTAGTTTGGAGCCCGGTGCTTTGGACGTGCTCCAGGGTTCCCATTTGCGCTCTATAAGAACCAGGGGTTCAATCCAGATCCACACCATAAATAAACCACCAACTCAAGGCTTCCTGGCGCAAGGGGCACCGGGACACAAAGGCAGCAAGGGCTTGGCCCCACCTTGCACCCTGTTCCAGCCCCCCGTTCTGTGGTGCGGCCCCTACTAAAGAACATGCGCACTCAACGCCAGAAAGCGTTCCCTCTGTTTACCAGAATCACTGGACAACTGGGAAATGGTGCATTTTAGTAAAGAATGTCATTGCCTGGTTGTTTGGGGAGTATTATATGTATACATATATAGCAAAGTTTCTTCAAACCTAGTGGGTGATGGAAACGTAGAATTGCCATCACTGCAGTGGGCCTTTAAATCAGGGTGACTCTTCGTAGGCTCTTTGGCAGCTGGCGTTTGGAACAGTTCCATGTCCAGCCAGGAGTACAACAGCATGAACTCCAACAAGATGAACCTCGTCTTCTTCAAGGATCCGATGCCAGAACGAGAGAGAGAGAGAGAGAGAGAGAAGGAGAGAGAGATGAACAGTGATTTCTACTTCCCAAGTTCCTTTACTTTAGTCACTTTTTGGATTTGGACAATGTTCGTGACAAACAAACACTTTGATTGCTTTTTCCGGCCAACCTACTCAGGAAGTGAGATTTTTTTTGCAGGGCTCCTTATTCGCATGTCCTTGCAGAACAAACACGCGTGATCTCAGAAGCTGATGAAAACGATAGAGGCTAACCCCTACTTATTCCTGGTTTCTTGACAGGTGTCAGGCAAACTAAAATGGTGGACACAACAAGGTCCCTTAAAGTGAGCATATTGAGGGGTTTTCAAAATTAATCTCTTCCCCCTATTAATGAATGACCCCAATTAATAAAAAAATGAAATCCGGGGCCCGGGACCAGATTTCCACTCCGCACAATTTATTTTCCATTGCGCCAATACTAAACCAATACTAAAGTCTTGGAATCCTTATTAGGGGGCACTTTTAACAAGCTTCCAGCCCCACTTTTAAAAAAGTGGGTTCCTCAAAAGATGAATTCCCTAGAAGGTTGCTTCCCCAAAAGCTGGCTTCCCCAAAAGGTTGGGTCCTTTTGGTGGGTTCCCCAAAAGGTTGTCCCTGACTCTCTCCCCAAAAGGTTGTCCCTGACTCCCTGACTCTCTGACCTCTTTTTTTTTTCGCGCGGCTCCGTAGCTTCCTGCCTGGCTTCCTGCCTGGCTCTGTTCCCCCCTTAGCCAATCCTGCCTGGCCTCTCGCCTGGCTGTCATCATTTCTGTCCCCAAAAGCTGTCTAGCTGCGACTGTCTCTCGTACATGCTGGCTAATTAACCTGCCTGGCTGCAAACAAACAACCAGTAAACTGAAAAACAAATAGAATGATACATACAATTTCCTTATTAAACCGCTTACTCGCGGACCTTACAATTCAATCCATTTCCTCCAATTCCTATGTGAACCCTCACATTGTTGGAAAAGCAAAAAAAAACCAACCCCAAAAACCCCATTTAAACAAAAAAACATTTTTTTTGTTGGGGGGGGGGGGCGTATTTATTATAAGGGGGAAGAGATTAATTTTAGGGCTTCTGCTAAAACAACCATTTGGGTCATGTTGAGGATGTCACTTCAACGAACTACCCTTTTTGTCCCAAAAAGGACCCTAACAGCAGGGTATGGAAGACCAGAGCCCTCTTGAAGAGGCCTGTCCACTTCCGGTATGGTGGAACCCCCAACCCAACAAGAACCTGGAAACACCATATGACTCTGTTGCCTGTCTCCTCCCACAGGGTAGACAAATGGCCCAGAGTCTATCCTGCCAATTCACTTTCAAACCAATTCCCCTAGATATATATATATATATAGGTTTTAGAACAACTACATACCCATTTCCGCTAGATATCAGTTTTTGAATACAAATCCGCATTTGTGTGGTGCCATGCTAATCTGCAGAGCAATTCAGCTATGGTCAAAGAGCTCGGGGATTACGGCGGGCGCGAAACCGAACGCCAGGACGCCCAAGATCATTTGGCCAGGGCCTCCCGGATCATTCGCCAGCCCCGAGGCGAGCGCGAAGGGGCGTGAGCCCTTTTGAGGGGCATGTTTTTTGGGTGGTTTAACAGGGAGGTTAGAGGGAAATCAGATCACCTCTGGAGTGCTCGGGGAGTTTCAAAGGGAAATCAAGCCCGTTTTAGGGTTCCCGCATAAGACAGCCCCACATGCATCTGCGCCCAACCGAGAAAATGGTGGTTTGCCCTGTGGCTTGCCCTTAAGCCTCCCTTTTTGAGGGTATCAACTCGAAAACAAGCAACAAACAAGTGCGCGATCGCTGTGACCTGACAGTGGCCTTCGAGAGTTCCTTCGGTGCGCCGGTTTCAGGGTGATTTGTGAGACCCGCGCACTAACACGGCGGGTATCACAGGGCTTCCCTAAAGTAACTGATCTTCCAGGTACCCTCCCAAAGGTGCTTTGTTAGTTGGAGGAAGGGCCATTCAACCCTCCAAGCATGTTTTTTTTTGGGGGAATGCATGTTGTAGCAACCACCCTTTTGGAGGGGTCCCCTTAAAGCCGACACACCTGTATGCGCATAAGCCGCTAAAACTCAAAATATGTTGCTTAGCATAAGCCTATGTTTCCAAGATCTGTGACAAACCCTTAAATGTGTATTAGTAGTGGGGCCCTTCGAGTACCAAAAAACCGTGGTATTTCCTAAACAAGAGGTTCTTCAAGATATGGATGTGTGATGTGTGTGTGTGTGTGTCAAACAGGGGAACCCATTGGGCAATGCCCGTGTGGTTTCCCTTTAAACCCTCCAAGGGGTGCCCGCAAAGACACTGCCACGCATCCTTCGTTGCTGTCAGGCAATGCTCTTCTGGTGGGCGTCAGCGGAGTGGGCCGCAAGAGCATGGCTCGTATGGCCGCTCACATGGCAGAGGCACACATGACGTCGAACTTTGGCACGGGTCAAGGAACCCCAGATCAGTGGTTCCTTTTGGTGTTTTTTCCTTTTTTCTTAGGGGTTTCCATTTACAATCATTTGACAAAACAGCGAGTGGCCTTTTTTGCTATGGCCGCTGGGCGATCTGGGAAGGCTGCGTGTATTCGTTCATGAGCCCCTGGTATACTGTCAAGTTGGACAGTGCGAGCTTGGCTTGGCTCTGACTGTGGAGTGCTATGCTTTGCTGCTCGGCTCACTGCCGTGCGAAGCAAGGCACCGACATAGCGAGTGCCCGTTGCACTTTGAAGCTGATCAAGTCGGACACATTTGAGTTTGAACAACGCACCCAGAGGCACACACACACACACCCACACACAACCACACACAACCACACACACACACACACTGAGGCTCCAGACAATCAAGGTGAAGCACTATAATCCGGAGAGAAAAAGTCGGCTCCATCCCCACCAAAAAGGTTTCAAGAATCATTCTAAGAACCCCTTGCAAGAAAGCTTCTTGATTTTTGGTGGCCAAGGCAATAGGCCATGGTTGATGTTCCCAAAGGAAACCAGCAGGGATGAATTTGTTGCTTCCAAACGGAAACCAACAGGTGATGTTATTTTTTGCCCCAGCCGCCCAGCCCCCCCCCCCCCCGAAAAAGCCTCCCAGTTCAGCACCGGAGAATTCGCTAAAACTCGCGCGCATTCGCAAACGCGGCATGGCGTTTGATGAAGCACTTTGGCAGAGCTTGGGCCACGAGTGTGGCTTGGCAAGGCCTGAGGTAGGAGTTCGATTGGTGGAGGCCCCCCCCCTAGGTCGGTAATTCTTCGAAGGGAGAAGCAAAAACCATTTCCAGAGGAACCATGTTTGGGCTTTTATCATATGGCAGCACCGAGTCTGATCTTGTAGTACTTTTCCACTTGCCTGTGTGTTTCATCTTGTGTCTTTCATGTCCAGTCAACATCAGCCAGACATAGGCCATTCCATGTGATCTGAGCGCCCCTCGGGACGAGTTTGCCGCAAGTGCAAATTACTATGCAGGGCTAAGCTCCGACTAGGTGCCGAAAGTGAACCCTGCTGGAATTGTGTTGTTTGAGTCTTTCAATCTGCCGAAATCCAAAAGAAAATTCTCTGCCAGGCCAGTGTTTCGGGCTTAGGGGTGAGGTCCAACCAACCCTACAACCTAAACCCTCAAAGCCTGCAATCCTTTCCCTAAAACAACCGGGCCCACTGGCAGGGCAAAAGGCCTCAGCTCCTGACAAGTCGTGTGGGCCCAGCGCATGGATGACTCCATCATGCGTTGAATGCAGTGCCAGGATTGAATCGGTAAAGATATCCATTTTACATATTTCTATTCAACATCCTGCTGAAAAAGCATCATGCTTAGCACTGTCTTATTTGGGGGACCCCTCGTGGGGGCTTCTGTAAATTCTGGTTGGCTTTTTGGGGCCCAGGGGTTGATTCTGCGCGTTCTGAGGCAGATTCAAAGTCATCAAAGATGCTCCATGCGAGAGCCTTTGTCGTGGCCCGGCTGTGAAAGTCTCAAGGATTCTTTGGGCCCAGTTGTTCAGTGGCCTCAGTTTCCCCTTTTGCCCGTTTTGGGTGTGTCTTTTTTGAGGGTACCCTTTAAAGGGTTGGTTTTAAAGGGACACCAAAGGGCAAACCACAAGTCTTGGGGTCCCCTAAAATAAGTCACGCGCTCTTTGCTGCCAGGGTCATACAGAGAGGTGGGAGTTTCACGTGGCTAAAAAGTGGTTTTACCAGGGCACAAAGGGGTTGAGATCAGGTCGGTGGACTTTTTATGACCATCTCCGTTGGGCAAGTGATGGGCAGATATTCGCTGTCTCCCAGACCATAGTTGGCAACGCCTGCTGTGGAAGGGTTAGCTACCTAACTGAATACCCTTGGTCCAAGAATCATGGAAGTGGGTGTCTAGGGCCTTTCAAGAAGGTAGTCTTTCGAAGCTCTGTTCAATTGAAGTATTGGTGCAAAAACGGTACACCCTGGGATGGTCATCAACCTCTTAACGACCAATGTACAGACTCCTACTAAGAGCGTTGGGGGTTTTGTTTGGCAGGCCCAGTATATTACGGTTGTTCAGTGGCACTTCTTCATTTTTTGTTTGATGAGTCCCCCAGAAATTACTCCATGATCAACCATCTTCTTTTTCAGTGCCCTCGATTCATTTTTCGGGCGCTATGATTTATTTTAAGAATAAGGGCACTTAGTCCTAAATCAACTAGGTCCCCCAGTAGTGCCCTTTTACCCTTTTTTTGGGGGAGGGTTTCCCTACTAAAATAGACTAAAGAAAAAGAAACGGTACCCTTATTCTATCCTCTCTACTGGAGGACCTAGTCAAAGAGGTTTCCCTTTTTGTCTAGGTCACTGGTTGCAACTGGGATATGTTTTTTGTGGTCACGTCGCACGGCTGGTCTTCGCTGTGACCGAATCGCCCCTTAGACCCTTAGGGAAACACATTTTGTTTTCCATGAATGTGGAACCCATATGAATCAACCCCAGTTTATTGATATGGTGTGTCCCTGGATTTAGTGGGAAATCACCACTTTTGGAGGGGAAGACCCCCCTATTAAAATAAACTGGGGTTGATTAATACGGGGTCCACATCAAACCTACCCCGTGGAAATCCAGCGACGGAGGCCACGAGTATAGCGCCACGGGCCTTTGCAATCGCTCGAGCTGCCCCTTGGCGAATGGACACCATGCCACGGTGTCCAAGCGGGGCAACATCTTTGGCCGGGAACCTCAGTTGAGCCACTTGCTCAAAACCGATTCGGGTAGATGATCCGGTTAGTAAGGCACAATCCCCTTGCCACAAATAGCTGCGGATATCCGCCTTCTTAATTATTGAAGCATGGTTCTGGGGATCGAGCATTTTGTTTTGACTCAGTTGTCATAGGACCCCCCTCCCAACCCCGCGCTTTTCCTCCAAAACACTCCTGCAAATCAACGTGGAGATCGCAAAAGAACATGTTTTAGAGGAATCGCCGTGGGTACCGATCCATTTCCAGACTTGGGATTTTGAGGGGCCCACCTGAAACTATGTGCAACTTATAAATGGGTGTATGTGTTTATAGGGCACTTTTTTTGGGTTTGAAGAAAGCCAAAAGGAATCCAAACCGGTTTGCAAATCCTCACTTTTTATACATAGCTCTTTTCATGTCGACCCGAACTATGTAATCAACCTGGTACGTGTCATTGTAGATAGTTCGGGGCAGTTTCCCTGAAAAGTGTGTTGGATTCCTTTTCACAACTCACACCAACCCCCAACAATCAACCAGAGGGTACGGGCTCATGCTTTTTCAGGGATTGTTTTTCTGGGATTGGTTTCAAGTCAAACTGGAAGAACATGCGTGTTTGAGGATTCTCTTTTTGGGGATTGGTTTAAAGTCAAACCAAAACAACAACCACAACTAGGGCGGGGTCCCCCAGTGAGATCGAAACCAACGACTCGTCAGCATCCGCGCACAAACCGAGTCCTGCACCTCAAGACGCCGGAGAGCAGAGAATGGAAGATGGTGAAGCTGTGCAAGAGCGTGGCGGCCGCTCGCTTCAAGAGCAGGCAAAGCATGAAGGGGGGACTGAAGGGGGGACCCAAGGGGTCCTGAAGGGGGGACCCAAGGGGGGACCCAAAAAAAGGCCCAAGGGGAGGGCGGATCATTTGGATTTGAACTGGTTCCCTACACCATGTAGACGCAGGTACTGAACCAGGTCTGTCAGGCATACCAGCAGGTAACGTCTCGTGAAGAGGGTGAATGAAATAGAAAACCTTCGGGAACACCACCAAACCACCGCGATCCGATGGCTGGTTTGACCGTTTGACTTCTTCAAGTGTTTTTTTGAAACTGGTTGTTTTCTCTTACTACCTCCAGCAAACCGTCATGGGACAACATTGGCAAAGGGATATGAGTATGTGTGAAAACAGGACCCAACAAATGCTGTCTCTTGGGGGAAGACGAAAAAGAGACCAACCATTCTAGAGTTCCTAGTATTGCATTCACCTTTCTCATAGGAAACCCTTCAATTGAGGTTGGCGGACATAAATCCCCTACATGATGTCCACAGGGCAACCAAATCCAGTTGCCCAGTGGTGCCGTTTTTTCCTTTCTTTTTTTTGGGAAGGGTTCCCCTTTAAAGTGTCAACAACACAGGATGCCCCTTTTTTCCCATGGAAATCCACTGGGCATCTCAGCTTTTTCAAAAAATCGCGGAGCAGTCGGGTTCCATTCCTTCGGCTCTTCGCTCAGTCCTCCCTGGGGCGCCTGGCGCAACACGCCCATCACCTGGCAGCACCGCAGTTGGAGAACGCGCAAAAGCGACGCTGGGCCGAAGCCAAAAAATAAGCTCATGGTGATATCCCCAACGGCATGCGGTGTTCGTTTTAGTGCTCGCACCACCCCGCAGCCCCAGAACTTCGTGGAACCCTGATAAAACCCTCGTCGAACCCTGGTGGAACCCTCGTGGAACCCTCGTGGAACCCTCGTGGAACCTTACCTCAAGGCCGCCCCGGACCACCCCAGAGCCTATCTGGGCTGAGACCCCAAAGCTTTCAGGTGTTGGGGAAAAACATGGGCCCTAGGTGACCCGTTCTGTTCTTGAGCGTTTTTTTTTCTCCCCTTTTTTATCTTCTGTTCGGGTAAACTTTGATTGGTGGATTGGTGGGACTCGAAGCACCCCTTGGCCTTACTGGTGCAAGTTGTAATCTGCTCCCTACCATTCAAACCACCAACCAAAACCACCAATGGACCCATCAGGCAGAGTTAGGTCTGTGCTTTTTGTGAGTGCGTGGTGGTTGGGGTGTTCTGGTTGGGTGGGCGTTTTAGGGGTCCCGGTGTTTTTCGGAGTCGATCTTTCAGGAACCCTAGATTTATTCTGACAAATGTATGTTTTTGATGCTGCGCATTTGTCTCCATTATTGTGTCAACACAGCACGAACCCATTTGAGCCACTTGCTCAAAGCCCGGGTAGATGAAGGTTGTACGTAGCGCATGTCCTTTGGGGTGATACTAGCCTCTGCGAAAGCACATGTTTAGCTCAGTGATGCTCAGTGTTCTTTAAGGCCGATGTATAGAGGGTACATCTTCCATGGAGACTGGTGCCCTGAGAGGTACCGAAGGCAGAGAGGTGGGCTGAATCCCGCAAATCTGCCACTTACTTAAGACCATGTTTCAGTTTACCCTCTTGGCCTAGGGAATCGATCACTGGACATATGTTTGTGCACTGGAGCTCGTCAAATGGAGTTATTGCCAATGGAAACCGACCAGTTCCAGGGCTGCTCACCTTCTCGAAAGCGCCCGCATGACTTGGACTTCTATTTGGCACGTGCTGCCAAGTCGCGCGACATTAAGCTTTCTAGGGGTGCAACCCACTTCGAGGTAGACATTCGAAGGGCGGTCTCTCTCAATTTACTGCTTGAGAGGAACCCTGCGCGTGTATCTACGGTCAGTTTGGGAGTGACACACGGGGGACTCTCTAAATTACACATAAAAGCCCGGGGGGGCGCGTTCATTTTTTCCGTACCCTGTACGGGAACAGCATATTAGTCCATGTTCTCGGAACCCGAATTAGGTTCAGTCGTTTTCTTTCTGGTTTTGTTTTTTTTGTTTCTTTCAGTGATTTGTTTGTATTAATCATCCGGGACGTGGCTGAAGCAAAGCATCCCTTGAGGCTTCGGCCCATCCGAGGCCTGAGATCTTTGGGCGGCGGTGGTCAGCAGTTGACGACCTGCGCTGCTTGGTGCAAATATCGGCCTGAGCGGAGCTGTAGCTTGGTACCTGCATGTCTGTGGTGTGACGCCCCGGAGAGACCTTTTGGAAACGAAATGGCTTTGCCATTAAACATAGAGAAAGTTAGAGCTTTTGCTCGGGGCAGAGCATCGCAGCTCGTCAAGAAACCAAAGAGGACAACATCTTCTTTTGGAGTTTTAAAGGGCAGGGCGTTGTGCGCTTTGGGTTGGGTTGCAACCTCAAAATGTGAGGCTCGGTCTTTGGGAAAACTGCTGGCAGGTAGCCGCCCGGTACCCGCGGATGTTCAGTATATAGGTTCCGCCCTATGTCCTTCTCCTGCGGATGCTCCATACAAAATGGTGACCCCCTGAACGGATCACTTGACATTGAGTTTTTGATGCTTGGCGGTTCCCAGTACCCAGCAAGACCTTTCGACTTCATCTTTGATAGTTGCAGATGGCTATCCCAGTAAAAGTCTGTGTTTTCCTCAAGGGATCAACGAACCAAGGATGGGCCGTTGGTTTCTTTGCCGAAGAGCGATTTGTTCGGCCCTTCGCGTTCATCTCAGGTGGCGGAAAAGAAGAAATCGGAGAGGAGGCCTTCGGATGGCCGGTGTCGCTGGTTTTTTTCGACGGGACGCCAACCCCCAAAACAAAGACACGTACGCCCCTGGAGAATCGAGGGAAAAGAGGGAGAGAGGTTCCATTTGTTCAAGTTGTCGCTTGTGTTCGGCCTTCAATTCCAAAAAACAGACGCACAGACACACACTTTTGAAAGTGGCATGCTTTGAGAGAGCTTTGGAGCTGGCCACTTGCCCCTACATCACCTGAAGTTGTTGTGGACGGGGATTATGCTTCGGGGTGTTTTTTTGGCCTCTGAGTTTCTAGAGGTTAAGAGCCTTCGGGGCGAGCTCTTCTTGATGGTATCTCATGCTTCAAGGCTCGTTGGCCCGCCTTATGATCCTGACTCGGTCCCGTGACATATCTGCTGTGCTACACCTTCGAACTTGTAAAGGCTTGGGCCAGGAGATGCACATTTATGGTCATCCGGCCAAAAGTCGCGCTTCTTGGTCATGCATACTTGGCAACGCAAACCTGAACGTCGCCCCATTGTGGGCATTAACTTGCCCCGAGGAGTTGGGCAGTATCCCAATGCCCGTAAGTAGCTGGTGGCTGGAGCAGATCCGGCGCAGGCGACGCGCCGGTTTTTCTGGGGCGCCCCTTTGGTTGCCAATGGACGCGACAGAGCCGCCACTTACTCAGGCAGATTTGACTAGGAGTTTTGACCATGGCTCACATGTTGATCGTAGCTCATATGAGGTGGGGCGTGTCACCACTGAGGAATGCTCGAATAACGTTAATGGATTTGCTTCGGGTGGGGAAGCAGCACAACACCAGCAACCGATGCGTGACCCACATGTTGTTAAGGCCACACACACACACATAGCCCGTATACAAACAACTTTTATGTTTACCTGCATACACCCAAATGTGTGCATATATGCTACTTATAGAGGCATGGGCTATTTGTATACATCATACGTATCCGATGTCTGCTCCGCACAATTGAACAACTAAGGTAGACAAGACCTGGATCAGCAAATGTTATTTTTGGTCTACCCCAGATGTGGCCAAAATGCAGGAGTGCGCGCCTATGTGTGTCTTGAAACTTTCCTCTATAACCCCCAAAGAAGGCTATCAGCAATACAAGCCCATATATACGCACATCACTTTTTTTGTGGTTTGCGCACACCTCTTACCAGCGCCCCTTACGCCCTCGGATCTAGGGAAGCGAAGAACGAGAAGAAGGCGGAGGCGGCCGCCCAGGTGGAGAACTCCATTGGCGCGGAGCGAGCCCGTCTGTTTGCGGCGGATGTCTTTAGCGTTTGAGCTTCGACTTGGTGTCTTTGTTCGGCGGCAAAAGTCCCTGGAGCTTGAACACCCTGGCGTTGCCTTGGCGTTTGAGCCAGCTTAGGGCAAGGTGTTCGGTGGCTAAACTCGCTGGTGTTTGAACACCCTGGTACTTGAGCCAGGTCAAGGTAAGGGGGATTGCAAGGAGATCTGATTTGATGGCGAACATTGTCCAACGGGCTTGGCATTCCACAAAGAGCTGTGTGGATATGTGCAACGGACAATATTACTAGGGTGTCGGTTTGCAGGTTGGTAGGTATGGGTGGGTAGCGCATGTTCTATTCGCTGCTAGTTTCTCGTGGTGATGTTGTCGGGTATTCACATCACTCCTGTCGCAGGGATGTTGAGAGCCAGCACCATGATCCATAAAGGTCGTGTCCTGTGATTGTCCTTTTAATAAGCCCCAAAAAGGATACTCCCAAAACGTCACATTGGATGGTACGAACTCCTGCACCTGTTTGTAGGGTTTCATCAATCCCAACTGCATGATGTTCTCCATCCACAGTCCTGGATCTCTGAACGTGAACATTTTTGGGTCCCGGGGGGGTCCGTTTAAACCAGTATTTGGCTTGGGCATTTTTGAGGATTGCTAAGATGGACCCCCTGCAGCAGTGACACGCACTAAACATTCCTTCGAGGAGCTTCTTCGCAGGATGCGGCTGGGCGTGTACGCGAGGCGCACACACCGCCCGGTCTCTTCGCAGGCGAAGCGCGTCTTGCGAGCGCCCTGTAGGACCGTAGGATTTGGAGGGACATCAAGGGATCAAGGCCCCCAAAGTTGGATTTGTCCTTGGCCAAAAGGCAGACCCCCGGATAGAAACCATTGGGCTCCAACAACCTTGTTCTATCCGTGCCCTTACAAGAGTGCCTTGATTTGCGCGAAGGCCGAGGAAAACCGGCAGCCATGGCCCGATTCTGCCAAAACTCGCCTTGGAACTTTTGGAAATGGCTTTTCCAAAGGTGAACGATCTTTCGCTCAGAGGGTAGAGCAACGCAGTTCTTGTGGAGCTGATGTTTGTTTTCTGGGGACGACCGGTTCAGTAAACAAGTCGGACTTCGGGCTGACGTGGAGCTAGGCCCCGGGGAGCCTGTTCCATGTATGGGAGGGGTGGATATGGTGGAAACTACTTGATGTTCCGGGAGGCAGCCAAAAAGGTAGTGTGTGTGTGTGTGTGTTTTTAATTGAAGAAGGGACCCAAATGGAAATCAATTCGAATATGGAGCACCCTCCATGATGGTTGATGGACACAAATCTTAATATTATGACCACTACGGGGTCTGCTAAAAAGTCCATGCCCATCTAGACAAATTATGACGTCGCAGAGGATTTCATTTGCGACCAAACAATATATGATCAGGTTACCCTCAATTGGTGGTTAGATCTTTCATTGGGAGCTGCTGAGCTTCCTTATGTCAGCTTCCTTGCAATTGGTGGTTTGGATTGGTGGATATTGGTGGTTTGGTGGTTTATTGGGAGCTTCCTTACGTCAGCTTCCTTCCAGGATTGGTGGTTTGGATTGGTGGTTTGGTGGTTTGGTGGTTCAGGAAGGGTTTCCCATCTGGACAAAGGGGGTCAAATCCAAATCCAAACCACCAATACCTCCCAATGAGAAATCTGTTTAGGGTTTAGGGTGCCCCCTGTTCAGCTCCCAATGAAAAGTATGTGTGTCCCTTTGTTCAGGTTGTTTCTTTGGTGCAGCGCCGGCCTTCGTGCGCCTCATAAGAGACTGTTCGAGCCAAGCCGCGGGCCAGGATATGCACGACGCGGTTTTCACATGGCAAACTCCTGTAGGGCTGGCCTGGGTCTACCGGGCTGTCTCTTTTGCGGTAATTTTTCATGTAGAAGGCAACCCCTCGTCGATTTAGCTGCATGCTAAATAGCCCACGTGCGTTTAAGTGTCCCATTTTTGGGCAGCCAAACGGGGCGCATGGCGTTCTTTCGATTTTGTTCCGCCTATTTCACACGCAGGGCACCGCAAAAGGCTTTGGACCAATGTGCCAGGCCTGAAGAAAATCAGGACAGAGTCATCGACAGGTGTGATGGATTCCGATCCAGCCTTACACTTCACTGTTCTTGGCATGTTTTTTTTGGGGCAGGTGTTGTTGGCTCTGCTCATTTGTTTAGTGTGGGGGGGGGGGCTGGACAAAACAACATGTTTCCTACCATACCAAGGTCTGGGAAGGAAAGGTATGGTCGGAATATTCTAACTTACGGCTTCAAGGCCCTTGAGTGGATCAGCCCAGCAAGTAGTGGATTCCTCCCGTTTGCATTTGGTTTTGGTGTGGGGTCCCATTAGCAAATGAACATCCTTGATATCTTCTAAGGGACCCCCTGAAGCTCTCCGAAGCCACTGTTGACTTCCCACTGGATTCTTGGCAACATGTCCCACAAAAAGCAGGCGGAGCCATATTTTCCCGTGTTCCCATGGGAGCCAGAGCCATGTGGGACCCCCAAAATTGCTTGGGTTTTCCTTTTGATGTCCTTTTGCTTTTCAGGGGACTAAAGCAAACGAAGACCTTCTAGGAATCAACCGGTTGTGTGCGTGCGTGTGTGTTTTTGTTTGTTTTTCTTTAGGGTGGCCCCAGTTTGATACACACCCAACTAGCCTTTGGGAACGATCTTCAAGCATCAAAAGGACGCGATTTGTTTTTGCAGAATTTACTTGGCTTCGGCAGACCCTAGTCTGATTCACCATAGTAAAGCCACTCACAATTCGGCGATTCCCGCCAGATCAGCACGGGGCGCCTAAATGAATTGAGCAATTGGACTCTCAGACCTTGCGCTGCGAACTCCTAAGGTTCCTTTCACAACCAGTCCTCGTTTTTGTTGGTGTCTTCAGAAGTGCGCCACAAAGACCGCCAACCAAAAGGCGAGTCCTTTTTGCCAGAGGGGAGCACCTGTGTCATAGCAGCTGGGTCCATCCTCGTCCACGCCCATTTCCGAAGCAGGACAAAAGCTCTGAGACACTTCCACGCTTCTCGGCAGATCTCTGCGGCAAGGGATGCATTCCAAAATGGAGGAGTCACCTCAGGGGCTGCTCCTAAGCTCCAAATGAGTACCAAATGACTGCACCCCTGTGTGCTCCTGTGTGCTCCAAGGGACTTGGAGCACAGGGGCGCCTTCTGAGGTTTTGAGCTACTCAGGTGCCCTGCACCCTTCTAGCACTGTGCTGGAGCATCCTGGGGCCATCCAAGTGTTTGGGATGATCTATGTGAGTGGTTTCCAGCATTCAGCCATGCTAGGAGTTTAGGAGTTTGCAAGAAGTTGCTGGGGGTGAACTGGGGCTTACTTGCCACTTAAGGAACTCCCAGGTTACAGATCAAGAAAGACAAACAAAACCACTGAGGTCGCAAAAAGCGGAGGCAGGTGGAGGTGGAGTACGAGGAGGAGCGAGAAGTCAGGCGCAAGCCGCGTTGAAGAGGATGTTCGTTCCTTTGGCACGTCGGATCCTCCAAATCCATTCGCTCCGCTATTTGGAGGCTCCGGGACCAAGCCTTTAAGGCTACCCCCTTCCAACTTCAAATGGCTCTGGGTCAAAACCAATGGTACCATTTTGGGGGTTTTCGTTGCACCGCCCATTTTAGAGCCCATTTTATTGGGGATTGGGATCTTCAGTGGGGGTACGATTTGGATTTTGACCCATGGCCATTTCGTCTAGAAACGCCCAACCAGTTCAAAAGTAAGCACAGGAAAACAAAGCAAATTGTTGCCAGGGAGCTGGACACATTTCAGCCAAGCGCACAGCCATCGCAGGTGAAGGCATCGACTGTCTTCAAAGGCGAGGTCCGCATCGATGCTCTTTCTTGGGTAGTGGGTGCATCTTTCTTTGCAATTCCCGTGTTTGGGGAGGTTTAAATGGAGGTTTAAATGGGGGACAAAAGGGAAGCCACCAATGTGGGTCCCCTGTTTAAGACACACCCATTTTGTCTTTGACCTTGAGCTTCGATTGGTATTTCCCACAATTGAGAAGGCTTTCTTTCTTTTTGGTTTCTTCGAGCCTCTAAAAGATGATCAACCCCTACAAGGTAGAGCACGGCTGCTGTTCGTTTCGTCCACGCGAGTGGTCTGTTCGTCATCGACAGCTCAGGATTCCCCTGCGGCCCGCTGACGACTTCGCGCGCGGGGGGAAAAAGAAAAGGGAGCGGTGCCGGAAGCCGCTGCTCTTGGCTCGCGCCTCGCTGTTCACTTTCTGTAGCATATTGCTATATTCAAGTGATCCCTATTTGGCTTGGATTGGTGGTTTAGAATTTGAAACCCAGTAACTTCTGAAACCTAATGGGGCAGGCAGTTATCATATACGTCCAAACCACCAAACAAACAAAAGTGGTAAGGTTATGTATATAATGTATATACCTATATATATATATATGGTCACCCCCCCCCCCCCCAGGGCCTACCTTTCTACTTTTTGCATGAAAGAGATTTATTTGCAGATGTTCAGTGTCCACTTGGTTTGCAGATGCCTTGCAGAAAACACTGTAATTTACGGTGTTTTTGTGCATTTGTTGATATTGTCTCAGATGTGCTTTCTGTACTTGATGCAAAACAGGATTCGAGAAAGCAACAAACACGAAAACGGAAAGCGTTTTCAGATGCAACTTTGTCAGTATTGAAAACACTGTTATTTGCAGTGTTTTTTAAGGAAACTCAAAAAAAAGCACTTTTTTTTATGGTTTCAGCCTCAACACCTGCACAGGCTCAAAAAAATGCAAAAACTCCAAACCTGGAAGCTCCAAAACCTGCACAGGCTCAAACAAATGCAAGCAATGCAAAACCCAGATGGTCAGGGCTTGATTGGTCTGGATTTTTGCATGTTTTGCATTTTGTTGAGCCTGTGCAGGTTTTGGAGCCTTGGATGTTTAAAACCTGCACAGGCTCAAACAAATGCAAAAACACCAAACCTGGAAGCTCCAAAACCTGCACAGGCTCAAACATATGCAAAAAATGCAAAACCCAGATGCAATGTCAGAGGTCAGGGCTTGATTGGTCTGGAGTTTTGCATTTTTTGATTTGTTTGAGCCTGTGCAGGGTTTGGAGCCTTGGATGTTTAAAACCTGCACAGGCTCAAAAAATGCAAAACATCCAAACCTGGAAGCTGCAAAACCTGCACAGGCTCGAAAAAGTGCAAAAAATGCAAAACCCAGATGCAATGTCAGAGGTCAGGGCTTGATTGGTCTGGAGTTTTGCATTTTTTGATTTGTTTGAGCCTGTGCAGGGTTTGGAGCCTTGGATGTTTAAAACCTGCACAGGCTCAAAAAATGCAAAACATCCAAACCTGGAAGCTGCAAAACCTGCACAGGCTCGAAAAAGTGCAAAAAATGCAAAACCCAGATGCAATGTCAGAGGTCAGGGCTTGATTGGCCTGGATTTTTGCATTTTTTGCATTTTTTGAGCCTGTGCAGGTTTTGAGGCTTCCAGGTTTGGATTTTTTGCATTTTTTGGAGCCTGTGCAGGTTTTGGAGCCTTGGATGTTTAAAACCTGCACAGGCTCAAAAAATGCAAAAAACCAAACCTGGAAGCTCCAAAACCTGCACAGGCTCAAAAAAAAGCAAAAATCCAAACCTGGAAGCTCCAAAACCTGCACAGGCTCAAAAAAATTGAAAAATGCAGAACCCAGATGCAATGTCAGAGGTCAGGGCTTGATTGGTCTGGATTTTGCATTTTTTGCATTTTGTTGAGCCTGTGCAGGTTTTGGAGCTTTCAGGTTTGGATTTTTTGCATATGTTTGAGCCTGTGCAGGTTTTGGAGCCTTGGACGCTTAAAACCTGCACAGGCTCAAAAATCCAAAAAAGAACAAATCCTTTACTTGTTTCTGAAGAATGGAAGACATATTGCTGAGCTTTTTCACAGAAGCATCGTGCTGCAAAACTTTCCAGAAGTTTCTATAAGCGTCTCGGGATTTCACTGGCTTCTGACATCATAGCTACAAGAAAAAAAGAGATACTTTGAATGACCTGGTTTGAGCTTCTAGCAGCAGAGTAATATATAAAGGAAACTGTGTATAACATCAAAGCGAAAAATGTACATATACATATATATATATATGCTCACCCCCTACTTTTGAAATTATCAGTTTTTCTAGACCGTACAAGTGAAAAGGTAGGCCTTGGGGGGGGGGGGGGTGAGCATATATATATATAGATATATACCTGGACCCTCAATCACCCTTCGTTTTTGGGGTGGTGCTGTGTTGCATTCATTTTTGGGGTGTTTTGTCATTTTTTTGGGGTGTTAGTTCCATGTTTGGGTGTTTTCGTGTTTTTTTCATACGCTGCTTTGTCATCCCTGCAATTTCGCTAGCGGTGTGTTTAACTTGTTTGAATTAACAACGTTGTTGTTCACTGCGCAGGGCTTGCTTGAAAGATACAAGTGCCAAGTCAAGCAGCGGCGCGGACCTTGCTGTCACCCAATGTCAAACCTCCAGGTTCAGCTCAGCTGCGCAATGCCTTTGATGTTGGCATGGAAGAAATCATCAAACATAATTTGACCTTGGCCCAAACAGCTTGAATGCCAACACAACACAAGGGAAAACAAAAGCCGCGTTATTAGCCTTTCATTTTTGTGTGAGAAAAACATTTGTGAGTTGCACAAGTTAAGAAGGCTGCTCCGTTGCGTGGTGCCTAGTGTTGGAGCCGATTACTGAGCCGCAAGGCATCCAAACCAGGTTTCCTTTGGAAGCGAGCAGGTGGCTTGGTGCACCACAACTCAAACTGATGTTTAGGAGGGCGCTGCGACAATGCAAAGAACCAACATCACTTAAACAGGAGTTCGACATTTCGAGTTGTTTCTTCTAGTGATTCTAGTGTGTGCGGTGTGCTTTGCGCGGCACACATCACAAAAGGTCTTTCATGGCAGAACCCGGTCTTCTAATGGCTTGAAACAGTGTGCCATGCGCAGTTCACCGCATGTTCATGTAATGTCACTCTACTTTCACGACAGTAGAGTCCAAGAAGGTAGAAGTTCAATGAACAAATATTGTCGCACCAAATTCAGAAGGATAGCTTTCGCAGATTTTGTAGCAGCGCGATGGGAGTGATTCCGCATTTGTCCACAGCTCTGTGCCCTTGGGCCATGTGCCCAAAGTTATTTCAATCTACAAACAACACAAGAAACAGCTCAATTAAGCATGATGTACAATACTTTGCAAATTCGGGTATGTTCTGTTTCACCATGACTCCTAGATGATCAAGTTCACATGTTGCTTCAGCGGTGGTTCTCTGGCTAATGCGACTCAGCGCAACATGTACCAGTTGCCCTTAAAGTTGATGTCCTGAAGCAAGCATACAGCCAAAGGGTCCAGTCTTTATATGATAGCAGGCAAGCTTGCAACACCTGCTATTCTGCGAACAGTAGCTGTCACTAGCAATTGAATGGTCGTTCCGTAAGCTCGGTATTCTGCGCACAATAGCTGCCACTGGCAATTGAATGGTCGTTCCCGTAACGTCCACCTAGGATTAAACATTAAACCTGGAATAAAGACAAACGGGTGGCCCCCCAAAAAATGCACCTGGAATAAAGACAAGCACCCGCCACCCCCGCCCAAATGTTCTGAACGAAAAGTATAAGAAACATGACAAAATGGAACAAACAGAGAAAGAAGAGGAGAGGTAGCCAAGCCAACACCTGGTCCTTAGATCTTTGGTACCTTGTTCTTCAGCTCCCCAAAAGTCAAACTGTCCAGCTGCCCAAGAAGTCATGGTTTCTTACATGTCTCTTGTTTAAAAACTGCCCGCAATCAAACCTGCAAAGGGGGTGGGTAGTGCTTCAGGCCCCCAAACTTGAGCCCAAGACATTATTTCAGGGGCCCCTACAATAAAGTCTTGTTGTCTGGCCCCCTGCAAATATACAACTAGCCCAGCGTAACTACCTATGAAGCTTCGGGCTTTGTTGTTAGATTTGGGCCTGCTTCCCAAAATCAAACATGTCCAGCTTCCCCAAGCTCTTGTTTTCTTGCATGTCTCTTGTTTAAAAACTGCCTACAACCAAACTCACAAACAACCTAGTACTTCACCCCCAATTTGACATTATTTCAGCGGCCCCTGAAATAAAGTCTTGTTGCCTGCCCGCGGCTGCCCGCGTCCAAAAAAATATCAAGAGGAAGCTCCAGCAATACAAAATCAAATGGAAACTAAGTTCCAGATCTCAAAAGGAAGCTCCAGCAATGCAAAACCAAATAGCAACTCCATTCCAAATCGCAAAAGGAAGCTCCAGCAATACTAAATCACATGGAAACTCAGTTCCAGATCTCAAAAGGAAGCTCCAATGCTAAATCAAATGGAAACGCAATTCCAAGTCTCAAAAGGAAGCTGCAGCAATACTAAATCTTATGGAAACTCAGTTCCAGATCTCAAAAGGAAGCTCCAGGAATGCTAAATCAAATGGAAACTCGATTCCAAATCTCAAAAGGAAGCTCCAGCAATACTAAATCAAATGGAAACTCAGTTCCAGATCTCAAAAGGAAGCTGCAGCAATACTAAATCAAATCGAAACTCCATTCCAGATCTGAAAAGGAAGCTCTAGCAATACTAAATTAAATGGAAACTTAAGCCTACCAATACTAAAGCAAATGGAAGCAGAATTGAACTGGATCTCAAGAGATTATTCTAGCCACCCCCTTTGTTGGGGGGAGAGGGCCCCCCCTTTACTAATCCCAGGCAGACATTACTCCGAACAAAGACCATTGCTCCGAACATAGTCCGGATAGGTGGACAGGGTCCGCCGGACCGGTCGGACGGCCCGGACGGGTCCGGACGGGTCTGGATAGGTTCGGACGGGCCCGGACTATCAAAAAAAGGTGTTTTGTTCAAGAAAAGGTTTTGGTTCGGACTAGTCCGGGACGGACGCTTAAATACGCCTTTTGGACGCCTAAATACGCCTTTTTGGACGCCCCGCTGGACGCCCAAAACAAAAAAATGTGTTTTGGATAGAAAAGGTTTTTTGTATGTTTTTCTCGTCCGGACGCGTCCGGACGCGTCCGCCCGCCCGGACCCTGTCCACCTATCCGAACTATGTTCGGAGCAATGTCCTGTAAATGGTCTTTGTTCGGAGTAATGTCCACCTGGGATTAGTAAAGCGGGGGCCCTCCCCCACCCCAACAAAGGGGGTGCCTAGAATAATCTCTTGAGATCCCGTTCAATGTTGCTTCCATTTGCTTTAGTATTGGTAATAAGACTTGAATTTCCATATGATTTGGTATTGCTGGAGCTTCCCTTTGAGATTTGTATTTGAGTTTCTCATTGATTTAGAGATTTGGAATTGAGTTTCCATTTGACTTTGTATTGCTGGAGCTTCCTTTTGAGATTTGGAATGGAGTTTCCGTATGATTTAGAGATTTGGAATTGAGTTTCCATTTGACTTAGTATTGCTGGAGTTTCCATTTGATTTAGCATTCCTGGAGCTTCCTTTTGAGATTAGGAATTGAGTTTCCATTTGATTTAGCCTTGCTGGAGCTTCCTTTTGAGATCTGGAATTGAGTTTCCATTTGATTTAGCATTGGAGCTTCCTTTTGAGATTTGGAATTGAGTTGCTATTTGATTTTGCATTGCTGGAGCTTCCTTTTGAGATCTGGAACTTAGTTTCCATTTGATTTTGTATTGCTGGAGCTTCCTTTTGATACTTTTTTGGACGCGGGCAGCCGCGGGCAGGCAACAAGACTTTATTTCAGAGGCCGTTGAAATAATGTCAAATTGGGGGTGAAGTTTCTGAAGTACTAGGTTGTTTGTGGGTTGGTTGTAGGCAGTTTTTATACAAGAGACATGCAAGAAAACAAGAGCTTGGGGAAGCTGGACATTCTTGATTTTGGCAAGCAGGCCCAAATCTAACAACAAAGCCCGAAGCTTCATAGGTAGTTACACTGGGCTAGTTGTATATTTGCAGGGGGGCAGACAACAAGACTTTATTGTAGGGGCCCCTGAAATAAAGTCTTGGGCTCAAGTTTGGGGGCCTGAAGTACTACCCACCCCCTTTGCAGGTTTGATTGCGGGCAGTTTTTAAACAAGAGACATGTAAGAAACCATGACTTCTTGGGCAGCTGGACAGTTTGATTTTTGGGGAGCTGAAGAACAAGGTAACAAAGATCTAAGGACCAGGTGTTGGCTTGGCTACCTCTCCTCTTCTTTCTCTGCTTGTTCCATTTTGTCATGTTCCTTATACTTTTCGTTCAGAAAATTTGGGCGGGGGTGGCGGGTGCTTGTCTTTATTCCAGGTGCATTTTTTGGGGAGCCACCCGTTTGTCTTTATTCCAGGTGCAATGTTTAATCCTAGGTGGACGTTACGGAATGACCATTCAATTGCTAGTGAGAGCTATTCTTCGCTGAATACTGTAGCATGCCTTGCAAGCTTTCCTGTTATCATATAAATGCTGGACCCTTTGGCTGTAACAGTGAGGGTCTTGGGGCAGTTTAGCGCTGTGAGCAAAGCTTAAAACAATATGCTTGCTTCACGGCATCAACTTTAGGGGCAACTGGTACATGTTGCGCTGAGTCGCATTAGCCAGAGAACCACAGTTGAAGAGTTGAAGCAACATGTGAACCTGATCATCTAGGAGTCATGGTGAAACAGAACATACCCGAATTTGCAAAGTATTGTACATCATGCTTAATTGAGCTGTTTCTTGTGTTGTTTGTAGATTGAAATAACTTTGGGCACATGGCCCAAGGGCACAGAGCTGTGGACAAATGCGGAATCACTCTCATCGCGCTGCTACAAAATCTGCGAAAGCTATCCTTCTGAATTTGGTGCGACAATATTTGTTCATTGAACTTCTACCTTCTTGGACTCTACTGTCGTGAAAGTAGAGTGACATTACATGAACATGCGGTGAACTGCGCATGACACACTGTTTCAAGCCACTAGAAGACGAAGACCGGGTTTTGCCATGAAAAACCGTTTGTGATGTGTGCCGCGCAAAGCACACCGCACACACTAGAAGAAACAACTCGAAATGTCTAACTCGCAGCGCCCTCCTAAACGTCAGTTTGAGTTGTGGTGCACCAAGCCACCTGCTCGCTTCCAAAGGAAAAACCTGACTTGGATGCCTTGCGACTCAGTAATCGGCTCCAACACTAGGAGGCACCACGCAACGGAGCAGCCTTCTTAACTTGTGCAACTCACAAATGTTTTTCTCACACAAAAATGCAAGGCTAATAACGCGGTTTTGTTTTCCCTTGTGTTGCGGTGGCATTCAAGCCGTTTGGGCCAAGGTCAAATTATGTTTGATGATTTCTTCCATTCCAACATCAAAGGCATTGAGCAGCTGAGCTGAACCAGGAGGTTTTACATTGGGTGATAGCAAGGTCCGCGCCGCTGCTTGAATTGGCACTTGCATCCTTCAAGCAAGCCCTGCACAGTGAACAGCAAAGCCCCAAAGAACACCGCTTATCGTGACAACACCGTTAAACAAATCCGCTGATGGACTTTCAGGGCTTTACTTGGCACAGAACCAAAAAAAGGTGTTTTGTTCAAGAAAAGGTGTTTCGACAATTCTTTACATTTTGCCCCAAAAAATTGGGGTGGTTTGAGACTCCAGGTATAACTTTAGAGCCACTACAAGCTTGGGTAGTACAGTTTGGTAAAAGTAGATGGCCGGATGCCTCCATTTGGTTTCAACGCCCCTTGGACTTACCGACGCTATCTACTTTTTTGCCCTGCTCAGTGGGGGCACTGAATCGCGACGTCACGGTGTCGAGGGGGTTCGCGACGCCCAAAGGGGATGTTTCTTTCTTGGGAGGCCCAACATGTTTGGCGAAGAATCATGGCTTTGGTGTGACCGAATCGCCCCAGAGAGACCTGCAACAAGCGATCAGCCTTTTGCTCAGAGGCGCTAATTGAAAGAACTTGCCCGTCCTCACGCCGGAAACAGCCATGAAATGGTTCGGCCAGCTAGATGATGCTTCCATCGAATGTGAAAATCGAAATAAACCAGGAGGCAAAAAGCAAATCCTCCTCTAAAAAGAACTGCCTCCGACTAGGTTGCGCAGATCCTTCCGAAATTGTCGTTAGTCACCCCAAAGGGCGATTCCTCGCATGAAGGTGTTGAAGGAAGGGGTTGCATTTTGCTCTTTTGGGACTCCCCTTTGCAAGGAACATTGTACCCAGCGCTTTCGGGCAGACGAAATATGAAACAGAACCGAAACATATGCTGTTCTGTGTGCGCCTTTTTGTGGGCCAAGATGCAGGGAATGATGCTATCTACTAACTCACTATGTAAACTTCAGCCGTGGCAACCGCCTTGCCAGTTCGCCTGCAGCTCCATTGAGATCACTCGTACTTATGGCCCGGACCCCGGATCTGAGTGCCCGTTCAAATTGTGGGCGCTCCGAAGCCTCTAGGAGTGGTCTGGAGCCCCACTTTTCGTGGCAACACCAAGACCCCGAGAAAGAAATAAAAGAAGGGGTTTTAAGGAATCTGTGGGTTCTCATTGGCTGGGCCAATTCGATCCAGCTCGCCGATCCGGGGGTAAATAGAGCTCACCTATGCCAGCCATGATTAGCTATGAGTATTCCCCCACTCGGCGAGTGGTAAGGCAGGTGTGTGGTTTTGACCATGGTTACTAGCCACTTGCTGAGTCCCCACGGTGCGAAGTGGATTTTGTCGTCCACAGAATGGCTAGCAGAGCTCCAGAGCGCATCGAGCGCATCCGTTGGAACGGGTCGAGGCGTGAACGACTTCAGGGAGGACTTGAAGCGCATGATGATGGATGTGCTCAAGGGCGAGGGCAAGGCGACGGTCTCGATGCTCGAATTTCCATGGCTGGTCTAGTATTACCAACTCGCCCCTTAGACCCTTTGAAAACCAATGGGAGTTTTCCCTAGAGCCTACGAGACATGATCGACCTTTTGCTCAGTGAAGATTGGAGCAACCCAGTTTCCAGGGTCTAGCAGTTTTCTGGAAAGAAGGATGGCTGAACATGAGGGGGGCTGAACATGAGGGGGAAGTTACCCTTTCTGAAACTTTCAGAGTTTGCAAAGCCTCTCCCGTGCTAATGTGATGGGTGAACATATGCAGCGGTCTATGGTCGATTTCAGGAATGTCAAAGACCGCAACCCGGGACTCATAGGGAAGCTGTGTATCAGGGTATCATTTGGAACAAACCAACGACAGGAGCCCAGTGGCATCCTTTGTTTTTTTGTTTTGCCGGAATTCCATTTAGATTCCTTTTGCTTGCTTGGGGTGGGTTTTCCCCTGAACAGCCAGATCAGCAGTTGGGCGTGGAAGGGGAAAGACCCATGATGGATCAATCCAAGCCACCAATTAGCGGGACGACAAGGGAAGCAGCACTATTTTGTTTCTCACCCATAAGGGTTGATCGCTTTTTGTTCTTCTCCTCTCTGTACACCTGTTTTGTGGGCCGAGAGAATGACATCGCCAATCAGAGGGAAGCTGACCTCAAGAGTTAATTTGGCTTGGAACGCGAGGGCCTGGCCTTCTTGTTCTCTGACACGCAGATCGTGAAGGCACGCGGATCGACTAGACTGGCTATCCTTCAGTTATGAAACTATACCCCCCCCCCCCGCGAAATGGGATGGTGAACGGGTGTGGCTATAGCGGCCTTGAGGCTTATGAGGCCTGAACCCAGCCCAGTGGCAACAGGGTAAAACGGGCACTGTTGTTCTGGTAGCTGATTTTCAAAAGGAAACCCCCTATGAGAAAAACGGACAAAAGGAAGCAACCACTGGAGTAAGCCTCATTCAGGCGCCCTGGGGGCCCCAGACACCTGTATGGTCTGATGTTTGTTTTGTTGATTGTTGGAAGCTTACCCCTTTTACGGGCTTGGTGGACAACGGGCAACGGGCGCCTTTAGGAAGAATTGCGGATTCGTGTTTTCATCCCTACCGTTCCTACCTCCAGACAATAAAGCTTTCGGGGATTTATGTGCTGTCAAAGAGAGGCTTTCCAATACGTGTCCAGCTCTGTAGGTGAAGAACATATCCGGGAAAGGGTCCCAGTAGGCTGGCCATTGCAAGGGAGCGTGTCAGTCAGAACAAAATGGCCCACGAAAGTAGCTTGGAGGTTTCAACATGTCGCACATCGTTGTTTTGTTTGTTGGAGTCCGCAGGCAATTCTGCGACCTTTACGTGTCGCGAATTTATGCTCGGGGCAACCTCCTGTTGGTTGGAAGGAAACAGAGTGGAAAGCAATGGAGACTCTGTAGAGCCTCGGGGTCAACGACCAGACCGTGGCTCAAGTGTCCACATCATATTGCCCCGAGAGAACGGGACATTTCAGGTTCACGGGCATGCTCAGGGATGGGTTTGGAGGTGTGGAGGCTCATTGTCACAAGTATAACCTTGTAAGGCAGTACATGCCCCCTTTATATCAGTGGTATATTGATAACTCCCATACAACCAGAAACCCTCTCCCAGAAGATGCCCTTGACAGGTAACGCTCCCGTAATTACGTACCCAGCTTCGAGCTTTGAATCTGCCACTTCTGGGCACTCTGGTAAGGCTTTCTGAAGATGTATGGAAGGGTACCTACCTTGGCGGCACCTGACATTCATTTCTCATCTATGGTCTCTCACAACTATTCCATGCCCGAACAAGGCATGTTCGTTGAATGGCCATGGGTCAACTAAATGGCTACGTGTCAAAACGGGGGGGTCGGGTGCATGGTCTCTTGAAGAATCGTCCCCAAAGGGTGTTTAGTTGTGACAGAGTTAAATTCAAAAGTCCATCCATACCCAGAGGGTCCAGGTACCTTCTAAGGAGGTACTTAGACCCCTTTTTACCCTCCAAAAGCCGTCCTCATGCGGTACTTGGACCCTCTGGGTTAGGAACATGCCCGCGAGGAGTCATTCTTGGAAGACATCAACAACATCCTCAACACCGGAGAGGCCGAGTCGTTTGGGGCACATTGTTGCATGACCAGTGATCGTTGTTTTTCTTTTTCTTTTCTTCTTCTCTGGCTGCCAAACCTCCCTCATTTGTTAATTCAGTGAAGGGGAAACCAAAAGGGGATGGCCTGTGTTATGTGAGGGTTTTCCAGGCCTAACCCCTGGAAACACACTGCGATGGTTCAGAGACTCGACGCCCAGATCGTCCAAGTATATCTAGGAAATAGTTTGGATACTCGGGCGGCTCCAACAAATCGCACGGACTTGTGTTTGGCACCCAAGTCTCAGGGGCATTTGCAGGTGTGGGATTTGGGCCCTGCTAAAGCAGTACCCATTGCGTGTGTGGCGTGTAGCCTCCACATCGCCGAATCTCACACTGAACGTGGGTAATCCTCTTGAACAGTGCCGGCAGTCATTTGGGCTTTGATTTGTGGGACTGGGGGGGAGGGTTGGGGTCGACTTCGACTTGCCAATACCTAATTGTGTATTGCGAGTTCTAAATTGAGTACTGCCAAGGCCTTGGAGTTTTACCCTGCCCGCAAAACAGCTTGACATTGAAGCGACCCTCGAAACAGTCAGATTAGAGCGGATCAGGGGCTCTTGCGGGGCCCCTTCGTGCGACTGCGTGGCATGTGTTTTTGTTTGAATAATATTTTTGACATAGAAAATCAGTAGTTGGGGTTTGGGGACCATGTCAAAAACAGGTGTTTCTAGATGTGCGGCCTTTAGCTGGGAAAGGCTTAGATACACCGCCCACTAACAGCAAAGGCTAAGGCTTTGATCTTGTGTTTCTGTTTGTTGTTTTGCCTGGACTCTTTTTTTAACAAACACTTTCCATTGCTGCGACCCTCAAACAGTTTCAGGCTTTTGAGCCAAGAAAACACCTTTCCACATTACCGGCCCTAGATTTTTTAAAGCGGGTCCGACATTCTGTGTCAATATAGGGGGACCACCCAAAACGACGGCGCTCCTTTGGTTTCCGGTAGCATGATCCTTTCGGGCAACTCTTCGGGACCTCACAAAGGTGGGTGCGACCGCAGCCATGTCGAAAGGAACAACAGATGCTGTCATGACGAAGCTAAGCCCGCTTGTTCAATGCAAACCGACCCCGCTACGGGGAATATTGAATACTGTATCTTAAATGGATGGTGGGCGGGTTATGATCATTATCGAGAACTATGCCGGAAGTATCCTGCCTCCTTTGGGGGGGCAATGGAGGGGACTCCCTTGATTATCAGCCACATATTTAGTGGTAGTTTCCAACTTCTGAATCGAGGGATCCTTCTTTCTGGAAAGCAAAGCAAAAACAGGGAACATAACTTTTGGGGGCAAATGATGTTTGAAAGGAATTTAGAAGCAACCCCTAGAACCAAGGAACATGTCATTCCAACCCCTTTGTCAAGTGCTGTTTTCGGCAGGTACCCAACCTCTTCCTTGCAGAGGAGATGGAGCAGGCGAGTCACGCGTTGAGAGTCCATGAGATCCACCCTGTTCCTTTCTAAGGTTCCCCCAAGCTCCACATCAAGTACATCCTCCAAATGTTCTGCTTATAGTTTCCTAAGGATGTAAGCACATCCTGAGGCAGTACTTTGACCCATTGTAGCCCCTCCAAAACAGACGGGTACTTGGATTTTCTGGGAATCGTGATTTTCCCTGGTTGCCTAGGACTGGTAAGTGAGAAGGCGCCTTGTTGAACTTGCAGACCACGCAAGGCGGTTCACCCTAGTCGACAAATTCCATTGGCAATCATGGGGGTGTTTACAGTGGTTGAAGAAGGACCTTTTCCGTTAAGGCCTATATTATGGGTGTGTGTTCTCGTTTTTTATTTCAGGGGACCCCCCCAAGCGGTGGTAATCCTTTTGGCTTCCCAAAACAACACCGCAAAAACCGGGTACCGTCGTACAAAAATCAAAACCACACCCAAAGCGCCAGGGCCCTCTCGCGGTTTGCATCCAAAGGCATATCCCAAACCACATGGCTGCGGGCTTTAGGCACTCACTTTCCGGTCGAGTTCCGTTTCGGACTTTAGTCACTTGTCGACTTTGGTTGCCCTTTTAAATGGCAAACAAAAGTTTGGACACCTTTTCTGACCAATCCACTCAGGAAGTGAGTTGCAGGTCGTGGTTTTCGTGTGTGCCGTTGCTTTTTGCGGGTCCCAATTTGTTTGTGCTTTGACCCCGTGCAAGGTCATCGGCTTGGCGCGGCCTTTGGCGAAGGCGGCGGGCAAGGTGGACGCCCGAGACGTGCTGTGGCCCGCGCCCAAAGGGAATTGGATGGGTGGCATCCGCAGGTGTTCTTTTTAGCTTATTTAGGTTTGAATTAGATGGCACAGGCTTAGTTTGGTTTTATTCCATTATCCAGATTAGGCAGAACCCCTGGTTAATCATTGGAACCCGGGGGTGGCCCCTTTTGGTGGGGGGTGCAACCAATGTTGGAGGGGGCATCGCCCTATGCCTGCAAACAAAGTTGAACTTTGAGGGCAGGGGGTACTAGCCATCCAGAAGCCAAAGGCACCGTAACTGCTCCTGCCACCCCCTGTCCTGGTGTTGGTCTATGTTTGTCTTCCGCAAGTGTGTGTGTGTGTGCGTGCGTGTGTGTGTGTGTGTGGTGTGTGTGTGTGGTGTGTGGTGTGTGGTGTGTGGTGTGTGTGTGTGTGTGTGTGTGTGTGTGTGTGTGTGTGTGTGTGTGTGTGTGTGTGTGTGTGTGTGTGTGTGTGTGTGTGTGTGTGTGTGTGTGTGTGTGTGTGTGTGTGTGTGTGTGTGTGTGTGTGTGTGTGTGTGTGTGTGTGTGGTGTGTGTGTGTGTGTGTGTGTGTGTGTGTGTGTGTGTGTGTGTGTGTGTGTGTGGCCGTGCTGTGGTGTGTGTGTGTGTGTGTGTGTGTGCGTGCGTGCGTGCGTGCGTGCGTGCGTGCGTGCGTGCGTGCGTGCGTGCGTGCGTGCGTGCGTGCGTGCGTGCGTGCGTGCGTGCGTGCGTGCGTGCGTGTGCGTGCGTGCGTGTGTGTGTGTGTGTGTGCGTGCGAGTGTGTGTGTGTGTGTGGTGTGTGGTGTGTGGTGTGTGGGTGTGTGTGTGGGCGTGTGTGTGTGTGTGTGTGTGTGTGTGTGTGTGTGTGTGTGTGTGTGTGTGTGTGTGTGTGTGTGTGTGTGTGTGTGTGTGTGTGTGTGTGTGTGTGTGTGTGTGTGTGTGTGTGTGTGTGTGTGTGTGTGTGTGTGTGTGTGTGTGTGTGTGTGTGTGTGTGTGGTGTGTGTGTGTGTGTGTGTGTGTGTGTGTGTGTGTGTGTGTGTGTGTGTGTGTGTGTGTGTGTGTGTGTGTGTGTGTGTGTGTGTGTGTGTGTGTGTGTGTGTGTGTGTGTGTGTGTGGGGGGGTTGTCCATAGCGGCGGTATGAATCGCGTGGTTCATTTTGTGTTCATTATTACACAACTCAAAGAAAGAACGGACAGAGCCGGGGGCGGAGATCAGCTCTGATGTTTTCCACTCCGTTACAGCTGCTGTTTTTTGTGATCCATGAGATTGTTGTTATCATGTACATTGACCTGTCATTTCACAACATAGATATGATAGTGCTATTACATGGGTGTTTGTCAGAACGGGGGACCTGCAAAACAGTGGTTTTCCTTTTGGTTCTCTCTAAACCAACCCTGGAAAGGGACCGAGCCTCAAAACAAGGACAGACCCCAAACCCAGATATTGGGCCCAGTGGAAGCCAGATGAAAACCCTCTTTGTGACACCTACACACACAGATACAGACAGATAGAAATTCACCATACACAGACATATACAGACACACACACACAAGGCTGGTCTTCCGGTCCGAAACCTGCGGAGCAGTCCTGGGGCTTAGGCAGCACTTTGTGCAAGTGGTCCGAGAAGGCTTTCACATTATTTTGGCGCCGGGGGCCCAAGCTGGTTGGCTGGCTTGTCGGTCGCTTTTTTTTGGTTTTTGTTGGGTGTTTTTGTTGATTTAATTGTGTTGGTTTGTTAGTTTGTTGGTTTGTTGGTTTGGTTGTTTGGTTGGTTTGTTGGTTTGTTGGTTTGTTGGTTGGTTACTTGGTTGCTTGGGATTTTGCATTTTTTGCCCATATTTGGTATCGCACCCCTTTTTTGCGCGGCTTCTTCGGGGGTCCCTTTAAAGGAGTTCGCCATATGTTTGACAACTCCCCGCAACACGTGCGGCCAGAGAGCACTCCCCAGGATCCGAACCCCTCCCAGCGGGCCCCTTGGCGCCTTTTCCCTCGCTTCCCGAAGCAAAGTCTCAGAAGGCAGTTGTGTAGGTCTCTGTAGAGGGGAGTTTAATTTTCTTCAAGATGAGGTTCGGGCGTTCGAAACAGTCCAGGCAGAGAAGGGGGGTTGACTGAAATGCACTCGAAATGGGTTTATCTCAAGGGGAACCCCCAAAAAGGGCTTTGGTGTCCTTTGGTTTCCCTTTTGCTCTCAAATCCTGCTTTGAATTGCATGTCAAAAAATAAGGTCCAAAGCAAAGCCCTTATGTCTGTGCGAGTGAAAAGTGTGCGAGTTGGGCGCGCGAGTGTTCGAGCCACTCATCCACTCGCAAGCCCTACTCGCTCACTCCACTCGCACCTGTCAAAAAGCCACCCGTACTCTCTTTGGCAAGCGTGCCTTCAAAACCTGTTTACAACCTCTTGGCAGCATATTATTATTTTTATTGTTATTATTATGGTTATCATCACTAGCAACATTATTATTGTTATTATTACCATTAGCATCGTGGAAATGGGTTGCTTGCCACTCATGAAACGTCACGTAAACGGCACATGTGTTTAGGCTCAGGCCTGTTTTGAGTAGAGGGGGGCACTCTCGCGGCGATGGAGTGGCCTGAGCCGTGGTCCAGGCTGGCGGCGTGCGGCTGGACCACGGCCAGGCTTGCGACACTGGACGACCTGCCGAAGAGGGGCCTTCGCGAGCTCCTGGAGAAGGCGTTTGGGCGTGAAGCCACGGCGGAGGAGCTGGAGGAGTTCTTCCAGAAGGTCAAAGAGTGCGGGAGCACCGGCAGGATCCAGTGGGGGGTGGAAGGCCGGTCCGGCGGGTTGGACTGGGTGGCGGCTGGCTTCAAGCGGGCTAGGATCTTCCGGCGGGAGATGGTGGCGGAGGTCGTGGATCTTGAAGCGCTGCCTTGCAGGAAGGGCAAAGCTCCCTTGGCACGCTGGCCCTGCCGGCTCAGCAGGCTGGTGGGGCGAGCTGGAGACAACGTGGACCTGCGAGATCGGGCCGAGAGATCGGAGAGGACGAGGTGGACGGTAATGCTCAAGAGGATCATCGTGGAGTCGGAGCTGCCAGCTGCTGAGGGGTGGAACGCGGACCCAGATGGGACGGCCTGGCACAGGATCGGGAAAGGGAGGAGATCCACCACTTTGCGGAAGCACGTCAAGACCTGGCGGCATGTTGCCACGTGGCTGTACAGCACCTTTAATGTGCCATGGCCGCGGACCATCGAGCAGTTCATCGAGTACGTCATGCATCGGGTGGCCGAGCCATGCGGCAAGAGTATCCCCACAAGTTTGATGAAGACCCTCATGTTCATCGAGGTGGCTGGGGAGGTGCCGGAGAAGGAAAGGCTCTGCAAGCACCCTGCGCTGCAGAACACGTTGGAGGAGGTCAACCTGGAGCTGGGCAGCTTGGATTTGCGAGGACGGCGGCAGGCTGTGCAGATCCCGGTAGAGATCATCATGGCCATGGAGAGATACGTGATGACGGAGGGGGTGCCTAGATACCCCCGGGCCTATGCCTGGTTTCGGTTGGTGAAGCTCTGGGCGGCGCTGCGCTTCTCGGATACGCAGGGAATGCCCTTCGGCAAGCTGGAGATGAGTGGCCGCGGTCTTCGGGGTGTTCTGGAAAGGACCAAGACCACCGGAGCGGGAAAGAAGGTCGAGATCCAGCACGTCTTCATCTCGGTGGAGGCATGGCTGGAGGAGCCCAGGTGGCTTGGGGTTGGCTACCAGCTGTGGAAGGCCATGAGCGAGGAGGCAGGCTTGTTCAATCGGGACTTCTTGCTGGCCTTGCCCAACTGCGAGGGCACCGGCCTCATCGGGGCCATGGGCAAGTACTACCACGCGTCGCAGATGAGTCAGGCCTTGCTGGGCGAGCTTGTGATGAGCCAGCGGAAGCAGGATGAGTTAGAAGGGGTCGGACGGCCTGGAGGGGTTCTGCTTTGCCAGGGCGCGGGTACCGTTTGGTCGGAGCATTCCGAAAGAGCAACCTTGAGGTCTTGGGCGGCCTCGCTGGGAGTCGACGACTATGTGGCCAAGCAGCTGGGCAGATGGCAGCCCTCCACGGACGAGGCCTACGTCAGGTCCATCAGGGGCAACGTGGAGAAGGCGCAGAAGATGATGGCCGAGGAGATCCGGAACAACTTGGGGGGCCCCGACAAGCTGGACGAGGAGTCCATCCTGGAGAAGGTCGTGGAGAAGCTGGCGAGGCAAGAGATGGACGCCAACGAGGTGGAGGACCAGAAGCTGAGGCTGACTAGCTTCCAGGGGGGCATCTTCGCGAGCATTCTCGGGAAGGACAGCTGGCAGGCCTCGGAGAAGGATCCGCTGGAGATCGTCGAGGTGGAAGACGGCGACGAGGCGAGCAAGAACGAGGAGACCGCCAGCGAGCCAGATCGGACGCCGGAGGGTTACAAGAGCCGATACTTCGTGAGTCTGGCGGGGAGATCGCAGAGGAGGACGCTCCACCGGGGGGGAGAGTGTCATCGTGTCCCGGGGGTGCACTACAAGCGGTTTGAGGACTTGGGTGAGGACCTACCTCCGGAGGGCATGTACCACCGGGTGTGCAAGGGCGGGCGACGAGTCGGGGGCCACCGAGGACAGCGAGGTGTCATCCTCGGTTTCGGCATCCACGGAGTCGCTGGACTAGCCTGTTTCACCCGTTTTCAGATCCACCCAAACCAAAGGGGTCGGCAGGAAAAGGACAGGCGCGGGGCCGACAGTTTGGGAAAGGGGGGGGGCAGGAAGGGTGAGGTTGAGGTAAAACCTCACTTGCAGGCGCATGAGGGATCGGGCAAGCTTTCATGCGTCGGGGAGGTCGGGTCGGAGGGATAGTAGCATGCAGCGCTGTTGAGCTGCATGCAAGAGCGGCTCTTGATTGAGATCTGTTAGCAAGGGCCGGGACAGGGGGAGCCACGAGGATCAGTTGGTACCAGCATGGATGCTGCTACCTTTCGGCTAGAGCCGGAAAAGGAAAGGGGGGTCATGGCTGGCGCGGTGGTGCTGGATGCGGCGCAGCAGGCAGCTATCGGGACCCTGGACATCAAGGAGGTGCCGCCAGATGTGCAGGTGGCGTTGGCAGCAGCAAGGGTAAGGACAGTCGGCCGGTTTGCGGTGCTGGCTGACGACCGGGGCGGTATCCGGGATTTCTGCCGGAGGACACTCAACATCGACCCAGATGCGGCCGGCGGAGACGTGAACATTGCGGCGGTGGTCGATGCATGGGAAGCAGCGAGGGTGCGGGTGGAAACGCGCAACAAGGTCGAGGCCGAGGCCACCGTGTCCAGCATGCCCAAAGTGGTCTCACGAACAGAGCATGCGGCGCTGCGGTCCAAGTACGAGGACACCTACCAGAAAATGGAGGACAGGGTCACACCGGCGCCAGGCACCCTCGAGAACCTGTTCGACCAGATCGAGCAGGGCGAGTGGCGGTTCATGCACCTCACCGAGTTCGTCAGCAGGGAGGACGCGGATGTGGCACCAGTCGGAGCGGTCATCGACCACAGCACGGGCACGATCAAGGTGAAGAAGGGGGCGGTGCAGAACTCGCGGCCATCGGGGCCGGAAGAGCTGCGGGTAAGGTTGGATCTCGTGGCCAACGCCATCCTGATGTGCGCATTTCGCTACCCGAACAAGGCGGCATTCCAGCGGATCACGCCCAACATCTTCAGTCGCTACGCCAACCACCTTCTGGGGGAGCACGTCTTCGGTCTAAGGGCCAAGGACGACAAGGGCCGCAGCATGGCGCAGCCCTCCTTCGAGCTGCTGCTATCCTACGAGTACCAGATCCGCAAGGCCGCCATCAAGAAGGTCAACAAAGGTCACAGCTGGGTGGACTCGCTGGAGGAGGCCATGGTGGACCCCCTGGTGAAGGAGCGCTTCCTGACCACTCCACTGGCGTGCAACAGCTGGGTGGCCACCAAGAGCAGGTCAAGGAGCTGGAGAAGGAGTCGGGGCCGGGAGCGCGAGCCCCGAATGGACCGTTCGAAAGGACGGAACAAGGGGAAGCCCAAGGGAAAGGGGGCCAGCAGCAAGTCCAAGGGTGGCAACGCGCAGGAGGGGGCGTGGCACAGCACTACACCCGATGGCAGGCAGATCTGCTACAAGTTCAACAATCCACAGGAGAGGTGCCGGGGCCCATGCAGCCGCGTGCACTGCTGCCGCAAATGCCTGGGGTCTCACCCACAGCATCTGTGTCGTCCTAACCCCAACGAAGGGGGGAAGGACGAACACTGAGGACCACAGGTGGCCCCGGCTGGGCAAGAGGAGCCGGGGCGCACCTTCAACGTGCTGTACCTCTTCAGCGGCGAGGAAAGGAAGTCATCGACGGGCAGCCAACTGCGAGAGATGGCTTCGAAGGCGGGCTACGAGGTGCTCTTGGAGGAGTGGGACATTCTCAGGAACCCAGACCACGACCTCACGGACGAGGGCAAGCGGCAGGGTATCCTGGAGCAGATCAAGGGGGGCAAGTACGCGGTGATCATTGACACCCCTCCCTGTGGCACGTGGTCGCGCGTGACTTGGGCCAATCACTTCGGACCCAAGCCAGTTCGAGACGAAACAAGGCCTTGGGGGTACCCGTGGCTCTCAGAGAAGCTGCAGAAGCGGGCGGATGAAGGTAACATCATGATCGTATTGTTCATCGACATCCTGATGTTGTTGGGCACTACGTGGTGCGACCTGATCGCTCGCCGACCCTACTTCCTGGGGGAGCACCCGGAGGACCTTGGCGGACTACACAGCCCTGTCGCTCAGGGCAAATGGGTGCGGCCTGCATCCATTTGGAAGTTGCCAGACCTCCGGAACTCAGCGGAGAAGCTCGAGGGCATGCAGTCCATCGCTCTGCACCAGTGCAACTGGGGGGCCCCGACTCCCAAGCCAACGCGTTTGCTGACAGACCTCCCGCTGCACGCCAGTTTCCTCTACAACCAGTGGCCCCAGCTGGACGGCCAGGGGAGATACTTGGGCCCGCTGCCGAGGCATTGCGGGCACAACCACAAATACGGTCTGGCCAAGCAGCACCCACGGACTCCGGCAGCATCAACCTACCCCGCAGATATGGATGCGGCCCTGGCAGCGGCTATCAATCAGGTGCTGCTGGAGGCACCACATCTCACCAAGCCCCCTGCGGAAGGGGTGGAAGGGCTTGTCGAGAAGGGGGCGCTCGAGAAGGCAACGGTCAAGGACTCCCCGAAGGGCAAGGTCGCGTGGGACGCCATGAAGGAGACGGACGGGGACATCAAGGAGGGCAAGTTCAGTGGAGAAAAGGACTTCGAGGTGAAGGGATTTTGGGGAGTAGGGAGGCCTATGCAGGCCTGCTACAAAGGCAAGAAGAGGGGCGTTCACGACGGAGGAGGACTCTGTTCACCGGGAAGATGGAGAGTGGGGGCCAGGAACTTTCCGGAGGGCACCCACTTTTGCGAGATCAGGGAGATCATCATGAAGTTCTTCAAAGGTTGGCTGAGCCAGGAAAGAGGCCAGGAGACGTTCTGGCAGATGGCGGCGGGCAGGCTCACCGGCTCGCCGTTCGGAAAATTTGTGGACGGCTGCCGGAGGGAGGTGGACGTCAAGCTGGCCTCTCTGGGATGCGAGGTGACTCGGCAGGGGACCGACCGGATCACGGAGATCCACTACAGGAGGATGGAGGCCCTGCTGAGAGTTGCGGAGGACCCCGATCACCAGTTCCTCATCCCCTTGGTGGAAACGGGGGTGGACCTGGGTGTGGACGAAGAGATGCCCCGGGTGCCTGCGGTCTTCGAAGCCAAGGTGAAGTGGAATCTTGAGGAGGTGGATGACCCCTTCAAGGAGGTCTGGTGCGAGAACTACGGCTCAGCGGTGGACAACATGGAGGACATTCGGCGGCAAGTGGAGGAAGACATCGAGAGGGGCCACGTGATCCGGATGGACAAGCAGGCGGCGGTGGAAAAGTTCGGAGGCAGATTAGCGGTGGCCTCTTTGGGGGCGGTCCCCAAGGAGTTGGGGTCATCAAAGGTGAGGATCATTCACGACGCAACCCACGAGGTGATGATCAACCACCGGATTCGGGTGAGGGACCGCATGAGGTTCCCGGGGGTGGATGATTTGGAGGCGATGGTCAGGCAGATGAAGGCGGACCAGGCAGCGAACCCGGCAGTCAGGTTGCTCATGAAGTACGATGTCAGCCGTGCACACAAGTTGGTGCCCGTCAAGGAGCAGGACTGGCCACTCATGGCCTTCAGCTTGGAGAGGCCGGAAGAGGTCTTCATGCACACGGTGGGGGCCTTCGGTTTCGGGTCGGCAGCCTACTGGTGGCAGAGGGTGGCAGCGGCAGTCACCAGGTTGGCGCACTACATGTCGGCCGGAGCCTACGAGCTCTATCACCTGCTATTTGCTGACGATGGGCTCCTCGGGGCCCACGGTGCGGACTGCTGGAGGCGGATCCTCTACTGGTTCTTCGTGATGGACGTGGTGGAGGTGCCGATCACCTGGAAGAAGGTGGCTGGAGGGGCCAGGCTGGGCTGGATCGGCTACGAGGCCGACATTCAGCACTACCTCAAGGGCATAGGGGACAGCAAGGTAGCGTGGGTTCTCGGCTGGATAAAGGAGGTCGAGGACGAGGGCAGCATCCTGGGCAGCCGGATGAGATCAGCGCTGGGGCGGCTTTCGTTCGTGGCGGGCGCGCTGGTGCAGGTACGCCCCTTCCTGGGGGTGATCTTCGCGTGGACCTCTAGGCTTCAGCCGGGAGGTTTTCATCAGGTGCCGATGGCGGTGCAGATCGTGCTGGAGTTCATCAAAGTGGAGATCACTCGGCGTCCTCTGACGGAGCCACGGCCGCTGCCAAAGAAGGTGGGCGAACTCTTTCGGGTGGATGCCAAGGCGGAGGGAGATCTGGTGGTGGTCGGAGGATGGGAGTCCTTCGCAGGTCGCGCCACCGCGGAGGCCCGGTGGTTCTCGCTGAAACACGGAAATCGGCCCCGTGGGCCTACGTGAAGGGCGAGCCGTTCCGCGTGATAGCTAGCCTGGAGCTGATCGCGACCACCGTAGCTGTTTGCATCTTCGGGCCAGGATCGCAGTGGAGAGATTCGGTGGGCGAGCTCGTGGTGCAAGGGTTCACCGACAGCCTGGTCAACACGCACGTCATCGACCACTACATGAGCACGGCGTTCCCTCTCTCGGTGGTGCTGATGGAGCTAGCAGTTCAGCTGGGCGAGTTGGGCACAACCCTTCAGCTCGGGTGGACACCTCGGGAACACAGAACGAAGAAGCGGACGCGCTCACCAACCTGGACTTCACCCTCTTCAACCCAGACCTGAGGGTGCGGCTGGAGCTGGACGAGCTGGGCTTCAAAGTAATTCCGAAGATCATGGAGGCGGCCACTCAGCTGGACTCGGAGATCAGGCTCGAGAAGGATAAGAAGAAGAAGGGCAAGGAGCACCACGACAAGAACTCGGCCAAGAAGCCCAAGAAGGCGGAGATGAGATGGAAGGAACCATGGTGAGGCAGGGGGAAAGAAAACAAAACAAAGGAGGAGGGTTACGAGAGAGGTTTCTCTCAAGCTGGCATGCGGTAGGAGGCATGTCAGTTATAAGGAGGCTGTCGGCAGCGGGCTCCATTTAAGGAAAGCGTTCCAGGGTCGCCCTGCGGAAGGGGAAATTCTCCCCTGGAACGATTTGGTTGGCCTGCCCCATCCACTGACCATGGATGGAGGGGCAGGCCCAACACACCAGGTCGCGCATCCCCCATGGATGAATCAAAGGTGTGTTGGGTGAGGGTTGGGAGAGACACACAAATGAGTGAAGTGACGTGGAAATGGGTTGCTTGCCACTCATGAAACGTCACGTAAACGGCACATGTGTTTAGGCTCAGGCCTGTTTTGAGTACCCACCACCATCCCCTTTGCGCCCCCTGACAGGTTGACGATGCACACATGGCCGTTTTCACCGGCGATCTTTTTCACTTCCAGGGGGGAAATTCTCCCCTGGAACGATTTGGTTGGCCTGCCCCATCCACTGACCATGGATGGAGGGGCAGGCCCAACACACCAGGTCGCGCATCCCCCATGGATGAATCAAAGGTGTGTTGGGTGGGAGGGTTGGGAGAGACACACAAATGAGTGAAGTGACATTATTATTATTAGTCTTATTATTATATATATTATATATATATATATATATGTATATGTGTCCCCTCACATTCTATACGTATGCACGCATATACACATGTGAGTTTTGTATTATCATTTATGTGTACACCTCTAAGGTATCTATATAAATTCGAGTTCTGTTAATAGGAAACCGGGCGAAAGGGGAATTTCTGCAGGTCAGCTCCTCGTGTTCTTCGGCCCTTCGGCCCATGGCCCGTGGCCAGGTTCTCCCCCGTGGGCGAAGGCTTCCGTGCGCGGTGCCGGCAGCCGGGGCCCCGGGGGGAGCTCCTGGGGGACCTTGGGGACGCGGACTGGAACTCAGCGAATCGAGCTTCTGGTTGCTGAAGTGAATATATTTGTATAGTTCTCTTGGTGGTTTTGAATGGAATACTTGCCCCCCTGTTGGTTTTAAAGGATTTTCTGTGATGCCAATCCCCTTCAACGTGACAAAGTAGTCATAGAAATGGACCGCTTTGGTATCACGGGTCATTTCTCAAAAATCAAAAGTGTGTTGTGTGCGTGGGGAGTTGGATTGGGGGGGGGGAACCCGCAGAGATTTCAATCAGACAGAGGATTTGGCGGCATATTGGGGAGAACAGCTGAGTGGGTATTCAAAGGTTTTTATTAGGGTACACCCGGAGAGTTGACAAACTGCAAATTTTGTGTTGCTAACTTTCTTTAGTAGAGGGACAAGATATTCAAACTGCTTCAACCAACCAAGTCAACTGGTAACTTCCCGGACTTTGTCCTTTTTGGAAAGACCGTGTTTGTGGCATACACAAAGTACCGACCTTTATTTTGGTGAATTCTACGAAGCTTTTCAGATTGCATGGATGAGGGATCCGGAGAACTCGATCTAGCAAAACCGGGGGAGCTTTAAGATATCCCACTAAGCCAAGACGCAATACTTCCATTTGCTGAAATCTGTTATGGTTCATACCGAAGGCATGGGTTTTTCGGGGGCTTGGGACAAAGGGACCCGTAGTTCGATTTCACTGGATAAATCCTGACGGTTTTTTGTCTCATGGGAAGCGTCGAACGGGGTGACTTGCAGTTGATGTTCCTGAAAAAGTCCAACCCCAAAAAGCGAAAAGTCACCCCCAAAAAGGCGGGGGGGGGGGGGTATTCTTTCCAGAAAAAACCAACCCCAAAACGGGTAGCCTCAAGAAAGACACCCCCACTTAAGAAGTTGTTTCTTTCTGCTTTCTGCCTGCGAACTTTGATTCGTCGTTTTATGGAAAAGATGGCTCCATGGCCTGAATCCTGCCGCAAAGGACAACCCTTGATTGAGTGTTTTATCCTCACGACTGGTTTGAATCACACCGCCTGCCTAGATGGACAAAACGGGCATACCTCCTTACCATAAATAGATGCGGCTATCCCTTTTGATTCTTACCTTGTATTGGGCAGACATTTTGAAGATCAGGTTTTTGAGACTTGTGGACAAATGCCACACCTCAGCAATACTTGGCATAAGTGTAGTCCAGTGGGTCCCACCAAAGGCTATAGATGGAGCACGGCAAGCGAATCGCATTCGCCAGGTTTCCCTCCCTCATCAACTGCGCGACGGTGGACTGGTACGACCCATGGCCTGAGGAGAGACCCCTCCGTCGGAAACCGAGGCTGCCAATTCCTGGGTAGCCCGGTTGCAGCCAGGGACCCCAACCACCAAGGCAGTTGGGAGTTTCAATACAAACAGAAAGAGCCAGGCCTTTTCCGGAAGCTAACGGATTTGGGCATGTCTCGGTTTTGTCATATTTATATATATATATATATATATGTTTTGGGGGGGGGCTTCCTCTGCCAAACCATTCGCCTCAGCGCACGGCCCTGCGATCAGGCGATGTTCCCATTGGCATCGGAATCTCAATCGCAGGCACTAAAGCGACACCTTTGGATGTTTCGACATGCTTCCGGAGGAAGAGGCATGAGAGTTGGGTTTGTTTTCTGGGGTTGACGGCTATCTCAACTTGCTGGTGCAATAGGCAGGGAATGTAGGAATGAGCCCAGTCCCCTGAAAGGAAGCCACCAGATCTTATGTGCAAGGGTCACTCCCTCGTTCCCCGCTGAGCTTGGCAGCAAGCCAAAGGAGAACCACCCCAAACTATCCCACGGTTCGGTTGGGCTGTGCAACTGCGTAGCCGCTGGGGTTTCTGATGGACCCAGACTCTTCCAGACATGTTGTTTGGGTTCTCAGCTCCTGGCTGATTTGAGGGCGATTGTTTTTGGGCAGCTCGTTGCCAAGCCTCCGCTTCGGCCTTTGCCTCAGTCCGAAGATGGGAGACGCCCCCTCCCGCGAAACAGGATCGACTCTCTGTGGTGGATCGGGAGAGATTATCTAGATGGCAGGTACAGTTGTGTGTGTGTGTGTGTGTCATTTCATGTTAGGGAAGGCGAGAAGAGGTTCCGGGGAGAAGCACGACCGAAGTCATATATATATATATATATGTATATATATATATATATATATGTATATATATATATATATGTATATACATATATATATATATATATATATATATATATTATAGCACCCTTTTTCTCACAGCGGCGCGGGTTCATCCGAGTGAAGCATTCAGTGGCCGTGCGTCATGAGCTAGAAACTCCCGAATCGGCCGCAGGCAGTTTGCTTGGACCCGTCATTGCTAATTGTTTCAACGCGCGTGGGTTGCCCAAGGGCCAGCAAGCTGTTAAGTTTTACCCTCCCCCCCATGCATTCCTTTCGGAGGCTTCCAGGATTCCATGTTAGCTGGTGGTCGGTTATGTGAGCAACGGTGAGTATTTACTATAGTCAAGGAGCTGACATGGGACTCACTCTCAAACTGGGGATGACTCACCGCATTGACACGACAAATATCGGGGGGGTGGGCTCAAAATGGTGGACTTTTAGGTTGTCAAAGGGAAACCGAACCCAAACTCAGTGCTTGCAGGCAAGCCACCATAGCAGGTAACCAGGATTTACCTAGTTTTACCATGGATGGTTTCCCCTGGTCACCTATAGTCCCGAAATGCCGCAAGGAAGCAACAGGGAAAGGAACCAATCAATCCACTTCTGGTTCGAGAAACACCCCAATGGATGTGTGTTGTGTGAGGCTTGGTAGTTTTGTTTGGGTGGTAAAGGAACACCAAAAGCTGACGCCTTGGGCCCGGCATCCGTCAGGATGCCTTGGTCTCAGTGGCAGAGAGGTGGGCGAATTGGGTCGAATCGAAGCCGGATGGCGTTGTCGTGTGCTTTTGTCTGCGTCTTGTTGCTTGTCTTCTTTGCTTGCTGGTATGCTTGCTGGTACGCTGGCTGACTGGCTTGCTTGCGGGCGTGCTTGCTTTGTGTTGTTTTGTTTGATTGTGTTTTATTGGTGGTGTTGTTTTGTTTTCTCAGCTTGTATGTGTTTGCGTGGATGCCTTTTTTGTGTTTGGGCGTGTCTATGTCTTGTTGGTTGGTTTGTTTGTTTGTTTGTTTGTTTGTTTGTTTGTTTGTTCCTTTGGGTGTGTGTGTCTGTGTGCTGTCTCTTGTTTTGCTTAGTTGTGTTACGCTTGTTTGCTTGTTTGCTTCTTGCTTGCTTGGCTTGCTTGGCTTGCTTGGCTTGCTTGTCTTGCTTGGCTTGCTTGGCTTGCTTGGCTTGCTTGCTTGCCCTCTGGCTTGCTTGATTGCTTGCTTGTGGGTTTGTTTGTTTATGTGAGTGTATGGTGTGATTGTTTGATTGCTTGCTTGCTTGATTGCTGGTTTGTTTGTTCGTCTGGTTTGTTGTTTTGTTTGGTCTCACTGTTATCTGAACTAAACCAGGGGGGTGTTCAACTTCTTGCATACTTGCCTAAATTGACCGTGCCTGAAAATCGGGATTCCCCTCAAGGCACTAGAACGGTGGCTTTGCCTTTAGTCTCCCTTGCAACTCCAAAGCCCAACTCCAAAGCCCCTCGCTTGTTGTTTCCAGGCCTCTTCATTTTGCGGCGAGGGATTCTACCAATGGCCAGCAAACTCAGGCCAGAAGGGTATGGGTCAAAATATGTCAAAATTAAACCACCAGGAGACCACAGGTTTTAGTCCATGTTTCCATCTACCAGGGTTCCATATTTTTGACGCCGGAAGACCCCAAGTTCTGGGCCTCACCGGCCAGGTATTACCGGGAGGCGCCCAGAGAGCTGGAGCTGGATGCGAGCATCGCGGCCCTCTCCAAGATCTCTTGCGCCGGGCGCCCCGAGCCCCCGAGTTCGGGTTTGGGGGGGGATGCCGGCGGCTCACCCAATTCGCCCCTGGGAATTTGGGGGGGGGGGGTGCTAGTGCCTGATTCGACCCGATGTTGAGTTTCTCGGTCCTAGTTGGTTTTGTCGAACGATTTGTTTTTGCCAGTCAGCGTCCTTGAGGGGCAGGTTGGCAGTTGGTAGGGTCCCTGATGTTTACAGGGGTCCTTACATTCCCGTGTTTGGAAGGATGCATCGCAGTTTCATGGCCATGCCATGGGTAAACCTCTTTGTTTCGCAGAAAGCTTGAGGCCCCTGCTTTAGGCAGAGGGGAACCTCTCTCTGAGGGGCCCCTATACTGTGCTTCAGTTTTGGGTGGTTCTGAAACTCACCTGTTTGGCCCATTTATATAAAGTGAGTTTTCTTGATGGTAATGTAAGGGACATATAGGGAGCCCCTGCCATGTCCAAGCCCTATGACTAAGTGAGATGCTGGCGGTTTGGGATTGAGCCTAGGAACCCCAAACAGTATGGGATGGCCCAAAGGCATTGAAAGGAAGCCAGGTCGAGCTGTCAGGTCACCAGTAGACACTCACTCGGTGGTTCCCAGCCATCCGGTTCCATATATAGATGCAGCACACAGTGTAGCTCTCGTAATGGTGTGTCTAGGCGCTTGCGACGGTGCATTTTGACGAAACAAATGGCTCGTGCAGGCACCCTCCACGGTTTCCAGGCTCGCGGAGACATGCTTCCAGTTTGTGGTTTCATCTACCCAAACCCTACCCAATCCTTTTCGTCGATAGTGTGTAGCGATGAGTTAGCATACTGAGCCAGTACGTGCAGTTAACAGACTGGGCATTTCAATCACTAATGGGTCAGCCACAGTTGAAGCTCTATGTGCTAACTGAATGTTACTCTTTTGCCCAAAACGAATCGACCTTTTGACCCTTTAGCCGAGCCGCGAGGTCATTCATGCCTCCTCCTCTGAGGTCCAGCGTCCGAAATTGCGGGGTGGAGTGGGGTGGGTGGGTTGGGGTTGTGTTTATTTGTGGCTTGGTGCATACATGATCATAGATTATATATATTTATATACATATATGTACAGATTATAGTATGTGTATTTACAAGTACATGTGAAATATACACATACATGTCATGCACAAATCATATTGGTACCTATCAACTATATACATATATCACATACACACATACATGCATACATGCATGCGTACATACGTACGTACATACATGTGTACATATGTGTGTACATAGTACACATGGCAATATAATAAGTATATATATATATACATATACATATATATATATATATACATCTATAATGTGTTTGCGGGTATTTGTGATTGATGCATGTACATGTGTGAATGTGTAAGTGCATGGGTCGATGTTCAATGCAGTTTCTTGCTTGCTTGAGCTATCTGCGTTATCGGCTGAACCACTGGGAGTTATAAGCGAACCAAGTCCGGAGGAGTTACCCTCACTGATTCAGAGCCACAAGGGCAGCCTCCCATGGCACCCCGTGGGCTCTGAGACTCTGAAGGAGAGACTTGCACGTCGCATCTCCTCGGGCTGGAATCTCATCATTTGAGTGCAATGAGGTCGCTTAGGGCTTGCTTCCAGGCATCTTGGTTGGACAACAATCTGAGTTTGTGTCAAAATAGGCGGAGCCAGCAAAGCCCCTATACATTCTTTGGTTTTTGGCCATAATTCAGATAGCCTGAGGGGCCCGAAGACAAGGTTTTCAAGACACCCATATCTCATCTTCCCTTTGGATCCTTCTGCTTCCAGGTGGGTCGGCATGGTAGCGGTATCCCGGATATGCTTATCTTTGGCGCATGTTGCTCGCATGTTGGGACTTTAACTTTTTGCCAACTACTGGGTTGTCCATTAAACCACTAAAAGTTAAACTTTTAGCAGGGGAGCAGAAAGCAACCGAGTTATGTTCGTCTACTCTTTACTAGTTGTTGGGGCGGCCTTTTCTCCAGGCGGCCGAGCGCTTTTTCGACGAGCTGCGGCGGAAGACGCCGGGAAGCCCGCACGAACAGCCGTGCACATGCCCGAAGTAGGATCCAAGCTACTTCTGAATACTCCAGCACATTCTTCCAACTTGGCAGCAGTGTGTCAACCCATGCTCAATACCTTCTAGATGTTATATTAGATGCCGCCCTTGTTGGTTGGGATGTCTGTCTATGGCTACGCAACAAAAGGTTATATCCTCTTGGTTTTACAGGTTTTTCACTTTCCGTGTTCCTGGACTTTAAACTTTGTGGGAAGCCTACGTGTGGCAAATCACTGTTTAGACTTGTTTGAGGCCAATCCTCTCAGGAGTTGTTCCCTCAGGATTTCTTCAAGCTGAACCAATCTGAGAGCTGATTGTTGACCCAACTGTTTTGCTTGTTTCAACCAGACGTTGGAAACCAGCCCCGGTTTCAAGAGCATTGTGTCCCCTGACCTACGATCAGGGGACCTCCAGGGGGTCGTTTCTTCGGTTGTTTTTTCTTCTTCTTTTTTATGCAACCAAGAAGGAGGTGCCATTTTTCTTAGGGCCACTGGAGGTTTGGATGAACTTTTTTTGGACGTCGGTGTATTTTTTCAGACTCGGTTCCCGCTTCAAGCTTGTTCGGGGAAAGAGGAAGGCCGGCAAGTTTCCCCCTGCTTTGACACCTAACTCTTGCTTTTCCCGCCAACCAGCAAGCAGTGACACAAATAGACGAACAAGCCTTTTTCCAGGCGGGCTTCGACGGAGGCCCTGAAGAGATTTGTTGGAAACCCATGCGTTTTCCAACAAAAGGTTAACCCGGCCGGATTATGCGAACTATCTGGACGGACCGACGCTGGACTCCCCCGAAGTGTTGCGGACAGCTGGCTCTTCTAGCGGCGTCCCAACAAAGTCCGAGCAACAACCGAATGAGTGACAATATCCCAACAACAATACCCCAACAATACCCCAACATATCCCAACAATATCCCATCAAATATCCCAACAATATCCAGCGGTTTTCGGAGTGATTCCGAATGTCAAAGAGTGGCTGCTCGCGCTGTGAGTCGAGGTACATGACGCCCACCTCCTACCTGGAGCTGATCAAGCTCTTCACGGATTTGCCGGAAACCTCAAGGAAATTTGCTGCACCCGACTCCCGGTTGAACTTCAACTGACAATATTCTTGGCAGCCTACTGTACTCTAGTGTAAGTTTGGGCTTGAGACTCACGATTCCCCCACAAACCGGGAGGACGAACCTTCATTTTCCCGTCTCCATGACGGATGCTTGCCATCTTGTCGGGGGGGTTGCATTTGTTTCCTCGTAGCTATCCCACGAAGCCACACAGAGCGCAGCTCAATCCTCGCGATCTGCATTCTCCGCTCTCATGGCTGGGGAGGAGCTATATTAAGGGTCCAGTACCTTCTAAGGCGGTGCTTAGACCCCTTTTTACCCCCCAAAAGCCATCCTCATGAAGTACTTGGACCCTCTGGGTTTGTTTCAAAAGACGGCATCCCAAAAATGCGAAGGGAGTCCCAGCCGGAACAGACACACCAATTCGCTGCCCTTCTGGGGCCGAAGTGTTCATCGCGGAACCTGAATGGGGCAGCTGAAACAAATAACAGGTACATCCGAAAGAGACTGGGTTCCATAAGTCAGTGAGGGTAAACCGTAGCAAACAAATTCTACACGTTGTATCACGGTGTGTTGTTTTCTTCCCCATCCGCACCTATAGAAACCATACCCATTTCCCCTGAGTCTTGAGCAATTAGTTTTGTTGAAAAAGAATCCCGGAACAGAAGAGACCTAGAATTCGCCGCCCAAGTTTGTGGGCTCATATCTTTTTGCAAAAGCCGTTTAAGTCGCAAACCAAATTCCTGGGACTGTTCTGGCCAATGGGTGAGATTGCCAGAAAGCGTCCCTTTCGTGGATTTACGACCTTTTCCCATGATTTAGGCAAGGCCCATGGTGACAATGAAAACTCACCACGTAAAGACCTAGAGGTACTCGTACATATCCTTGTATGTCTCACTTGCCAAAGCCAACGTTTTAAACTTTGGTTTGCATGCTCCATTTTTAGTCAAGGGCCCAACAGGTTATCACCTTTAATTAATTTCTGAGTTGCTACGGGGCAACTGACGGATGGACTGCCGTGGCTTCTGTTTGCCTCCCATCGAATCGAGGCTTGGCATGAAGAAGGGCGAGCTGGACACCAAGCTGAACCGATACCGGGTGCGGCGCTGAGAGCGAAAGACTTTCGCGAGCGATACCCGGGTTTCAGTTAGGACCTACTGCCCCAAGCTTTCAATGGAACCTCAGGGATTCTGTTTGCCTGTATGTTTGTATGTACATATATATATATATATATACATACATATATATATATATATATATTTACATATATGCCTATTCCAAGAGCCTTGACCAGAAGGCTCCCTGGGATAAGGTGTGGCTAGATATATATATATATATATTATACATTGCTATACTTAGCTTACCTTTTTGCATTTTCGCATCTTTCCCGGTCCATCATTGCGATCTTCAAGCAGCCAAAAGTCAACTTGCAAGGAGTCTAAGTTTGGCCCAGTGGGGGTTTCCATCATAGCGCTTTGACCCTTGGTATTAGTACCGGGAAACCAGAAGGAATCAAACCATCTTGTGGGACCGATTGGTAGATTGAGAACCCAAGTGGCCTAGAGATTGCTTACCTGCCGCATATTAGGCTCCGGGAAAAGCCCTGTGCTTGGCCAAAGCCGACCCGAGCTGATCATCTGATTTTTCCAGTGAATGTGTTTCAGTCAGCATTCTTGTTCCAAGAACTTGAGTCTTCGTGCTGTTTCTTGCTGACCTTGTGAGTTGGCATGAATTGGCAAACTGGAGAAGGAGTATTCCAAAAGCTGAAGCATCTTCTGTTTCTTTCTCACCTCGTGAATTGGGCAACTGGCAAAGGGCGTGCTTGCCAGGCTGCAATCCTTCGAGCCAGACTCAGCGAATCAGCCCCCCAGGTGGGCGCGCAGCGGCTCAAAGAGACGGAGACGGTGGTGGACAAGCTGAAGGCCGGCCGGCGGATTCCTGGGACCTCAAATTGGAGTTTCTTTTCAGGTGAGCCTTTCAGAGATCCAGATATGGAGGGTCATTTCTGATGTGAGTGGGGTAAGGCAAGGGCTGAACAATTGCCAAGATTATTTTTCCGTGGTCATGGTGGTCATGACTAAATTCATTTTTGTGGTACCCAAAACCGCCATTCTGCTTATGTGGCTCTTGTATGAATCTAACCGGTCTAGCCGCTGCACCGCAGCCGAAAACGAAACTGGATTCATGCGGGATTCGATAGTCAGTACAAACCTTGGTTTGGTTTCCAGTAGCTGCGCATCTCATACTGCGGGCAAATAGTCATTTGTTCTGTTGGCGTAGTGGTTTGCTTAGAATGCGCTGAGCCGTTTGGCAAGGTATCATTTGTTTCCCATAGATAGGGTAGGGTAAGTTCCACAGAATGTTGGCCACCCTTTGGGTGGGAAGCCAAAAATAAGCCAACTTTTTTTATGACGGGTCTCCTGACAGAAAGCGAGGGGACCAGTAACAAGTAGGACACCCAGTATTTTATCATGTGGCTTCCTTTGAATGCAACCCCCGAAGAAATTTCCACAAAAAAGGATTGGGTCGGGTACCCGTGGGTGATTCCAAACATACGTCCATGGCCTCTTGGTTGTAACTGGCTATATAGGACGAGAACTTTAGGGGTTATGCGGAACCCCGACTTAGTGACTTTCTATATTTTCGAGCCATATGAAACAGGCACACACAGACATAGACACAGACATAGACAGAGACAGAGACGCAGACACAGACACAGACACAGACACCGACACCGACACAGACACACAGACACACAGACACACCGACACACCGACACACCGTCACCCCGACACACGGAGACACGGAGGCACAGAGACACAGAGACACAGAGACACAGAGACACAGAGAGACAGAGACACAGAGACACAGAGACACAGAGACACAGAGACACAGAGACACAGAGACAGAGACACGGAGACACGGAGACACGGAGACACGGAGACACGGAGACACGGAGACACGGAGACACGGAGACACGGAGACACGGAGACACGGAGACACGGGGACACGGGGACACGGGGACACGGAGACACGGAGACACGGAGACACGGAGACACGGAGACACGGAGACACGGAGACACGGAGACACGGAGACACGGAGACACGGGGACACGGGGACACGGGGACACGGGGACACGGGGACACGGGGACACGGGGACACGGGGACACCGGGACACGGGGACACCGGGACACAGGGACACAGGGACACAGAGACACAGAGACACAGAGACACAGAGACACGCAGACACGCAGACACGCAGACACGCAGACACGCAGACACAGAGAGACAGAGACACACAGACACAGAGCACAGAGACACACAGACACACGGACACACAGACACACAGACACACACGCACGCACGCACGCACGCACACACACACACACTCACTCACTCACTCACTCACTCACTCTCACTCTCGCACTCACACACTCACACACACACACACACACTCCACATCAACCACGCCACACCACACACCACAAACCACACACCACACCCCACACACCACACCCCACACCCCACCATCACACACCACACACCACACACACATGTATGTATATATATATATATATATATATTTATTTTTACAACGCACAACACACACGCCATAGACCCCAACTCTCGGGATGCAACTGGGAGCTTAACTCCTTTTTGGTTGGCAGGGAAACGAACAAAAGGAAGCAGTTGCCGTAGGGGACTCCTTGAGAAACGTTGAGAAACAGCCAAATGAGCAGCGCCCAGAACCCATGGCCATTCAAGCAGGTGGTTCCAACTGGTTGTTTGGTGATTGTAGTGAGGCCCTTTTAAGACTTTGCAGCCATATTGGTAGCACATGGTTTAGCCAGAAGTCAATGAAACGTGCTCAAACGGATCAACGGGAGTGGGAAGATTATGGCCGCTGGCGCTCAACAACCCCAACTGGTCACGCTGCAATGGCTACCCTTCTCCGTGGATATAATTGCCATGGGTAACCAGGTACAACCACCATGTAAAAAGCACCCAGAGGTATATCTAAGAATCTCGAGGTGTTGCAATCATGTTGGCCCCGGATCAATAATTCGCACACAGGGGCCTATCAGTTCAGGGTCAACATGAGTGACTTCTTTCGCTTGTGGCAAAGCCAGGTGGACCAATTCTAAACAGCCAGTGCTTTCTGTTGGTCGCAAAGCCGATTTGGGGCTTCCCCTTTGTTTGATGAGGTATCATAAGTCAACCAGTTGTGGCATGTGTCAGAGCCCCTCAAAGTGGGAACGATCCGAATGGCCACGTGTCCATTGATTTGTTGGTGGAGCACACAGCGGGGATTGGGCCAACAAGTTGTTGCAGTTTGTGAAGTGCCGTTTTCCAATCGATTCAAGCGTGTGCGGTAGAGAAGCCAGCCCGTTGTGTCACAGCACGCAAGTCCTAGATATTTGATAGCCACGATGCAAATCGATTTGAACTGGTCACTTCCTGAGTTCATGGACTTTATGGGAAGAACATCTTAGTGGTGAATAAACAGTTTGGATTTTTTGGGCCAGTCCACTCAGGAAGTGAGCCTTAGGTTTACCTAAGTGTCAAAAAAAGCTGTTTTGGGATTCGAATCTCCGGAGATTCCAAAGATGAATCCAGATATTAAATAATAGATTCCCAAGTCTTTATGATTACCATGTTTAGCTAGTTAATGAACATATATAGTATTTTTCAACATTGACAACATACAAGTCTAGAATTGTGATGATTGGCTTCCTTCGGAGCCACCAGAGAGCAAAGCGAGGTTAGCCAGAAGCCCACCCCCTTCACAGGTTTTTCCGGATGCTCCTAGCCCAAACGTTCATGCCCTTGCCACGCCTTGTTTTTTTGCGTACCAGAAAACGCGCTTGCCATTTTTTTGGTACTTGTCCCACCTCAGCTATAGGTCGAAAGGATCTTGGGTATACCTTGAGCCAGATGAACATGAAGCTGCTTACAGCTGGTTTAGAATCACGGGCGGGTATGGGATCCTTGCGTACCACCAATATAAGCTTGTAAGCAGTATGAACCCTTGAAATACGTTGCATGCAACCTCCATACCTCCAACACTTATAACTGACAATTCCCTTGATTGAATGACGGTTTGAGATCTTTAGGAAGGTGCTCGTGAGACCGCGTCATCACGTTGGCGCAGCTCGACAGGTGGATTTGACCAAGATGCAGCCAGTCATCGAGCAGGGAAAGAAGGACGGCGCAAAACAAGGCCTTGTCTCGACTGCTATTGGGTTGGATCTTTAGACTTTTTTTGGGGGGGAAATCAAGGGTTTCCACTAAACCCCCAAAAAGTGAAGCTTTTTTGCAGGGGAGTCAACAGCAACCAAGTTGTTGTGGATGGATGAATCCCTGCCAGGCACCATTTGTTTATATCTTTATCTATCCGCGCTGGTATTGTATCTACAATATCTGCAGGAAGCAATATCTGTTTGGGTGCAAAGCGCAACACTGGGGGGAAACACACACAGGTAATTTGAAAACAACAGCAGCATGTGTGGCACCTTCAGACCGGTTCTTTTTGGGGTTAGGTACGTCGGAGCCCTTAGGTCACCCGCACTGCTGTGATGAGCCAGAGACTCCCCAGTGAGTGTTAGGGGCTAAGCTCCATTGGAGGGTGGGTTCTGAATCCACGTTGACATCCCAATCAGAATCATGAGTCGGAGTTGCTCTTGCTGTATGTCCTGTTGGTGTAGTATTGAATTCATCCAGACACATACTGTTATATGTCTATATATATATACACCCTTTTTATAGGAGTTTTCACATGTCAGGTCCAATTTGGGAGACAAATGCCTGCTGTTGGCTCCACTGGAACAAATAGAAACACAAGTTCCACTGGAAACGCAAGTGCCAGCTGCTCATTTTGGGAGCATCACCCAGACCCCTTTTTGCGGGCGTAAAGACAAGCAAGTCGGGTGATGTGAGAGGTGACAGCGCGCCTCATGGCATTTGCAGGTGGGGTAGAAACTGCCTAAGCTTATATTTGTGGCATACTTCATTTGCTTAAGAAACTGTGTTATTCTCCGCTGTTGGTGTTAACAGGAATCGATTTCACTACTCGACATGTCTTCATATTTGTTCCAGACGAAGACGCAAGCATCACATGGAGGTATGGCTGTGGGTCAAAACCAATGGTACCATTTCGGGGGAGGTGCACCACCCATTTTAGAACCTATTTTAGTGGTTGGATTGGGATGTTCACTGCCCATGGCCGTGTATCTTCTCATCCTTACTTTGGGTTGGACAAAATCCTGCACCACCTAAGACACCCTGGAATGATGGTTCCCCTGTAAATACCAATCAACAATGGTTTCAACCATGGCTTCCAAGTGGTGCAGAATTTCGTCCATCCACAGTAGCTTCAAACTCCGGGCCTGTCGCCACCTCGGGTGCTTCGCTTTTTTTTGGTGTCGATCCCGAGGACACGGCGGCACTGATCGTTCAGGTGGGCTTGAAGTCCGGTGGCTGGATCGCGGTGTGTTTCTGGCATCCAAAGTGGGTTCTCCCTTTGGTAACTCAATTTAAAGCAACCCAGAAAGGGGCAGCCTCGAAAGGACTGAGGCCCTGAACGGAATAGAATCCCCATGCAAAAGTCGGGTTCTTGGCACTGGCCCCAATCCGAGGAGTTCTGAAGCTTCGTGGGACTTGTGACCATTTTTGGGGATTTGATTTTTAAAGTTGGACTTACGTGCGGCTGGCACCTCGCACCAGAGACTGGACGGGTTTTCGAGGCTCAAAGCTGGATGGTTGAGAACCACGCAAGTCATTGTCCATACGTGATTAACTATCAAAATGTTAGGGTTGCCAAAAAAAAACGCGAACAACACACCGGGCGACCAAACGAAACGCCTGGGCGACCAAACGGGCGCCGTTAGACCAAAGCGGAGTCGGCGCAAGCGCGCAAGCGTCGGCGGCATGGGGAACGCATGCTGCACCCAAGAGGAGAATGAGAAGGGGGATGCTGCTTGGCAATTGCTTTGCTTCAAGGGCGGACAGATGGTTTCCCCCGAATAATTAGTTTGAGGGTACTTTGGGAGGCATGCCAACCTCTTCAAATCTAGTGGCAAACATGCTTGGTGATCGGCTGGCCAGACTTGCACCCCATCAGATGGATGTAGCTCTTAGTATTTTTCAGACCCAGGCGACATGCGCGAACCATGCTATGGCTCCCTCCCTGAGTTGAGCTTTGTCACTGCTTGGGTTTGGACCATAGTGGTAAATAAAAGTTTGGACCACTCAGGAAGGGAAAAAAAGGGGAGAGGGGGTTAGTTGTTCAACCTTGAACTTCTTGCGAAACAGACTATTTCTGATTCACCTGCGAAAGCTGAGAACTTTCTGGGCAGGGGGGTTCTCGCCATCAAGTTGTCCATTTTGGGTTTTCAGCTAGGCGTGGGTCAAAATAGGTACCCAAGATGGAAGCAGAGTAAATTGAAACAAGGGCCAAAACCTGTGGTCCCGTGGTGGTCTAGTTTTGACCCATACGCAGTTGGCCCATTCCAAACGGGTGTGCCTTTTTTAGGGTACCCTTTTCAGGAAACCAAGCATGTTGTGGGCCCAAATCCTTAGTTTGAATACCAAAATTATTGGGTTGAGAGTTTATCCTTCGACTTAGATTAGAGGTCCTGCGAGGTGAGCTTTTGAGCAGTCTCTTCACCCTCAGATTGGGAGGGTACCTTTTGACCCCAACAGTTGTCGGACAGCCGATCCTTCTGAAAGGCAACTTGGATGCTTCCTGGGATATTCCAGACTGCATTGCTAAAACGCAGTCCTTAATCCTTAATCCCTGCGAGTCATTTTCCTGTTCGGATCGTGCTGTTGAAAAGCAAAGAAACAGGGCGAAAACAGGGATGAGGGAAGGGTTCGAGAACTGCCAGGAAAGCTTTGCTTTTGGATGGGTTGGCAGGAATCGACGCGCATCCCCGCCAGCTTCTTTGTTTGAGTTGTTACGAAGCCCCCCCAAAGTGGGCTGTCAATCATGTCAGGGGCTTCTTTCGCCTGGCTGATTGGAAGGGCCACTTGAGCACAAGCATCCATTCATGAGCGTGACAAATCTCTGCCAGCCTTCACTCGAGGGACATGGCCAGGCCTAGACGTGGTTCTAAATGAGTGTCGAGAAGATGTTTTGTTTTGGCGGCTCCCAGCGCCAGTGCATCGTGTTCTCAAAGACGGACATATGCCGTATCCCAGTCACTAGAGTTCATTTAACTTTGGAAAGGGATCACCGAACCACGCTTCTTGCCCTGCGAGGCGTAAGCTGCAATGCGATTGCTTTGCACCTGGGACGCCTCACGGTGTATTCAAGGGAACCAACAGAAACCGTTGTTATGTGCAGGACCCATTTGAGGAGACACGCCATGTGTATTGGATCAGCTTGCTACGAAGGCTCCTTACCATAAAAAAAAAACTTGTTTCCAGGTGATTGACAGCTCACTGATATGGAGCCCACCATATCTTCCATTGGCTCAGGTGACAATGGCCAAGCAGGTCCGAGTGCAGGATTTGGTCGAGGCGCATTCGGCAATTGTGCCTGGGCAGACAAAAACATGGGCGCTTTCCCAAGCGGCGGATTGCATGGGTTCTGGGCGATTGTGTTTGGTTGCGATATCACGAGCACACACGGTCTGAATATAAAAGTTTATATGAATCCATATGGGTGTGGCTCAAATTAAACAGGAGGAATTACGCAGGTTTTGGCCTTTGTCTCCACTTACCAGGGTTCCATTTTGGCACCCACACCCATATATAACCTCTCCAGCTGGGCGACCCTGCCGCCCCCTCAAAGACCCTGCCACCCCTCAGTTCCAACCCCAAGGTGCAATCGGCGTCTGACGAGGCGATCCTGGAGAAGCTGCAAGGCACCTCCGTCAATCAGGGGCCCACGGCCGCTCTGGTGCCCCGAAGCCTCGCCAAAAGCGAAGTGACCTGAACTGGGCTCGTCTTCTTTTGAGGGTAGCCCTTTTTGTTGGTGGAATTTTAAAGGGAAGCCAACAGGAAAAGTGGATCCACTTTTAAAAGCAAAGAGCATACACCCAACTGACCTTCTCACTCTCTGAGTTTCTTGACTCTATACCTTTCCTGGAAGAATTCTGGTGCGAGCATTTTCAGGTGTGGCGTTTGCAGGCATGGATGCTAAATACACGGATAACAGCTTGTAAGGCAGTATATACATAAAAATGAGTGGTACACAACCTTGATACCTCCAAAACCCGTCCCTGGAAAGTCCCTTGATTTGACCTTGTTTAAAGGGAGCCCAATGAAAGATTTTCGTGATGTCCAAAACTCGAACAATGAGTGTCCTTGAATAGCCGATTTATGGGGAACCAGGGCTCGCTTTGCTTCATCCAACTTTAGAGTTTTGCAGGCCATCTTAGGGGCAAACAGTCCGGCCCAGCAGATGCAGCCGGAATGGGAGCAGTTGCTGCCCGCACCCCAACAATGCAAAATGGCCATGGATTGGTAGGGCTTCCGTTGTTTGCGGGAATCCTTTGGGCGGCCGAACTGTGGCCTTATCCCCCAAGGAGTGCTTCCTTTTTCCTTTCTTTTGGCAGGAATTTTCCTTTCAAAACACCCACAACAAGAGGGTGACCTTTTATGCCCAGTTTTGGGGGATGCCCATTTTAAGACACTCCCAGACAGCTTTCAAGGCCGTAATGCAAGCCAATCCGACCTTCCCGGTCAGGCACCTCCTGGAAAAGGCAGTCCGACGGCAATCCGATGGCAGCTCGCGACCGCAAAGAGACGAAAGTCAAGCCCTTGCAAGCAGAGTTGGGGTGCGGGCGACTTTGTTCGGACTTTCCGCTTGGTTCAATTGTGTTTGTGGTACAGGTACTATACCTGAAGGGACTACATTACCCCAACCAAGCGGAAAAAGGGCCTTTCTCCGGACTTTCCGCTTGGTTTCAAGGGAAACCAAAAGGAAAGTACCATAAAGTACCGTTTTGAGGGTGCCCCTGCTGTGACACATACCCAAGGAATTAAGAAGATGAACACAAGTTAAGTTTTCAACACACAAAACAACTTGTCAACTTCTGGAATATACTAACCACAGCAGGGTTCTATCTTTGAAGGCATACTGAACTTGCGGAGGGAGTGCCGGTCGAATATCTAGTCTGAAGGGGTTTAGCTCGATCAGCTATACGTGATACCTCTGAAGCGACTCAGTTCCAAGTTGGACTTGATAGTTGGAGTAAATGTGGCTACAAGCGGCCACGTTGGCAATCAGATGGATTTGTGTCAAAATCAGGGAGAACTCCCCCAAACCAGTGGTTTTCCGTTTTCCCTTTTAAAGCCACAGCCAAGCTCTGACCTGTGAAGCTTCTGGATTGACAACCGGACAAGACTTTTTTTATGTGAGCCGTGAAACCTATCCCTTGGAGCCAGGCTTGAGTGTTTGAAGAACCATTCCCTGCGGTGGCCTTCCTTGGAACCCATTTCAAGGCGGCGGATCTAAACAGGCTTGCAAGAAGCCAACCATTGGCTGTGCATGGCCTCATGGCGGATGATGTGTGCAATTTCAGCAACAATGGTTGCACTCAATTGTTGCCAGAGGCGGTACCCGCTACGCCCTGCATGATGCATCACTTGCCTGTTTTCCGACATGCATTTCGAGCTCTGCATTTCGAGGCCGAGGGAACCCCACCCCTGTGACAAGCCCAGGCAAACCTTTGGTGAAGCATCCTCCTGGCATGTCAACGATCCTTTTCGGGGAGGCATTGCGGGAGAAGAATGCCCCATCCTTCTCCAAAGTGGCAACAAAATAACCACATTTGGGTTTGTGAAGAACCCATAGCCCATCATTGTCAATTGTCCCAACAGGAAGCCAAAAGGGGATGGGCAACATGTTTTGCAAGACCCAGTTGCCAACGGCCAGGCGTGTCCTCTTCAGAAAAGCCAAGCCTCCTGGGGTGTCCAATAGAGGCCTTCGGGAGGAGAGTCTCCGAAACTGTTTTCGTTTGTGAGGCATGGCCGACGAAAGGCGAACTTGTACAAACCTAGGTTTGCGTTTTAGCACTTTACTGCGTTGGGGGGGGTACCTTCCCCATTTTTATGTCGAAAGGAGCTGCCCTGCAAATCCCTAAACCAATCCACGCCACCAAGAGGTACCTGGTTTTGGACTTCCTGAGTTTACTCACCTTTTCTGGCCAGCGAACTCGCGAACTCGCGCGAACGTCTGAGGGCCGGATCTTCAATGCCGAAGTGCTCTGGGACTCCTCCTTCAAGTCCGCGAACAGCCATCTCAGCTCCAACGGCACCAACGTGCTGGCCGGCGCCCAAGGAATGGTGGGGCCGATGGCCTCCAATGGCTTCCCAATGGCTTACCAAAATGGGTCAAAGGGTCAAAATGAAACCACCAGAAAAGCGCAAACAAATTAGTCCTTGGTATCCATTTACTTGGGTTCCACGTTGGGTACCTAATTTTGACCCACAGCCAAATAAGCCTTAGAC